AGGCTGTGGAACAGTGGATTCGAAAGCAATTTAATGGTGTCACTTTTGAAGGAGAAAATCTTGGAGGACAGATCAAGTTCATGATCCAAAATAACCCAGTCACGACCACGGCGGATATTGAGAATTCACCAAAGACTACGATTCAACCTGCTTTGAAAGAAACAGATAACCGTAGCATCATCGCCCAACTCATTGAAAGTCTCGAGACAAACAAAGAGATATTGGGTCTGACAGATTTTTCTATCGGTGCACCAACTTTAGAGCAGGTGTTCTTGAATGTGGTTAAGGACAACGAGGCTTTTGAAGAAGCGCCAAAAACTCGATGGTGGTCATGGTTGTTGTAAAGAGTGGTGGTAAAGGATACCCACTTCCCTAGTAGATTGGAGTTGCTCACGTAGTAGTTTGCTATGAACTGCCATTCCTATCAAATTATCAAATTCATTGCCCATGGATTTCTTCGGCCTCAATTGAAATCTGATTCTAAGCTCATGTCGTCTAAGATTGCGTGCAGGAGATTGTGCTAGTTCGGAGACGTTTCGTGATGTTAAAAAAAGAACTTGATGTTGGGAGTGTTTGTCAGTACAAAGAAGACAACCACATAGGGAAACTCACTCAGAAAATCGATCTTACTTTAAACTTGAGCATGAAACCCTGTCTGGCACGGGGCTGTATGAAACTGCGAACCATGAGGACTAGCCGTTCATGGAACTATCGAAAGCTTTCCTAGAAGCCCCAGTAACGTCTCTACGCGATCTTTTTCGCAACCATCTAGCAGAAGAATGTCCCCAGGCACTAACAACCATTGCAATGCATGTCGCCCAGGGAACAAAAGCAAGAATGATCATGTTTGCACTTGCGCCAACTCCGAGCCCCAGAATGATACCCAATGTAATGACCAAGATAAATATGACAGGTTGATGTACATCCTTTTTTTGATGTCGACAAAGGAAAGATATGACTGAGCAACCGAAGAGGACACATGATCCTAGCAAGGCGACTGGTGAATGAATAAGGGCGCCTGCTCTTCTCATATCAACGATGCCATCCTCGGCACTGAGATACCATGCCTGAACTTATCAGCTTGATGAAAGTGTCTGCAAAATGAGATCGCGAAATTTGCTGACTGCCCATATGAGACGCTCTTGTCAGAGTAAACTCACCTGACTTGCTAAACTTTCAGAATCAACCGTATAGATCGTAGTCAACGTAGACGTAACAATGCCTGGCAGCACCTCGATAACATCTAAGCTCCCTTGTAGGGGGTATCCAATGAGCTTCTTCCAAGCCAATGGTCCCATCGAACGCATATTAAATTTCCCTTGCTCCTGGACATGAGTCCGGAGGGACTCGAAAGTCTGACAAGTGACCAGTCTTTCAAAATTTAGGGCAAAATATATTCACAACTTATGAGTAATCCGAGAAATGAAGTCGCGAAACGGGGTTTTGCCTGGATGGGTATTGAGAAAATCAGAAGCTGGGATGGACGGTTATATATAATGCGCAGAGCACAGTCTTGCTTGAGACCCAACGGCGTGTGGACACAAGGCTTTGACATAAGCGAATACAGTCTTCTGAGCAAAATAGTATATGGAAGGCTGCGTTACAAGAGTGTCTAACTTTCGCAGGACAATGCCGACAAGCGAACATCCACAGCGGGAAATGGAGTACCTACAATTGACAATCTGGGTGAAGAAACCCGTTTGTGAATTAGCCTGGCATGCATTGAGACCTAAAACTTTTAAGGCAACCGGTCGGGTAGAAAGCAGGCGATAACGCGAGGCTGAATGCTCGAGAGAGGAACGCCAACCAAGAGGTCGAGGCGCCCTCGGTGGCTTGAAATGCGAACCACCATCAGCGATACGACCGAAGACGTCCTTTAGTCTATCTTTTAGCCACGTACGTGGTCGAGCCAGAATCGAATGAATTACTTCCGCCTCAAGCAGCATGGTCAATCGATAACCAACCGTATTCACTTACATTCGGTTAGCCTCAGCAAACGACTTGATATCCCCCGAGCCGCAAAGAGTCTCCTACCAATACTGCCTTGCAATGCTATACAATCACTAGCTCTTCCACAAATCTTCTATAATATATGATATCTTTTCTCTGGCACTACCGTTTCCTTTATTGGAGATTCCTCCTTCCCTGGGCCCGGGCTTATATAGTATCCGCCGTACATTCACGATTCTGCTCCTTTGCACCGGCACCATATCACACCTCAAAACGACCAATTGAGTGCTCGATGTCACTATGGAAACATCCATACATATCCAAGAACTTTGCAAGATGTTTCTCGACCACGAAAGTAGACATGAGCATTTCTACTTTTGGACCAGACTGGTGGCAGGAGGTATTCTGATCGGATCTTCCGCCGCTTTCCCGCTATTCATTGAACAGAGCAGACTCTGGGGAAACATGTGAGCTTCTGAACACCAATGCGTCTGGACAATGATTAGAGCTAATATACGCTTTCGATTGAAGGGCATTGTGGCTATTCTTATTATCCTGGGCGTCATTTTGTGCGCTACAAGTTTCCAGGATCCTGACGTAATATGCATCCTGAAGACATCTATTTAGACTTTGGGCCTAGTAAGCTGATTATCATGTTCAGATACGGCCGTTATACGCTACTTCTGGGTGTTGTGCTTCTAACTGTGGCCGTATCTTTCAGCCCTGCACCATCAGAACACCACATTCGTTTGCTCCCAGTATATGCGATGCTTGGAACTTTCTTGACATTTTGCTGGCCTTGGGTCGAACGAAGTTTTTGGAGCCTCCGGAGTGGGAGAGGAGGTTTCATGCCTTTGACTGATTCGATTTCCTTGCAAGATATGGAATCTGGCAGAGGGCCATCAGATAACGGAATGGCCTGGTTTGTCGACCCATTGTCTGATCACAGCCCATTTTATACAGGATCACCCAGATCGGAGCTTCAGACCCCCTTTCAGGACATGGATGGATTGCAAACTCCAGGAGGAGTTGCGCCGCAGACAAGGGGACACAGGACGCCCGATTTAAGTGCTTTTCAGGTCATTTCAAACTCCGTGGCTCAAGCGGCCTCACAACAGGAAGTGCCCTTTGAGTTGCGCCATATCAATGGACCAAGTTCCATTCAATTTCCTGGCAGGTTTACTCGCAGCGAATCAAGTATCTCACTTGAATCTCGAGCTGTGGTTCCATCTGAAATATCTTCCATAGTTTTGCCTTACTTCCGCCAAGATCTGACAGACACCAGATCCAGAAGGCAAACTCAGAGGCAAATTGGAATAGCGAACCTCGGTCAACCTGACCCGGATAGGACATTAGCTCAGACCGCATCTTTTTCAAACGATACCGTTGCAGCAACCGGGGAAGCTTCTGTCTCATAAATGAATGAGCAGCCGCTTATAAGGCCATGAACCCTTCAACTATGACTAAAGCACGTAGACAAGTTCATACTTGCTGTATTTTCACCTCGGAAACAAAGAAGGCTGAGTTGAGAGTAATAGCGCTCGATTCACAAATGTCCGCTGGACACTTGTACCTGGGATGGAATGGTTAAATTATACGGACTCGAAGTCTATACCCGGGTTCGGAGACCATGGCCCTTGGTGGAGGGTGAGACTCATGGTCGCTTACACATATAAGAGATATGATTGTGACTAACATCTTTTGAAGCATAGCAGGGGCCTCAAAAGCATAATTTGCGTCACGCTAGGTCTTGCGGGCCTCAAACGTCACGTCATTTCAAGCGTCTAAGTTGATTGTTAACATCCAGTGTCTCTGAACCCTGGGTAGTCATACAATCTCCTAACGCTTTCTTAGGCAGGATTTACGCAATATCGAAGCAGAACGCTTGATACGAGCTACGCATTACATCCTACCTTGAATACGTTTTAAAAGCACTGTATGTGCTGCATGGAAGATATCGACTGTTGCCCTCACGGGCTAAAATACAATCGCGGAAGCGATTTGTGAAGACACGAAAAAAAAAAACCAGAGATTTTATGATACCTGCAAAGGTTGGCAGAGCATTTGGCCGGTCAAATATTTGGATTGTAGAAAGGCGCTCGATGATTGGAGGAAAAGCTGTGCTTGCTTGTTTACTCTGATCTTACTTGCTTGTGCTTTTTTTGCTTAATATTTTCCTTCCTTTCATAGGCTTGCCAAAACAGTGTCCCTCACGGACACAGCTCATATCAACTTTCATTCCATAGTAACCATCTATTTTCAATGGCCTGAAAGCGCTACAGGTGAAGCGTAATAGGAAGTAAATATTGAGGGCTAAAGAGCGTGATGCTATTCTATTGGATTTCCTTCAACAGCATCCTGGTGCGGTCACTATCGAATGGCGTTTCTATTATGGGAGCAACATGTGTAGACTATCTTAGTGTTGAGAAAATGCATTTGGTATAATGAGGAGATGCAGCTAGTCTACCCTCCAGATCCGCTGATCAGGAGACGCCAGATACTTTCACGATCCGAGACTTCCTATAGGCTTACGTGTCAATGAGCCAATATGAGTGGATACGGTGAAAATACACGGGATGAACTGCAGCCATATATATCATGCAGTTTCAGAGTCATCTGGAAAAGACGCAAGCGAATCATAGTCATCATAAGACGTCAATTAAAGTAGACTATACTACTAACAATAATACACAAGAACTGGAGGGTTGTTTGAACAAACGACCAAACTGATAAAGCCCCCCCAGTCCGACAATCTCGGAGCTACCATCAGATATTATCGTTGATGGAGCATTCTCTTTTCCACCTGTGATCAATATCCAGGCCCTAGTATGCCTTTTGCCTGCCTTTGCCGAATTTGACTCCCCTCCAAACCGTGAATCGTGCCCAGCCAACGGCCAGAGACCTAAGAAAAAGAACAAGAAAGGAAAGAAGGTATCTGTAGGCGATCGAAAGAATGAGAGCTAAGTACGCTTGGAGAGCGAACGTGGATTGCTGAAGGACGGACGATTCGTCAATAAAAGAGACTCCTTCGAGAGAAAGCCTTTCCCGTTCTACGTGGATGGCGTTCCCTCTCTGCTAGGAGCACGGCTCTCCCTCTTGCTCAAAAAGCTTCGTCGTAGCGACGATTTTGGGCTGTCGGTTACGCTCTCCGCAGGCGTGAAGGTGCTCTTGATGATAATGGTACCACTGCCGACCCTGAACTCTTTCTCAGCGCCAGATCCGGATTCGTCGACAACGCAGATAGACTCGCCCAGATCATCATCACTGCTGAAAGTGTGATTCTCCATGGCCTTGAGCTGGAACTGAGCATCTGGAGTGCAGGTGGTCTTGAAAGTCTCATTAAACTGAAGATTGCCAGCTCCAGACTTATGGTGCTTAGTCTTGCCGATGGTCTTTTGCTTGGGTGTCAGTTGGTTGAGCATGACATAGATATCCGAGGATGGCGGGTAGCCTGTAGCCGACACAATGGTAAATACGGCGGTGCCAGAACCCGGACCGCCTCCGGAAGTGCTATGAACAGATGCTGCCCCGAAACTCTTGGTGCGAGCATGGCCGTTACCATTGACTGTTGGAGATCCATTCGGGGAAGCCTCAGGATCTAGGGATAGGCCTGTGGAGCGTTTGAGACCAGAACCAGGCCCAGCGTCCGCACCATTAGTGGTGACAATGGTTGGTACTTCAGAGCTTGCTGCACCATTAAGGTCATCATCCTGCTTCTTACCACCGAAGCCACGCTTGAGGAACGATGCCCCTTTTCCAACACCGTGGCCCACCACACCGGCAACAGCGACTCCTCCTTTGATCGGAGCTCCAGCAACGCCAGTAACAATCCTGCCGGGTGCTGCAAAGGTGCCAGAGAAGGTCGAAGTTCCATGCCTGCTCCTGGTGACGTAGTCCGGGCGGAAAAGCAGTCGCAACCGGATGGAGCCAGACTTGCCATCGAGCATCAACTTCACCTCTTGTGCCTTGAAGGGGTCTAGCTGCTCGAGATTGATATCTGCTCCACCGAGGAAATCAGGCTTATCTGCAAAGTCCCAGTCCATAACTTTGACGGTAAATTTGGCTGCAGTTCTTGAAGGAATTGGGACCTCGAAGAACTCGTTCCAAGCGGGATGCAACGTCTTCTTCTGGACCTTGGTCTTGAAGACCTCCTCGCCACCCAACTCGAACTTGCAGTACGGGTCACTCTTGCCATTACGGTCGGCAGAAGGAAGATCCATCGCGTCCAAGACGTCGACGCGCAGATTACCCATATTGTTGATGCTTTCACTGGGATCAAGCTTCATCTTCACGGGCACATACTTCAGGCTGACTTTCACGGAGCTGACTTTGCCATCCTCATCCTTCATTTTCAATGTTGTAGGATTGTTCTGCTACTTGTTAGTACAGGTTATCAGAAAAGACACACTGATGCACTTACCAGGCATTGCTTCAAGGTTTCCAGGGTACTACCTGTGAGACGCGCCAGCGTATGCTCCTTATCACCCTCCTCTGGCTTACTGCCCTTCTCTCGGACTTTCAAAGTCAGTTTGGAGAAGTCCAACTCACGAATAAAACAGTCTCCAATCTCGTCGAACTTGAAGTTTCTTGACTTCGCTCTGGATGAAGTGTAGGAGGGGAATGCCATGTCATCGACAAAGACCTCGATGCGAGTATCGCTCTTCGGCAACTCTGCGTCCATGAGTTTGAAGATGACCAGTCCCGACTCGTACTTAAGAAGTTCTTGTGGGGTAAGGTGCACCTTTGGCGGCGTGCGTTCCTGGAGAGATTTTCTGGGCAGACCTGGTGACACAGGAGTAACGGGAGACTTGGGAGTAGCAGGCTCCTTCTCGCCGTCCTTACCGATAGTTGCTGAAAATTTACCAGCATTTTCGGATCGAGGAACATCAAGTGACTTCTTTGCCTCGCCGTCAGCAGCCTCCTCTTCATCTTCAGGATCGGCAACATTAAGGCATGGATAAAAAGCGACGGTATACGTGAGAATACCCTTTGCGATGCCCTTGCCGTGAAGTCGAAGGCCGTCCTCGCGTAACACCTTTTCTTCATGAACAAGATACTCTCCAGCCTCGTCTTGGTGAACGTAGTCTGCTGCGAAAACCTCAACCAGACCGAGACTGCGGTCTCTGCCCATCTTTTCGGAGTCCATGACTTCAAGTTGCAGCCTCTCGCGTGAAGAGTGTACGGGGACGTACAGAACTTCATCCCAGTCAGGGTCAAGATTGTTCTTGAATGTAACTGTTCGGGCTCTCTCAATGCCAGAAAGCAAGATTCGTGCATATGGATCTGACTTGCCCATGGTCTCAAAGTTCCGCAAGTCCTTGGCCTTCTGGAAGTGCACGCGCATGATGCCAATGGGTGTCTGGTAGCCACCAGTCCCAGCCACTATGCCAGATAACGCAACCGGCTTCCATTGAGCTTGCATCTTGACGCGACCAGTTTTGGTAGCTGACAAGTTGTACCAATCTTGACCTTTCTCCATGAATTCCAGCATATCCTCAAGCTTGATCTGATATGTACCAATGACCTGGTCGCCTGTAATGTCGCGCTCATCTTTGATAACGACACCTAGCTTGGCGTTCTTGCGATCTGTGATAAGGATCTCTCTGGAGCCGTTGTCCCAGATGGGGTTGTTGGTGCGCTTAAGCTTCTTCGTGGTGTGAATCTCCTTGCCGTTGAGCATCAGGTGAGCGTAAGGGTTTAGAAGGCCAACGAGACTCTTTGTGCCATCAAGATCCTTGGCTTGCTCCACAGAAAAACGCAGAATGCCTGTGTTTGTCTCCGGTGGAGGCTCGTCGATACCTTCGGGGGACTTCTTAGTTTCCAAGACAGGAAAGAAGCGAATATCGCATGATAGAGCACCGCGAGCTTTGCCTGCAGACTTGATCTCAAGGCGCTCGTTTTCGTACTCGTTGATTTCTTCGAGGTTCTCGATTGGGAATGACGCAACACCGAGCTCCTTGTCTGATCTGATGTCATTGTAGTCAAAGACCTGAATATCAAGAGAATCGTTGAAGGAGGTTACGATGATATAGTGTGTCTCGTTCCATCGAGGGTTAGCTGTGTCGTGGACGGTCTTCGTCTTTGCCAGAGGCGCTCGCTTGTTTAGCGTGACAACCGCATACGGATCTGGGTTACCGGAGAATTTGTCTGCATTCTTCAGGCCCTGTGCTCCATGGAGGGTAACCGCAATAACTCCGATAGCTTGATCAACAGGAGTACCAGCAAGCATCTTGGCGACTTCGATGGGGAATACATTTGGTGCGTACATCATCGGCGCAAGGTTACCGTGAATCTGCTCTTGGATGAAGCTCTCCAGTCCAGGAATGAAATTGATGTCAAAACCGAATGTTTCACCACCTAATGGTTTGCAGACGTAGTCAATTGTAGGTCGCTCGAGGAAGCACATTTCCACCTTCTCAACGTGAGGGAATGGAATCTGAAGCTTGACCTTAAGGCGCATCAAGCCGGAGAAAGCCATGTCTTCCACGATGACATCGAGACCTTTGCTGATCATGGCCTTGCCTACACGGATCTCTAGGACGACTTTCGGGTTAATCTTGTTTTTGATCTGGCGAGCAGTCATATCAGCAGTGTCATTGGGGGTGAAGCTGAATTTCCAATCCATGATGACAACGTCATCATCGGCCTTGGGATACGTCTTGACATGCTCCATTCGCGGTGGCTTTGAACCTAGAGTGAAGCTCTTCAGCTTCAAGCTGTCGAGGAATGCTGGAGTGGCTGAGCTGAGGACCTGGTCGACTGAGTTGATTACAGTCTGGGCCAGAACGGGCTGGTAGATCGGCCAGAATTTTACCATGAAGGAGTTAATCCACTCGAGGGACTCGGTGTCCGTATCTAGCTTCTTCAGGGAGAACTCGCGGTTCAGATCGTCCCGGAAATTGCGTCGGACTCGACGGATGGATGTCCGGTAGTAAGTTGAGCATATTGCCATGATAATGAAGACCCACGCGAGACCACCACCGAAGACGGCCACGAGCCAGGAAGTGATGCATGCGAAGACAATTACTCCGGCATTGTAGTACCAATCTGTCACATAATTGAGCGCCCTTGCCACCACAAATGATTCATGTTTTGTAACTTACCACCAAAGAACTTGTCTGGGATCTGGCCTTCAAGCCACGTAGAGTGATCCAGTAAGCTCTCGCCCTCCTGGATAGGCTCGGTGGGCCAGCCAAACCGGGGAGTCCATCCTGTTTTTTCACCAAATTGGTCTGCATCTTCGCCCGCGCCGGTGGGCTTGCCTTGAGAATCCTTGGGGACTTCGATGGCTCCGGCCTTGGAGGGACTGGGGAGATCGTAGGCGGGCTTGCTGCCATCGTCGATATCGGTCACAATGGCAACGCCTTTGGTGCGCTTGGGGTTGTGGAAGCCTTCGGGGAGCGCCTGTTTTCAGTCAGTTGAGAGGTACAAAAATTGAGAAGCTTGGCAGTTTCGGGAGGGCACTCACAGCTCTGGCTTGAGCCTTTTTCTCCTCTGGGCTGGCATCGGGGTCGAAGGAGTAGGCAGCTATGCCGGCACTCCTGCTGTCCTCGACAATCTTCTTCTCGGCATCTGCAGCTGTGACGGAGCTGTTGGGGTCGTGCGCTGCCTCGATGGCGCCCTGCTGCTTGAGCTCATTCTTTGCTTGTTCGGTCGCCATTATGCTGCCTGCTCTGCTGCCACGAGCAGCTTCAACTCCTACGACCCAATTGGCACAAGGTGCTGTGCAGGGCTCGAGCTTGTGCCTGAATCAGAGCTTTGGGCAGATGGAGAGGGTGGTGAAGGCTAAATGTATATGAGTTAGGTTGTGAGGGGTTGGAGAGATACCTAGCTCCTAGCGACCAGCTGGATAGTTTCAGGGTAGCTTGAGCTAGGTATATGATGGAACGGGTCCAAAGGGAAAGGGAAGGGGGAGAGGTGAGGGAGTGACTTGTGGCTGATGGCAGACAATGGTTGACGATGAGAAGGGCGGGGGGAAGGAAAAAGCACAGCAAGCAGGAAGGGAAAGTCAAGGTAGGGTGAACTTATGAATGGTGGTGGTGGTGGTGAGGTTTCTTGTGGAAGCTGGCGTGGCTGTCTGGTCAGTCCGGGAAGCAGGTCTAACACAGGCAAAAAGCTGGGCTCGCTCGTCGCGTGGAGCAGATGGGACCACGCTACGTCAGTCTCTATCTTCTCTGCTGTTCACCTTAGCTGGGCTTGCCAGGGTGCTTGCTGCTCCTCGCTAATAGGAGCGACCGACTGACTGGGGGCGGGGCCGTTAAGCTCGACAGGGGTCAGTCCCAGTGGACTTTTGGTGCTGGGGCTGGTAGCTACTGGGACTTTTGCTGGCACTTGAGACGCAAAGCAACGCAACGCAACCACCACCACCACAATCACCGCCACGACCTGCAACTTGGAAATTCCTGAATTTTTGCCGTGCATTTGATACACAAGAGGCCGCCCGGGCAATTAACAAATCCTGCTGGTGCAAGGTGTGTCTGAAGCCTGGATATATGCGTGCCGTGTCCCTTGTCCATGGAACTCAATCCAGTTCACCCAATGCATTTACAGCCTTTGTATCTTTTTTCTCAATGGCAAGCCAAATGTGCCGAGCAAGCTGAGCAGGTACCTCAAGTGGCGATGGATGGCTGGGAAAGCCACAGATGAATAAACGCTATCGCCCGCGATGAATCTTGTCCCTCTCCACTTCTTGGCTCCATTCCTGCCTTGGTAAGAGATTCCCTGCTTCAAATGAGGTACCTACCTGAGCACGCTGAGGTAGGTAGGTTCCTAGGAAGACTAGGAAGAGTATAAATCAAACGCCAGGCGCCGAGCGTATCTCACCACCGTTGCTGCACACGTTGCATCATCAAGCGTCCCAAGATCCTCTCGCACTCTGCCAGAGCCACTCACGACCAACGGCCAGAGGCATCTGCCTGTCGAATCGGGTGTGACTAGGTTGGCATCCCTGTAGCAATCTAGCACCCGATGCAAAGGCATGGGAAGATTAGAACAACCAGGGAGGGAGGGGTGTCACCGATCTAACTTACCCGTCTCCACGCTGTTGTCAAGCCCCCTCATCTACAGATACATATTTTCAGGTTCAACCCAAGCATTCTTCAGTTTCCAGGGAGCACAGGAACCCAGCAAGCCCAGGTACTTCTGCAGGTCAATGATTCAGGTCGGCACATGTGTGAACCCACCACCCGGTATCATTCGGGGGTGCACAGCCGCGAACCAAAAGGTCTTATAGGTGATTAGGTTCGACCTAACATGCTGAACCACCACCGCATCTTCGGCTCGGTCGTCTCTTGCTGTGGGGCCGAGATTGCTGCGGGCGAGCGACGACGCATTCACTTGAACCTTGAGCTGCTGAAGGAGAACTGCAGCTTGCGCCCGAGCTAGACTAGCAGGATGATGGCGCATCCACTCAGGCCTGTGGGCTATTTCAGCCGGGTAGCGCATCTCATTTGCAATGCAATGCCGCAATCGTCTAGTCGTGATCCGCCTGGGACACACTCCATCCATGCTCTTCCCTTCGAGTGAAAAGGCCGCAAATGAATCTTGAAGCCCACTGTTGCGGGATTCGGCATCGATTGTCTCACATGGATGGTGTCAGGTCTATTGACCGGCCTGACCGTCCACTAGTTATATCTTCCAGTGTCAGATAGTGGAGGCTGCTCTGAGGGATGTACATGTGCTAAGAAATCCTAGCAAGTGCACCGTCTCTTGTAACATTGTGCAGTATACGTGTAGTTTGATTGCGATTGCCTGTCTCTGGAACCGGTTCCTGTCAATCACTCATGCCGGTAGGAGTGCTCTGCTAGGCTTGCTCGGCTTGTTGGCGGTTCATCGTGAATTGCAACGATGCAACCTCAAGAAGCAGTGATTGACGTCAAATCTTGAATTCCAGGTCGAAACCCTGCAAGTGACTAGCGAGGTAGCTGGCAGACATGCCTCTCTTTACTCCAGAACCCTGGAATTAGGTGAATAGCTGAGGCTCTGGTAATTGGTCAGCCTTCTCTCAGCGGACCCACTTGCGAAAGCCAATGAAGCAGCTGGATGGTGCGCCACCATATTTGTCAGCCTTGTGCTGGTGCGCCACAGATTTATCTAAATCCCTAACCTAGAGCCTGCCCCAATTTTCGCCTCAACACCGACAACGATATCACGAACAACGATACCTGCGCATTTTGCGACAAGCGATAAGGAAACTAAATTGCATCCCACAGTGAGCATCATATCCTTCAACTTCAACAACTGAATCGCAACTTCCCGCCGGCCAACCACCATCCGTCACAATGGCCAACTTCCTCGCCTCCATCTTCGGCACCGAGCAGGACAAGGTCAACTGCTCCTTCTATTACAAGATCGGCGCGTGCCGGCACGGCGACCGCTGCTCGCGCAAGCACGTCAAGCCCTCGTACTCGCAGACCATCCTGATGCCCAACCTGTACCAGAACCCGGCGTTCGACCCCAAGAACCGCATGAACGCGTCCCAGCTGCAGAACCACTTCGACGCCTTCTACGAGGACATCTGGTGCGAGATGTGCAAGTACGGCGAGCTCGAGGAGCTCGTCGTCTGCGACAACAACAACGACCACCTCATCGGCAACGTCTACGCGCGCTTCAAGTACGAGGACAGCGCCCAGAAGGCCTGCGACGACCTCAACAGCCGCTGGTACGCCGCGCGCCCCATCTACTGCGAGCTCAGCCCCGTCACCGACTTCCGGGAGGCCTGCTGTCGCCTCAACAGCGGGGAGGGCTGTGTCAGAGGAGGCTTCTGTAATTTCATACATCGCAAGAATCCGGGCGAGGAGCTCGATAGGGAGCTCACGCTGAGCACCAAGAAGTGGCTCAAGGCCAGAGGCCGCGATGAGCGCAGTCCCTCACGGTCGCCCAGCCCTGAGCCGACCAGACGGAGATATTAAACAGTACTACTGGGGGGGGAATGGGCTCATGTCTTTCACAGGAAGGAAGAGATCAATGGGAAAGTTAAGGGCGTTAGAGGCGTCTTTTGGACCATGAAGTCATGTTGTACTATTTGTTGAAATTGTATGGTATAGTCAAGCGGTATATCGCAAGCAGTCAATCCTACAGATAAATGGAGAGTGACTGTATGCAGGTCGCTTAATGACAATGCACCAGCAGACTGCGATCAGTGTGCCCAGATATTTGAAGTGATGTGATATGCCTTTGATACTAGTTATGCCAGAAATCACTATTCCATGAACGAAATGCATATCTAGAAAGGTATCGTTTCTAGGTAACCCTGCCGTTGAAGGAAGTCATGTCATTACCCTGCCCAGCCACCATTTTCCATCCGCCTTCACCTCGCGGCCCGTTGCTAACCCAGAATCTGTACCACGCGAATGCCGTGGTGACTTATTCTTGTGCGTCCACGAATTCGTCGCGTGACTCCTCTGTATCTGACCTCTTAATGGAGGGGACATTTTTCTGTAGATCTTCATGGAAGTCAATCAGCGGGCCATTCGGCGCTGGGGTTCCAGTTTGCCTCAGTAAGCCTGAGATCTCGCCACTGCTTTCAACTTTGGGGTCCTGCTTCTGACCCGATGTGGGTTGCATCGGGGCTGGCAAGTCTGTAGGTTTGTCGTCCCCTCCAAAGTCTATCAGATCGCCAGACTCCTGAGGCTCTGGAGCACGATGGGTGCTGGGTCCGGAGAGCGAGGTCCCCCTAGGTGGAATCGCGTTTCTCTGAGTTGCTTTCTGTCCCTTAACTATTGGATAGATCGCCAGGATCTGTTCCGCCTGCTTCTCAGGTGAACCCTCGCTGCACCCTGTCAATAACAATCCAAAGAGACATATTGTCAAGGTGCCTTACATGTGTGCATTTATGATCCACTCGAGATCCTCTTCGCCCTCATCGGCCCCGCCCGGACCGCCCTTGACCCTCCTGAACAGGCGAGGATGCCATTCAACACCCTCCTGAGCTCTCTTGGCGGCCTCGTCTCGTTGCATGTCTTCGATTTTGGTCTTCTCATCAGTTGCCAGTTCGTGATTACGGTCCTTGACGGCTTGTGCGGTCTTCTGCCAGAGTCGTTGCGACTCCCTCTCCTCTTGCTCCTCTATCGGCCGCACAGACGGGGGTGAGGGCTTCGAACGGAGCGCATTAAAAAACATATCCTTGTGACCAGTCTTCCCTAGCCGTTAGCGATGATTTATGCGTCGTCAAAGGGGCGCCGTTACTCACCTTTAAATTCTTGATGTACATCTCATCGCTCCACAGACCCGAGAGCTCGTACAATATATCGCCGGTGTTCTCATTCCTGATGCTGCCGCCGATGGCATTGTAAGTACCCCCGACCCATCCCTTTGTCTTGAATTCGATGTCGGCGACCAATCCAAGCTCGGGGCATCGAACGAAACTGTGGTCTCCCAGCTCATACTTCATTTTGCCGAACAAGATACCTCGCGCATACATATTTGGTTGCGTCAATATGCTACAAAAGTTGTCAGACGTCCGTTTCTCGCACCGGAACTGCGTAACAAAGGCTTACTATCGTTCCCCCTTTTGTTTGTCCTTGCCCCTATTAAGGAGAGTAAGAATTGCCGTGCCCTCCATCAGACTTGCCGCCGAGTTGCCCAAGAATTTGCTTCGCGGCTTCAGAGTGCCGTCGACGCGAATGTGATGTTCTGGTACCATGTAAAAGTAGCTTGACTTGGGGGGATGATGAGATGTCTGTTCGGAGATATAGTAGGCCTTCGTCTTATCGGGCAGGTCCCAGTAGCAGGTGAAGATCTCGCCAAGAATTGGGTTGAGGGGTTTCTTGACTCCGGGAGGGCGGATATGCCAGCCGCTCAGATAGAACTTGACAACGGAAACGAACCTCTCGACGGGGTCGTTGATGTCGGGAATTGGGAGAAGCATCTCGGGGTGACACATGAAGCTGTAGAGAAAGCTAGTCAGCTGCCGTATTTCGGAGAGCAAGAAATCGGGAAGCAGCCTACTTGGTTATGCGCTCCAACATGCTTCGAGGCTCGAGGATGAATGTTGGGAGTACAACTCTGCTAAGGTCGGCTCCGGGCCGCAACTGAGAGATAATGTGCATGAGCACTGTGCATGCTAGTTAGTGTAACCGAAGCCGTGAGGGATTGCATCACAGAGCGCACCGTTGCCCTGATCGGGCTCAACAACGAGGGTATCATCCTCGATATGCTCGCCCTTGCTGTCATCGAACGAGGACCGGCTGCCTAGAAAGTTGCCAAAGGCGTCAGCAGGAGATACCTCTAGTGGGGTTGGAATTGCCGCCCGCGAGGCGCGATGTCATTGCAAAGGCGACGACAACGGACTCCACGAAGCGGAAGAGTCGGCGACGACATACTGGCATTTGAGGTTGCCCTCCGACGCGCGCCCGAAACCAATCCCATCATTTTTTATGAGGCCCCGCCGGTGCCGATTTTGGGGTGTTATCGCGGATCGTCGGAGGAGGGGGGCGAGGTGCACAGAGCTGTCGCAAGCGCAACCAAAATCGTCGAGGAAAGAGAAATGGAGATGCGAGTTCTGGGTAGAACAGCCAAGAGCCAGGTCATGCGTCCACAGCCTCTTCCACCGTGGGGGAGACTTTTAATTATCTGGGAATGTTGGGGATGAGGTCCGGCTGGGCTGGGCATGGATATGGGCACGAAGGGTCCCGAATTCGCCGGAGGGAGGGGAATTGCAGCCTGGGAAAGCTATCTGACAGCGGGGCAGCTCTAGCAGGATGTGAATGACGTTGAGAGGCCTCTGTCTATAGGGGGAGCGTCAGTGAATTACGCCACCGAGACACACGCGCACAAGGCTTCAGCCAATCAATCTCGCTGCTTTCAACAGTCACTGTGTGCTGAAGTCGGTGTCGGAAAGTCGGTTCAGGATTTCCATTGCATTTCTTAAGGCCTTACTCGCATCTCTGGGTGCGCATTTCGACGCAATTTTCCCCAATACGCGGACTGAAAGAGCTTTCTCTCGCAGGCGCTGACCCGCATTGTCGCTAATTAATAGCAGGTTAGTTAAACAGAGAAAAAACGCTTCATGCCTGGGACTATTGGCCGACGCCGGGGAAGCGGGCGATAGCAGAAGACCGCTATATGGCCTCGACACAAATTTCCATGCGAATTTGTAGAACCCGACGCCACTATGGTCAATTGTCCTCATACATGGTAGTTTTCCGCCAGGGTAATACACCTACTTGCTCTAGGGTGAGTTGAATCTGACTTGAGGCCTCGCAGGTGCTATTTATTATTATGATCTTAACAAATAAGCAACTCCCCTGTGTTGAGAAGGTCGATCATGATACCTTTAGCGAATGAAAGTTATTACCCTGCCAGATGAGTAGATCCAATTCTCGGACTTCTGAACGTGCAGGAAGTTTAGCTTCACATCTGCAAGCGGCGATGATGAATAGCCATGACGCGATGAGCGGCTCTTCAGAGGAGCCAACCAATTTTCAAGCGCACCCTCAGTTGACCCTTGAGATGCTTGCTTCTAGTGTTGTCTTGATTGTTTGGCCTGTTCGATACAGCCGGGTTTCGTCTTCCAGACAGCCGCCGCGGGTAGAGCACGAGGTCAAGCTAAGGGGAAAGAAGCTTCCCGTGGAAGATTGAAACATTGTAGACGTCACCTAGCTCAAGGGACGTGCACCCGAGATCATCCCGTCCCTTAAGATCGGGACTTATAGTACCATGAAGGGTCTTTTCATTCTCGAACATTGCCGTATCGGCAGACGTCTCATACCACGACTGATGAACCTGGATACCTAGGTAGGCAACTGCCTAGGTAATTCTCTCTCACGCAAAAGCCACTGACAGCCTGGTTGTTGATTCTGAAGAGCCTCCTTCGTATTCATTAGCCGACCTGTAATTGCGCCCTCGGCGTGGAGATGCCCAGGTGTACTACTACCATGCAGTACCGGTAGCTGGAAGAAATTGAGCCCTAAATATAGAGACAGCATCTCCGCCTTTCTTCAACATACCGCAGTAGCTCTGTGCACGAACCCTCGGCAAAGACACAGCTGAAGAAGGTTTTAGAGAATTGAGCAGCACCGCCGGCGGGATACGATGCGGGCGTGCCAAACCTAGATACCTAGGTAGCTACTAGGCATACTAGGCAGTGTCTACTTCAGGTAGACAGCATGCTTACGCAGTAGATGGCCCAGCCTGTAGCGGCACAGGCCAATACGGGTTGACAGTTGACGTCTCGCACCGTTCCTTCGCCTTGCACAGGTCTCCCTCACATGCATGTGCCTTTCTAGTGTAGAGAGGGCTTAGGTAACCCGCCCGTCCACGGGTAATGGTAGGGCTGCCCAATGTCCCACTTGGCTGTGTCTTAGCGGGTTCTGGGTTCTGGGTTCTGGGTTCTGGGTTGGAGCATGTCTTGGTGGGGAAGGGGGTCTCTTTCGACCCTGAAACGCTCACGACGGGCGTTTGGCTCTCTGCAACGCATCAACCTCCCTGAGGTACCGTAAAGGTGGGCTGCGCTGGGCGGCCTGACTCGCCCATCAGACATTCCTACGTAGACGTGTGTTAAAGGCACTGACGACGCCTCAAGCCAGCTGCTGCGTGCACCGCCTTCACAAGCAACAAGCAAAGCCAACCTCTGTGTCCGTCTCTCTGTCCCTCTGGCTCTCTTTCCTTGGAACCTCATCTTGTACACAAGATAACGCCCAACTGCTCCCCCTCCATCAGCCAGTCGCTAGGCTAGCTTAGGTTGCCTATCCGCCCCCAATCCAGGCAATCCTTCCAATCTATTGGGCCGCTCGTCTCATTGTCTCACCTCCCACCTTGCAGTTTGGACCCTCCTCCCTACCTACCTACCTACCTACAGTACCTGCTCGCTCGATCTATTTGTAGGACATCGACATCTCACGGCACTGAGACAGTCCATCCTCCCATGCGCTCTGGCCTGGGCGACCCTCCCCCTTAGACTCTGAGCGCGGGAGCACCTGTATATCATTCCTTTGAGGCTGGTAAGGCGGCCTGCTTCTTCCATCTTTCCATTGAGAGCCTCTTTCCAGTCTAAGACTTGAGGTCTCGTGCTGCCTCTCAGGGACCTCATGCTGGCCCCGCCCTCTTCATCACCGCCACCAACACCTGCCGATTGAAAGCATGGACAATGATCTCCCGACCGAGGATGGCCGTGCATCGAGAAGAGGTCGCCTCATGGGCAAGCTGTTCGGTCGAGATAGGAAGGTCTCGAATGAGCAAGCACCTCCAAGCGGCGGCGATTTGAACGACTTCTTCCACGGCTCCTCCGATAAGCTCCAAGTAGCTCACGCCGCACCGCCCATGCTCGCAAAGCTCGACACGACGAATATCACCCGCTACCCCAATGCTCTCGATATCAACAACCGGTCACAGCAGAGCCTCACTCTGAGGCAATCGGCCCGCAGCCCGCGCATGCCACGGAGGAAAGGCTTGGTGGTGCGGTTCGTCGACACATTTCCCGAAATCATAGGAGATGGTGGGGATGAGTGCGAGATACCAACCTTTGAAATCGGAAAGCGAAGGCAGCAAATACGCAAGGCTCCTCCGCAGCCGCAACCACCAGCTCAGCGACCGGTCGATCTCGAAGTACCAGCTAGTGCACATCCAGACGCATTCAGGCGAGAATTCGTTCCAACACCTATCAAACGAACCCAGACCGGTTACTCCTCCATCGCTGAGCCCGCAGCTCGTCCCTCCTTGGACGAGGTGCCAGCTGTTCCTGCAGGCAATGCTACTTCTTCCAAGTACCTTGATAGCCCGATAATATCAACAGACGAAAAGAGGAAATCATTCATTGAATTACATCAGGCTGAGATGCGGGAGGCAGAGGGTATGGCTTTTGCCAAAGCTGTTCGCTCAGCAAGTGCTGGCCCCGAACAACCGGAGCAAGATTGGGAGGAAGCCAAACCACCACCTGCTATACCTATTACTGAGTCGCCCGTCTCGGCTCCGCAACACAGCGCCCCTGAATCTCCTGAACGGACCAAGAAACCCAATGTGGAGCAAAGTCCGTCATCGACTTACTCTGCAGCGTCGGGCTATGCACAGCGCTGGGCAGCTGCGAGACAGAACAGCAAACTCTCCGACAAAGAAACCGCATCCCCTTCTTCGCCTCAGAAAAACGCCCTGAACCTTCATGATGCGGTGGTTGCCGCTGGGGATGACGCTTTGGAAGATTTTACTCGTCGAACCCGTCATCTGTTTGAACTGTTTCGATTACACGCTGAAACATTCAGGCCTTTGTCAACCTGCCTGCCACATGACCTAGCGATGGCTGCTCTATGGTGGTTCTTGAAGGGAAGACTTAGCCTCGAGTCTTCTGTTCGAGAGCAACCTGTGGATGAGCAAGGCCAACAACAAAACGACATGACCCGTCAGCAAGCATATGCAGACCTGGCTAAAGGTCTATGGCTGTCTGAGGAGGCGATTCCTGAGGTAATGGCAGCCAAGTCGAGTCCCATTGATACCGATGTTCAAGAGGCTAGACAATCATTGATGTCCAACTTACGCAAGCTGGCAGTATCCATGAAAAGAAACGGGTTTCTTCCACCAGAAGAGGCTTTCCTACCACAAACAATTGATAAAGCGATCTGGCTCCATTACCCATCCCTCAGTCAAGATATCATCGCGTTACTCCATGGCTCATGGGCTTCCGCACTCTCTGCATCGCAGACATCAGTAACCTCAATGTCTCTGTTAGAAGCTCTACCATTAGGTGATACTGCCGACAGCTTCTGTTTCGGTCGGTACTCAGTCGATGTCTTCCTTATGGAGCAGGGCATCGAGTCTCAACAGTACTATTTCCCCAGCTTTCTGTCTATAGTCAGGTCCCCAAAGCATCCAAATCTCGAATTCTACATCGCTAGTCAAAATAGCGCTGTACAACTGCGAATCCAAGGCAATAAGAACGCAGGCCCGACGTGGGATGATGTAAACTGGCGTACGGATAATTCATCTCTTGAGCTCAGGCTACCCAGAGGGTTCATACTAGCAATTCAGCTGGCTCCTAATGATTACAAATACCTCTGGAGCATTCAAGACTTCAGCGCCAAAGCAATGAGCACTCTATATCCAAGAAAGGATGAACAACCCCTTTTCAGATCAACACTCCGTACTTTTCAGTTCTTCGATGCTGATCCCCAGTCGATGCAGTTTCCTCAGGAGCCCGTTCGTCACTGCGAAATTGGCCTTTTCGAGAGAATTGTCAAGGAGAGTGCTGCTACTGGTCGCCGCAGCTTTCATCGCGGCTATCGGATAGCAGTCGTCACTGGACCGAAGACGAAAATTCTGAGTGCGATCAACCAGGCATATGCCCCATCCATGCCTATTCAATTTGGATTTCTACGTGGTGAGCAGGACAACCCGGCTCTACTCCTAAAATTCAACGATGGCCGATCAGCGGGCAGGATGGTCTTATCATTTAATGACGATAATGAACGTTTTCAGTTCAACAGCTTACTTCTCGGCACCGCGCTTCATAATGATGAGCGCATTATTTCGGAAGTGCCTCTAACCGCTTTTACGGTATCCGAGAGTCTCTCTAGCTCTACAGCTATACAGTGTCTGAACAGACTTCCTTGGACGCGAGCAAGAGTCATCAACGAGGACCGCGGAGATGAGCCACCGCCGACTGTACTTGCGGACAAGCTCAGAGTGGTGGTAGAATGCAAGCACGGCAATGTAACAGATCGAATCAATGTGGAACCTGGAGAGTTCAAAGTGCGGTTAGCAGTGAAGGCAACACAGAGCATCGCTGTTCTGCGCCAGCCACAGCGAGACATGACCACGGCAGTGTCAGAAGCACAAGTGCCACCAGAGCTGGTGGAAGAACTCGCCGGCTCTCTACAACTCATCCGCTCAGCACCTACTGTTCGAACATACAGTTTTACCAGCCTTCGTGACCTCCATGATTTTCAAGCAGCCTTGACAGGATTTACAGTCCTCTTCGATGGAGTCGCTGCTGCAGTCCATATTGCTCGTCGACGTATGGTAGTGCCGATCCACAAGAAGTGGGAAGCTGGCGCGACGAGGATCCAAGTTGTCCAGAGAGAGAAAGTAGTGCAGCTCCTTGTTTTCTTCGAAGACTTCCACCACGGCCAGAGTATGAGCTTTGCTCTGAAAGGCACTGATGTTTATGAGGCATTTAGTCGAAGTGGAAAGGCAGGCATCAAGTTTGATGATGCGAAATGGCCGCTACCAAAAGTTGCGGAGAGCGGCAGCCCAGGTGATGAGGGGGCCTTTGTATGTCTAGACCTGCCAGATCTACCTGGTGAACATGATGACATATCGATCTTGTTCGAAAAGGAAGCGGGTAGGTCCCTTGACTCAATCACCTGACAATGACAAAGCTGACCTTTACTCAGATCGAGACCAACTCGCCGCTTGTCTACCAGCTCCAATGAAGGGCTCGAGACTATCTAAGTGGGGTTCCATCCGTGAATGATGATGATGACTGGCATCTTTACAACGTAACTTTTGGCATTGGGCGGCCGTGGCTCCTGCATTTCTACATTGAGATACCCATTGCGGTGTGTGATTTGGCAGAAATGTGTTCTGAGCCACTTTGGAGAAGCGAGGATATATATGTATTGTCACAGCAAAGGGTACATAGATTTCCATGGCATGGAGGCGTTGTTGGTATAAAAATGTTCATATACCATTACATATGGCAATCCTCTTAGGTCATCGCCGTAATGACTTGATGTGGTAATCTCCTGTGAATGCATCTCGCCTCAATCCAGGTGTAATGTACAAACGGGGTATCTAATCCTGACAAAATCCAGCACAAAGTATAACCAGACTCACAAATCCAACTCAAGCATGGTAGCCGCCTAATACCTTATTATCGCAGAACTCTAATCAATCATCCTCCTGAGACAATTGCGTAAGTCCTCTAGTCAACTCTTTCAGCCGCTCCCTGTCCAGTCTTCGTCCGTTCTCGAGCGCGGCCACCCGGGCTGACAGCTCGGCAATTCTAGTGTCCCGGCTTTCTAATGCTGAGCGAGCGACATCCCGCCCCTTAATGAGTCCACGTATCTTTAGGGCGTTCTTCTCCAAGGCTTCCTTAACACCGCGCCGCGTGGCCTGGTTAATGGGCTGGTCCTTAAGCAGTGCCATGACCGGCTCGGTGATATCGTATTCTGCGGCTGACCCTGCTGGTTTCTCCAGCTCTATTTGTGCATTCGTGGGGCTACGGACAGGCAAAGCTGAGTCCGCCGCTGCCGGCGACGACTCTGGCGACCGCAGGTTCTCCGGCGTGGGCGCAAACTCGACCTTCTTGTGCCGCTTCGCGTCGCGGTCCCGCTCCTCCTGCGCAATGAGCAAGCTGTTCCTGCCCGGCGGCCCAGTATGCCGACTGACCGGCGTGGGCAGCCCGCCGGCTGCATAGACATCGACGGCGCGGCCCGCTGACGGAGTCGTCAGGTGTGCGCTCTTCTGGGCCGACGACGCACGCTCTGCCGCCGACTTGCGGGCGCTCTCGTCCGTGAGCTGGGCGAGCTGGCGCTCCGTGTCCGAGTCGAACGCCTCGCCGAACTCATCCTCCTCGTCGCTGTCGACGAACAGGCCCCGCTTGCGCTTCGGCGTCGGCGTGGCTGGTGCAGTCATGCTGGCCTGCTGAGAGCGCCCGATGGTGTGGCTCGAGGCGCCAGAGGCCTGCTGCGACTGCGAGAACGGCGTGCCCGCCGCCCGGACCTGGAGCTGCTCGGGAGTCTTGTCCGCGAGACTGGCGAGCTCCATCTCCTCGTCGGTATCACTCAGATCGAACAGATCAGCATCATTCCTCGGCAGGCCCTGGAAGATGCTCGGCCGGCGCTGGGGGGTAGGGCTGCTCGGGGGCTCCGGCGGTGCACCCTCGTCCCGCGAGCGGATATGCGTCGTGATATTGGACTGCGAGGACTCGGAGCGGGAGTTGTTCAGCACCGCACCCCTCTCCCGGGCCTTGGCCTCATCCGCCCACAAGAAGAATTTACATTTGCGGCCCTGGCAGGTGTAAAACCACTTGCCCTTATTGGCCGACTCTTTCTTGACCTGAAGATAGAGAGCCGGGAGCCGCGGGTTACAGTCACCTGAGGGTGCGGGTTAGTTGCCGTAGGTCAGACAGGAAGGAATACAACAACTGAGTTCTTGCGATCTTGGGCAACTTACATAGCCACTGACCTTCCACGAACCGTCCAGGCTCCCGGGCTGGTGTGGAGGGTGTTCCACGTCCCCGCGAGGCTCGCGATGCGCGGGGTCGGCGTGGTGTGGTATACATGATGACAGGATTGTATAGCTCTCGGCCTTACGAGCAAGCGCTCGCAAGAGCAGAATGTAGGTATTTCTCAAGTCCTTGAATGCTTCTCGACCATTCCCGGTGTTTGGCTGCCATGCAGTGCTTTGTTTGTTCGACAGTGCTGGGCTGCCTGGTTGAATGACGGCATGCAACTGCCCCACCAACCACCCGCTGACCAGCCACCTCAAACGCAAGCGGCACCTAGCCGAGAAGGAGGCTCAGAGCAGACAGCCTAGACCCCTTTTCATGGCCACACGGAATACCCATACTGTGGTTTTGTTGCCTCATGGCATGCTTATATTCTTTTTCGACACAATAAAATGACAAGTGAGTAAGTACTAGTGGATACAGATACAACGACACACTCGGACATGCCGGAGGCGGCTACCCTATGCATAAAAGCCCATCTTCCAACGTCCTGAGCGCTCAATCCAGGGAAAGGGGTATATGGTAAATGTAAACTAATCATGAAAAGCCATCGTTTGCGAATTCCATCAAATCTCGTAATAATAATCGTCATCCAGCCCGTCTCGACTAGGCACAGCTCCCGCTCCCGGCGGAGGGCCCGAGTACACCGATTCCAGTCTCACGTTGAGTAGACGAATCTTCAACCCATACTCGCTCACCAGCGTCACCAGCTTATTGGTCTCGGCTGTAATTGGTGCTTGGCTCAGCAACATGAGTAGCCCATCCAACCATTCTGAAGCGAGTGAGTGATTAAGGGGGTATAGTGTCAAGATCGCAGTCTCCTTAGCCTCGCCTCCCTTTTGCGCCTCCTCCGCATTGAGGTAGCTGTAGATGGTGATTTTGGTCGTTGATTTCGGCGGGCCGTTTAGCTGATTTTTCAGGGTCGACTCGCTAGATATACTCTGAGTATCTTCACTTGGTGCCGAAACATTTGAAACGACCGAGCTAATTGTGCTCAAGTCAATTTTCTCGGTCAGAACATCAAGACCCGGATCTGGCTGTGTCTGAGCGGGAAAATCGGCGTAATGGAGGTATCGCCTGTTGTGCGAGAGCTTGGCAAAACGCCATGCCTTCGGTTGGTACAAGCGGCGCTTCTGGTAGCTATCCTCTCGTTGGTGTTGATCTCTCCTGGGGATGGGTCGCGAGAACCAAGATCCTTGCAACAAGCATCGAATACGTTGTTCCTTGACGAACTGCAAGGCCTCGTGCTTCAGCTCTTCTCGAACCTGGTAGAGATGCTGGCCCCACTGATCCTCAAAGGAAAGCTCGAGAAGCTCCATTTGAAGTTCTCGCAACCGCCCACAGTCATATTCCTGCAAATCATCTTCCACCTCCAACACATCCTTCGTTCTGCTGGCTTGTCCCACGACCTGTTCTACGAGTATACGGACGAGCTCCGCCACCTTATCAAAGTCCTCTCGCTCGGCACCTGTCGATTTCCACATCCGAAAGAATGCTTGCAAACCAGCAGTATGAAGCCGTGACCATTGTAATAGTAGAGGCCGGAAGAGCTTGTCGTTGGCCTTCACGCCATCTAGCAGCTGGTATCCTTTTGTATCCTCCAAGTCAGCCTTATCGACCTCGAAGTGCTCATAAAGAATCATGGTGACCGCAAGACTGGCTCTCGCGACAGGGCATCGTTCGGCAAGAGGCTTTGTAGACTGCTCAAGTAGTAGCTTCTGGAAGCCGTCCTCGTTTTTGCGCACATAGTCTGTCAAGTCCATCATGCCTAGGAAGCCAGCAGTGTCAAACTCCGTAGCCGGACTCTCCGTCTCGAAGCCCAATCTTCGCCACTTCTCCGGGTTGTGCCTCCTGCTACCCTTCTTTCCACTTTCGTCCTCTATTCTGTTGATGCCATTTGCGTGATGCCTGTCCGGAGCACTTGCGAGATGCAGCCCCTTAAGAGCTCGTCGGTGTTCCGGCCGCTCGAGATCTACACGAACTTCCTTCCATTTCCTCAAAAGCACCTTTGTCAAGGACTGGAACTCAAACAGGGGCTGCGCAAGATCCTGTATCGCCGAGCTTTGCATGAGGTTGTATACGGCTTTGATGAGCCCTAGATCTTGCAGCCGCTTGATAAATTTCGACCACTCCTCTCCAGAGCTTGCGCCTCTTGTAGCTGTTCCGCTCGAGGCGGAATCGCTCGACACAGCGTCACGGACCAAAGCATTGATCAGCATGAGCGCGTTGGCGCATAGGGCGTGGTCGGCAGACTGCAGTTGGGCGATAACCAATTCGAAGAACTGTGGGTAGACCGCAACGGCAGGCTTCAGAGCGCGGAAGCCAAACGTGCCCGGCGTGCGCACCGATCCGCGAGTGGCAGACTGCGAGTGCGACACCAACGCCACCAGAATGGACATGGCGCCTCGGAGGATGTTCACCAGAGGGTTTGTGACAATCAGCTCGACCACCCGCTCCACTAGGTCGCTAGCTGTGTGCCCCTCAAATATATCCCATCCCATGTCAACCTCCAGTAGACGGCTGAGAGACTGTAGCGAGTAGGCAAGAGTGTTGCCGCCGGTACTCATGATCAATCGCCGGAGAATGACAAGGCCGCCGGAGGATATGAAGACGTCGGCGAAGGCAGGATCGTTGATGGACGATTGGAGCTTGAAGACGGCCATCTTCCGCGCTGCATCCTCATCGCTGGCGAGGCGCGTCAGCAGCGCCGGGATATCTGCTTGATCCATCGCAGGATCTACTCGCTCCGAGCGTCGGTTTCGAGAACTCGAGAGGAGATTGTCGTGGATAGTTGTCTAACGAGTGAGATGCAAAAGCGAGGACGAGTATTTGGTGGCAGATAAGTCGTAACACGGGTCATAAAGTGATCATATTCTCACACGGCGACGCGACTGTCTCTTGGTGGAGGAAATTTCTACAGCACAAACTGCCGGATTAGGGGATGGAGGTTCTCGCCAATCTGGGGATGGGCTCTGCGGCGCACGGATGCTACAGTACGCAGTAAAAGGCGTGCCCGCAGGCTGCATGAGGAGGATCCCTGTCGTTTAGTGGTGGGACAGGGGACTTTGCTGGCTGCTTGCGTGGAGCAGCTAGCAACAACGGCGAATAGCCGTTGAGCGGCAGGTGCCGCGCTGGCACTCTTATCAAAGTTGGACCTAAGATGATATAAAGGACCTTAACCTCCTCCCCCTTAGATCAATACCCCTAATATGAATTGGCGATGACATTAAAAAATGGATATCGACCGCGAACAATTTTCGCTATTTGACAAGGAGACAGATTGGTTAAAACCGTCTATCCTGCTTATGGTCTTCGATTAATTTAAGATCCACCAAGATTTTACATCGAGGTTATCATATGCCGTGAGATGAATGTTCATCGGGTAGAAGAGCTGTCTATTGTCGGGAACTCAGAAAGGAGTTACGATTACAAATACAATATTGCCAAAGATGGGTTGGGTATTGTTACAGACGCCATGTCGCTACGCCATTTCTCCAAACACGCTTTTTTATGAGAACCACTAAATATCCTTGGAAACGATATCATCAGGCAGATAGTCTGGGCATTGTCTAAATCCTCAATACTGATACACAATGATCAAGCGATCGCCACAGGTACATCACCTATCGAGAGCTTGGCTGTGGCACTATTCGGCCGTTAGTAAACATGTTAAGGAGAAGCGTAAGGACTTTGCTCACCATATTCCAGTAGACACCCCTCTTCTTCAACAATTCGGCATGATTCCCTTGCTCAAGGACGTGGCCCTCGCCCAGGACATATATGATATCTGCGTTCTGGATTGTAGAGAGCCTGTGTGCCACAGCGACAGTGGTGCGGCCAACGGCCACCTTCTGAATCGCTGCGGAAATTGCCTTCTCCGACTCCGAGTCGAGACTGCTCGTTGCCTCGTCCAGGAGGAGAATCTGTGGGTTGCGGATCAATGCTCGGGCAATGGATAGTCTCTGTTTCTGACCGCCGCTGAGGGCAACGCCCTTGGAGCCGACGTTTGTGAGGTATCCGTCTGGCAGCGACACAATGAAGTCATGGATGGACGCGTCACGGCAGACCTGGTGGATCTGTTCCTCAGTGACTTCCTCAGGGTCGACTCCAAGGAGGATATTCTCCCTGATAGTCCCTACAGCACGTTGTCAGTGTGTTCAATGGCAAGCATGAATGTGCAACTTACCTTGGAACAAGGTGGGCTCCTGCGCCACAAGTGAGAGGAGATTCCGATACTCATAGACATTTACATCCTTGATATCTGTCCCATTACACAGAATTTGGCCTTTCTGAACATCATAGAACCTCTCTAGAAGAGATACGATGCTCGTCTTGCCTGAGCCCGAAGCACCGACAAGAGCAGCAAACTGTCCTCTCTCGATCGTGATGTTGAGATTCTTGAAGATAGACACGTTTCTCGTCGGATACTTGAAGCCCACGTTGCGGAACTCGATTTTGGCACCACCCTCCACATCAGGAATCTTGGCATCCGCCTCATCTCTATTCCGCGACTCTCGAATGCTGAGGATACGATTCGCCGCTCCTGTGGACTGGGCGGCATTCGGGGCAAAGGAAAATCCTTGGCCGGCGGCCTCAGCGCCTTGGATAACGGCCATGTAACAGACAAAGAAGTTCAAGAGTTGGTACTCTCTGGTTGCCAGTAGTCGTCCGCCATACCAGAAGATGAGCGCCTGGCAAGCCAAGCCGATGGAGTCAGACAAGGCAAAGACAAGAGTTGACCATCTAGATTTCTTGTAGGCTGAGACGACGTGTTGATTGAGGAGCATTTCATATCGATCGGTAATAACATCTTCGAGAGTTAAGGCAGAGACGGTGCGGAATGCACCGATGGACTCAGCTGCCCATTTCGAAGACTCGGCAAAGACCTAAATTTGTCAGATTTGACCCTTCTGAATGGGTATGAGTTAAGTCACTTACTGCGGCATACATCTTTTCGAACTGCAGTTCGTACTTTAATCTGAAAAAGCCGGCGGCTAGGCCAAGCGGGACGGTAACGCAGAGAGCAACGAGGGCAAGTTTCCAGCCATAGACGAATGAAATAATCAGTGCCCCGATGAGTTGAAACATAGAGGAGTAGACCATGGCCATGTTCATGCCAAGCATCTCTTCTAATTGTTTCGGATCTCCCGCGACGCGAGCACTGAGACTACCTGTGGAGTTTTCCTCTTCGTCGAAGAAGTCGGTCTTCTGATAGAGCATGGCCTCGAAGTATTGTTTTCGATAGGTGGCACAGATATACTAGTAAGATAGTCAGGATCGGGCTTCATGTTTATACAGACAACATATCTGCATGCTTACGTATTGAAGCTGTGTGGCAGAATAGCCAAGAATGAGGTAGGAAATGCCAATGCCAATAGCGAGAACAAACCACATGAGAGACCAGAAGCGACTTTCATGAAGAAACTTTTCTCCAGTGTAGTTGAACACGACAATAATCTGAGCAAACAAGTACGCTTGGAGTGGAAAAGAAGCTGTTACTTTGTCAGCGCTGTCAAATGTCCAGAAGAGAGGGATAGCATACCAGCTGCACAGGCGGCAAAAATAACAGTGATCGTATAGGTCGGCCATTTGCTTTTCTGCTCGTATAGAAGCCGTCCAAAGCTGCCAATCAGGCCCTTGGCCTTCCAACTGGTAAGCCTCTGAGTGACTTCGGCATCTGCCTGTGCGGCGCTCTTCTCGCGAGTCAAAATGGCGTCAATGTCCTCTTCGGATTCTGGCCCTTCATCCTCTTCACCGTCTTGGCCACCTAGAGCGAGCCGTTGAGCGTTGACAAGGCCAGCGTAAACGCCTTCCTCGTTCTGCAAAAGGCTCTCGTGGGTACCTTGCTCCTTCAGCTTGCCCTTCTGAAGAACAACGATCTTGTCTGCCTTTCGAATAGTCGAGAGCCGATGGGCAATCATGATTGTAGTTCTACCTTTGGAAACCTTCTCGAGCGCGACTTGAATAATCTTCTCGCTGCGGACATCAATGGCTGAGGTGGCCTCATCTAGGATGAGGATCTTAGGCTTCTTGACGATGCTCCGCGCGATGGCAAGTCTCTGCCTTTGACCGCCAGAAAGCTTGGTACCTGAATCACCCACTTGTGTATCATAACCCTAGATTCCCATGTTAGCTAGGAGCGACACAGACAAAAAGAAGACGCCATACATCTGGGAGTCTATCAATGAACTCGTCAGCAAAGGCCTCTTTGCACGCCTCGCGCACAAGTTCCTTCTTGACGTTTTCTGGCTCGTTCTCCCATTCGGTTCCAATCAGCCCATGCATAACATTGGCGTATATTGAGTCGTTGAATAGGAAAGGCTCCTGTTGTACCAACCCAATCTGTGCTCTCCACCACTTCAAGTTGATGTCGTCGAAGCTATGTCCCGAAGTCTCAATTGTACCTTTGAGTTCAACGCGCGGTCCCGTTTGTTCAACTGCCCCTGCGGAATCGGCATCGTCTTCATCATCCTCGCCAGCGTCTTCACGCTTCTCTTTCAGGCGAGCCCAGAAGGACTTCTTCTCTCCTGCTGCTGGCAACTCGGAGGAAGGCTTGGTCTCGGCCGCCTTTTTCTTCTTCGGATCTTTTTCGATTGCTTTGGCGATTATGTATTGGTCGTGAAGGGTGTACCACCTCTCTACCAGGCCGACTATTGTGCTCTTACCGGAACCAGATGGCCCAACAATTGCTGTCACCTTGCCAGCCTCAATGGTCAGGTCCAGGTCGTCCAAGACCTTTACATGAGGTCTCCCAGGGTATGCAAAGTCAACTCCCTTGAACACAATATCTTCAGAAGCAGATACATCTGGAGCTTTGAGATGACCCGTCTTAGGTCGAGGTGCGTCGATGACGGCAAAGAATTCGGCAGCGGCTACCATTGCCTTAGAGGCTGCGATCATAGGAGTGGACATGCGCTCGAGAGAAATGACCATCATCATGACAGACATTAGGACACTGTCGAACGACACTTAGTCATGTCATTACAAGAGTGGTAGAAGAGAGGCTCACATGATGACGGTTCCCACGCTATCAATTGTCCCATCATGGAAGGCCTTGGTACCGTACCAGAAGGCCAGGCCGAATGCGCCGTAGAGGCCAAAAAACTGGTTGTGGTTAGTAAACATAGGGAAATCCGGCTTGCACAAAACGCACCACAAGGCCAAACTGGATTGCTATCAGGGGTGATGTAAATTGACCGTGCTTTTTCGCCTCATCAGCCCAATGAGCATATCGTTTTGCAACTCTTGACTCGGCACCACAGGCAGCGACCATTCTGATACTGGTGAAAGCTTCGGACGCAACAGCTCCTGCTTTTATCTCGGCCTAAGTAACGGTCAGCCAATCTCTGTTACTGTTATTGTTACTGTCAAATGCCCTGGAAGAGCGTACCCTAGTAAGCCTGGACTGGCCTTTGATGATGAATGGGAGCAAGACACTAAGTGTGAGGGCAATGAAGAGGATGACGCTGCCAGTCACCAGGGTCAACGCCCAGGAGAACGTGAAGGCAACGATGATCGCGGTCACAATCGTCGACAGGAACTCGAGAAAAGTGCCGAGCTTCTCGGATATGCCCAGCTGAAGGGTGTTTGCTGTAGATGTGATGGTACCTGCTGCAGCGCCAGGAGGCATTGAGTCCAGGACATGGATGGATTGGCCGAATAGAGATCTCAGGTAGTCAAGCCTGATCCCTGCCGACATTCGAATTCCAATCAGGCGGAAGCAGAACTAGGCTCGTTAATAATAGAAGCTATTCGAGAGGTGTCGTGACTTGTTACCTTGCTGACATAGTTCAAGGTAAAACGAGCGATGAAAAGAATGAAGATGAACAAAGACAGCCTGTTGAGGGAGTGTTCGAACTCGCCCTATCACCACGGATATCAGTTGTGTAGGAAACACGTGTAACATATTTGCCAACCTTTGTAACAGTTGTGTTTGGCAGGAAGTAGTCGGTAAAGTTGCCCACCATATTTCCAAACACCACATTCATCAACGGAAGAGTCTTGATGGCTGCGTATTAGTCCGCGCCTTGAAGAAGAGCAATATGCATGCATGTGAAGACACTCACGGTTCCAGCGCCTAGAGAGGCCAACGCGGCAGCAACCATCAAGACATAGTCCCATTTTGTTGCGTACGAGAAGATGCGTAGGTAGTCCTTGAACTCGGCTTCTCTCTCTGGACGAGCAGCCTTGGCAGCTTGATCCTCGCCTGGCAACTGCGTTTGAGGAGACTCGGGACGACTGTTCGTCGTTTTCTCCTTGTCGTCGGTGCTGGTCTCCATGTTGGATACTGTCTCAACTGAGCCTATGGTGTTCGTTGATGTGATCCCAAAAAGACGAGTCTGCTATCGAACCCAGGCACAGGGTCTAATACGGTTTACTTTCGGGGCAAACAAACAACATCTGCAACACCATAGGGTTGCCGGCGCATCGACAAGAGAAGATGCACCAGGATTGTCAACAAGTAGATTGAAGGTCAGCAAGACAGAAATATCGAAGGTACAGCCATCAGCCTGTTACGACGCCAGGCAAAGTTGCTCGAGGTCAGAGAAGAATATTAAATGTCGAGGGTTCGAGATGAGGAGCAAACGCCACTAAAGTATAAAGTAGGTATGTATGTATGCCTGGGGGGTCTTGGTATTGGATGCTGCTGACCTTACATGGTGCGTAGGAGGTAGTAGGTATGTATGTAGATGTATCCTCATGAAAGGTAACGTTATGCAGCGGCGTGTGCTCATAGATAATAATGTACACGCGTGCGTTCCTTCGCTCCTACAACAAACGGGACTTACGTTGCAACCAAGTCGGCAAGCGGCAGACTAACTGCATCCCTACGGCTCTAACTTAGTATAGTCGCGAAGTTTGCGGTAATGACCTACACGAGGAACCCGACATACGACGACTGCGACTACCGCCACCCCCTACATGTACCTACCTAGGCAATATCATACAGCGCCTGTGTGCCTCCATTCCTCTTCTTTGATCGCCGAAGCGACGCCATCACTTCGCTTAACCTGTTGGATACGTGTATAATTCAGTGGTGTCGATCTAGGCCCATCAACTAATTGGAGACTGGGGGGAGGCCCGGGGCCACGCTTCCCGCGCACCCTTCGCCCCGGTCGGGCGGTCGGGCAAATCAACGAGCCCGGCTTACAGGCCTCCCGGCATGTTCTATTAATTCGTTGTCCTTAACTTCATCTGGACAGCTCTTTGACAAGCAGGACAAGTTATTTCCAGTTGTCTGGCTTCCCCAACCCACTCCCCTTAGAATCTAGATAATGGTGGGGAAGCACCCACCTGTAACTCTTAGGTAAACTGGTAAGGTGCAGCTAAGTTCCCCTTATGCATCCACACGACAGCACCGGATGCCAAATTTGCGGCTTGTAAGTGGCTCGCCTGCAATGTTCTCTTGTCAAGCCACCGTTTTGAAGAATTCAGGCTTCCATTAACTGGAAACACTCGGCCGAGACTCACCAAAGCCAGCCGAAACGCCTCAAGCATCAAGACACGCATGTCCGTGACGTTTTAGCACGCGAGGCAACCACCACTTACTTGAGCCAGCTTAGAGTGTAATTACACAGAAGAAGCACATCATGCCAGATGGCTCCACGAGCAACGCGGCAAGAGCTGAAGCAAATCTCGTACCGCCGTTCTACTGCTTCTATACCGCCATCGTTGTACTACAAAGAAGAGTTGTGCCACTTGCTGTAAGCCAACGCGAATCTCTGGGTCATTCATCGCAAAAACCCTTGTGACAACGTCTTGGCACACCACTATTCTATTCACAAGAACGCCACAAGGGCTGGGATGTGTGACTTCTCAATGACATCCGATGGCACGCAGGCCTCGCTTGACTAGGACAAGAGAGCGCTCATGTCAAATCATATCATATTAGCCATTCCTCAAGGGCAGCATGAGAACATGGGATTGCGCACGTGTGTGTTCTTCTAACAAATATCCTTGTTATCATGACGGAGATGGATAAACTACAGCAGGTTGGAGCTTCAGATCGATCCTACGAGCATATTCAAGGTGAAAGGTAATTATATCAAGGGTTTGTCTTGACTTGCATTGGATGACTTCCGAATACAAGAAAAAATCATGTTTCGAAGGGTTATCAAAAGGCAGCCCATAGTAAGAACAATTCGTCTCGAAGAACGTGTCCCGGTAAAAGGCTGGAATCTGAGGGCGACTTCGATTTTCGAATTTGGTTCTGGGATGTATTTAGCAATTAACAGGCGCTCAATGGATTACTCGGCATCAGGATGGAAATATCAAAAGCTGATAACTCAAATGGATGCAGCTGGTGCTTCCTTCCTTCACTGTCGTCACTGCAATGTGGCTGTTATCAAGGCTTGGATACGGCTTCGGTACAAAAAGATGTTTTGCTTCTTACAATGGTCCATTGTGACACTGACATCAAACTTTATACAGGCAATCGACAATTATAAGGTCAAGGGCAGCAGCGTGCCGCCCTCAGGGAGCTTCCACTCTTTACCCTCATCACACATCTACAATTTTCGCCCAATCCATGTCATCATTAACAAGGCCAACCAGTCTCACAAGGGCTTGATCTTTCACGATTTTCCCTTCATCATTCTCCTTTGTCTCACAATCCTCTCTATCTCCAAGAATTAAGAGGGCCGTATACGAGGATCCATTCGCCATCTGTACCCACCTTCCTTGACATCCTGCTGTTTAGAGGCTGCTATGGACAGTCTTTGTCTCCGGGATACACAACTCGAGGAGGCTCCTCCACGTGAACTCTCGTCATACACCCAGTGAGAGAAAGACAACGCTGGCACACGGGTGGTCAGCTTGCCTCTCACCATGGCCAGCCACAAGCATCTCCCAGCAGCCGGTGGTTCGCACCTTACTGCACCAACAAGTGCCTTGGCTGGTGCTAGATCTATCATTGGGCAGCATGGTGTGAGCCTGGCCACTGTGAATGCCACCTTGAACACGCGTACGTCTCTGATCAGACCCTCTGGTCGCGGCGCGTATCTCCGGGAGCTTGATGACCCAGCAAACCTTCTCCAGGTGAGTAGTTTTGGAAAACCCCACACTTTATCGCCTACCACCGTGGATGATCTCTAACCCTTTATAATGAAGATGCTCTTCAAAATCCCCAAGGGCCCAGGTTTTCGGAGAATCGATCCTCAACACCGGGGCCTTCAGGAGATGCTAGACCATGTCCGAACAACCTGTAAAGTTTGGATCAAGGTGCACGAGAACCAAGACCCGGACTATATTCTTGTCTTTGCTGAGGAAGAGACCCGACTCCAAGATGCATTTGCCAGCCTTCTCCGGCTTCTCCAGCTCCCTGATCTAGACGCAGAGGATAAAGAGCAGGGCATGATCGCCTACTTGATCTACCCACCTCACGACAAGGATGCATTTGTCGTGACTGCCCAACCGTTCTCTCTGAACCAGCATCGTTTCGCGGCAGCTCTGGTTGAGCGCGAGTCCCTGAGTGCTGCTGGCCGTGCCCAGCAAGTGTCTGAGTTCCTGGATGAATTCAAGAGCATGGCTACCATTCTCCGTCGCACTCCTGACAATATGCAAATGCGTCTCAATCTCGGCACGGTCACTCTCAAACAGCGACCCAGAAGGCCCGAATTTCATCTGGAGGATTTGGAGAAGCTGATGCGAAGCCTTCGCCAGCGTCAGACTACAGATTTTGATGCTAGGTATTTGTCTGCTTATGGCCAACATATACAAGCTAACGAATCACAGTATTGGCGATGGAAACTTCGGAAGAGCGCTTCTCGATACGATTTTCGAGTGCCCGGAGGTCTTTGAAGGCACCGAGACAACAGACTTGGCCTTGGGGCACGTCATACCGCAATACAGACTTACTGTTATCACAGCCAATCTTCACCTGGAGACGGAGATTGTCTCGGAACTGAAAGGCTACAGCCACGCGCCGGGGAAGGTGTATCGTATTGGCGAGCGTAGCAAACGTGCTCGTATCAACACCTTCTGTCCAGAGAAGTGCGTCTCATTTTGGAATAGCCTGCGATGTGTAATGCAAGGAAATATCACTGACAGCGATATAGGAAGTTTGATTGGTGTTTAAACATCATCACCGAGAGTGATGCCAAAATTGTGCCTCGCGCTCTCACCAACTTCGTTCAGAATATCAAATTCAACGAGGTGAACCCCGAGGCTGGATTCCTTGCTTTCCCAAAAGTCATTTTCATCAAAGAGACCGCAGTCCAGGCTCAAGTAACCGAAGTCACTGGCAACAGCATTTGGCAATTTTCGATTCGTGAGACACCATATATCATGGAGGTCGCCATTCACCATCAGTGGGATCCTCTCAACATGAGGGCTGAACCTGTAATGTCTTGTGGCTTGTTTATCTTCGGCCAACGATGGGACCAAGAGTTGACCTGGACCAACACGGTGGTCGGGGAGCGAGACTGGGGCAACGACTTTGGCCAACTTTTTCTTGACTACGAGGATCAGACGGGCATCGAAAGCCTCTTGGGCCTCGTTGACAAAATCCAGGACCTTATCGGATCCATTCCTAAGAGCGCTGATTGATTTAGCCATTCACATAGTGCAGGCAATTTGCAATTGCATCTTTTAGGTACCGAACTGCAATTCTCGGTGCTTTTTTGGTCGTAGCAGAAGTGGATTTCTAGTCGATATTAGATGAAGCTGAAACTGGAACGTGGTTGCGTTCTGGTGATGCTTGCTGTCGGAAAACGTTCAACATGAGAAGTAATCACCACGAGGTGACTGTCGGAATACATTGCCTGTCACTGAAACTTTGAGAGAACAGAATCAAGCTGTGAATTGGTGTTACATTGTCTAGTGCAATGTCAATAAATCTGACTTGATTCTATTTGTTGTGTCTTTATGGCCCTTCTCTTTTTCACGAGATCCATCTTCCAAGACGCCTAGACTATAATTCCGTCCCTTCGACTAGGTCACAACGGTTCCTCCAGCCCAGGCCACTCTGCCCATGCCACGACCGAAGAGGCAATGCTGGCAGATGTCAAACGGGCAGCACAGCTATTCGGTAGGACACATGTCCTAGACGAGTCCCAAGACCTCCGTCAGAATGTCCGCGCCTATTTTGAGGATGCGAGCATTTTCTGCCTCAATACTGCAATACATCTGTTAGTATGGCCGGACTACGATTTTGAAACATCCTATGTGCTACTGACCTTCTTCAACCATACGAAGGCTGTTTGACTTGTTCTGTACGATAGTCTCCAGATCTTGGATGTTGCCCCCAAGTTCTTTCACCTTATCCTCATAGAAACGCGTTGCGCTCTTGACATCCTAGATCCCCAGTTAGTAAAAATGAGATGGCAAGGTTTGCACTCGTATTGCCACAAACTTTTTCGATGAAGAAACCCGTGCCGATATCCACGAGGACATGGTCTGGATTTGACAGATTTCCCCGGACATAAAGCGAGTTGGTCAAGGGTACAAGGATCTCCTTTTTCTCTTGAGTGATGGTTAGCAGAGTCCAAATCATGCATCCCATGGAGCACCGCATCTCACCTTTCACCCCAGACTGGCTCTTGACACAGCGAAGACATTCTCGAAACTTGCCCTGGGCAGCCTGAAGCTGCGCAAAGGAGCTCGTCAGGTGCTCGACCTCGTCATCCAGCTGCTTCTTGACCTGGCTCAGTTGCTGAGCGCTCAGGCTGTCGAGGTTGACTAGTAAAGATGTCAGTGAGATGAGGAGCGAAGCGGGATCGAGAACTCCATACTCTGTTGTCCTCCTGCCCCAGACATTATGAGCGAGCTCTGCAACGACCGACTGTTGGGAACTCAGAGATGAATGCGATGAGCCTTCACTGACTTGACTGGTGAAGCAATGCGCCACTGGAAACCCTGACTGTAGATGCTCTAAAATGCCCAAGCTGAAAGCTGCCAGGGTTGGGGTTACCTATGACAGCCGCAACGCTGGCGACAACGATAAGCCCGATAAGCCCCACTACGACTTCAGGTGCTTCCGTCATACCTCTTCCTCCTAATTTACGATTTTGAGAGAGGCATTGTTGTTCTCTATCCAGTAAGACAAAGAGATAGAGAAACCAAGATGTATTCAAATACACCTCCCGCGCCGCCTCCCAAGCCTGGGAGCCATGATGCCTCCCGTATGGGCACCCCAGCGACGACGCAATCGCCTCGACCGCCGCCTCCTATCCCCGACCAGCACTCCAACCTGCCCGAAGCGATGGGCGGTGCAACGGCCCAAGCACAGATCACCCGGCCAGAGTCAATACCAGATCCCGGTGATCAATGGCTACCGAAGTTTCTACAGGACAAATCGTGCGTTCTCTTCCCAAGAGCGCTCACCCCCGCTCCCGCCCCCCTTGACTTTGGGCTGAAGACTGCAGCTAACCCAGTGCCCATAGAAAGCAAGATCTCGCTGATATCCTCTCCTCACCGGCACTCCTCAATGGCCTGACACACGCCTCCTCCACCATCCACCCCTCCCTCTCCGCCTCGCACGAGGCGCTGCAAGCCGCGCTGAACGAGAACGTCGAGCTGGCGACACACCTCCTGGAGCTAGAGTCGCGGCTCGCGCACCAGCGCTCCGCAACACAGGGCCAGCTGCTCTCGACGCACGCGCTCGAGCGGCAGTGGCGGCAGAAGCAGAGCGACATGGACCGCGCGCTGAGCCCGTTCGCGCCGGCGTCGCTGTATCAGCGCCTCGGCCAGGGCGTGCAGGAGCAGGAGATGGTGTGCCTCGCGCTCGAGGAGAGCTTCCTGGAGGGCGAGGGTGCCGACGGCGGCACGGCGACGGAGCGGGAGACGATGGAGTGGGTGCGCCGGTATCGCGAGGCCAAGAAGCTGTACTATCTGCGGCAGGAGAGGAAGGAGAGGTGGGATGAAGGGCGAGTTGGTGGCTGGAGGTGATATCATTGGGTTGCTAGTAGGACTAGCCTGATCATGACTGATGTTTATGAAAACGATTTAAATTTTATCACAACATCGCTACCAAGATCACTGTTCAGATCTAAGGATCTGTTTGTGGTATATATATAGGCTCACACCGTGAGGGAAGACACGACTGATGGAGGATATGTTGCATTACTGAGCTTTGTATAGCTGCAGAGGCCTCGTAAGAGGGCGGAGCATATAATAAGCTCCCCAGAGCGGGATATGGTATCTAAATGCTGAATGGCGCTTCAAAAACGAGCTGTACATGGCAAGATTGCACATGGTTGGTGATATCCAAGGAATACCCCTTCTTTCACAAATAACCTCCGCCGCACCCTCATGCCCACTTCTAGCGTGGCCGAGCAGTAGTCTATAGTGAAATATCTTCGAGCCCTCCTCGCCTACGCATCGCAACAAGGCCTTTCCAAGTTGCTAGGGTTCCAAAATCCAGGTCCAGGTCTTCGGGACAGTGGTAAGCATAAGATACCCTAAGAGGGTGTTGTGCGATCTCGGAGCGACATAAATGGACGTTTCTGCGACACAACCATGGATAGAGTAATGCCCCTATAACATGCTGAAGGGACTCTTCGCCATCTCTGGGCTCCTCGGGCTCATAGGCAGGGCGAAAAGATCTTCTTCCGTGTCCGGATTTTCCTGCGTTGCTTCCTGGGTGTCCGACTCTACAACGGCATCTAAAGACGCCACGCCGCCACCCGCGGAACCAGCCGTCCTGCCGGGGAAGGTCGAGAAAGATGATACAGCAACGTCGCCCGCTTCCGGTGCGAAAGACGTTATCTGCCGTGGCTTCTTCTGGGTTGTCTTGCTGGCTGTCAAAATATGTGAGCACACACATACACGCACTGGAATTTCTCGACCACCCCTAGGGTGTTGCTAGCTCACCTTCTTTTGCTGCAGCCAACTCTGCGGGCGAAGTCGCCAGCTTGAGGCCCTTCAGCTTCTCGCCCAAACGGCCCCCTATGGGCGATCTCGGGCTCGATGGTGTCATGGGGCTGGACGTGCTGAGAGGGATGGCCCCGGCGCTAGATGTGTCGATGGACAGGCCGAAATGCTTCACTATCCATTCCCGCTCCTGCGCGGCCATCTCCAGCCCGACGCTCTCGCCGTTTGTCTTCATCTCGGTGATGATCTCGGCCTCCAACTCCTGCAGACGCTGCTTGGCCCAGAGCGTATGAAGCACTCCCCTCGACCCTGTCTCGCGCTTGTTCGCCCCCAGACCTTCGGGGAAGATCGCTGGCAGAGGCTTCGTCCGGAGCGTCACGCCCCCCGAGGCCTTGGAGATCGAGACGAGCGGCGGAATAGGGGCGCCGGGCGGAAGGAGGAAGTACACACGTCGGTTGGCGCCGCTCGTAGAATCGGAGTCGCGGATCGGCAGCACGGTCGTCTTGCCCTCCCAGGACACCTCCCAGTCCCCTAGGGGACCGCTCTCCGCGGCCGGCCCCTTTGTCTCGCCCGCCGCGGCAGCTCCGTCCCACTCCACCATGAGGATCTTGGTCCCCTCGTTGCCCTTGTCACTCTCGAACTCGAACCTTGCCAGCGCAAAACCCGCCGACGGGGAGGTCGGCGTGTCCACCACGTTGAGTTCCGCCTCATCCGCCCCACCGGCGAAGGTGCTGGGCGGCGGCGGCGGCGGAGCCATCCTCGCACAGGTCTAGTTCACAGCGGTTGGGTGCGAGCTATGCGTAGATCAAAGGCGCATGTCCCAAACACCATACAGACGCGCGGCTGCAGCAGGGCCACTCCTCGAACCTATGGATCGGGAGCTGCAGGCGGACCCGTACCAGGCGGGTGGGCGCAACCACAAGTCAGACTCAACGGGACGGGGCCAAGTCGGAGAGGGGGCCGCCGACACTGGCAGGCCAGATCAGGCCAGATTGAGTCAGAGGTCTCAAGTACGGTTCGGCTGAACAGGTAGACGATCGAACGACGTGACTGGGCGGCAGTGGTTGGTCCTACAGCAGCAGTGTCAGAATGTCATCTCACATGCGCAGTCGCGTTGCATAGCAGGTGGGCAAAGTACGGTACAGGCGAGGCAGGTAGCTAGCTAGCTGATGCTGCTTTCGAAGGGGCGGGCGGGTGTCAGTCAGGAGGGGGTCCGGCGATATGGGGGTATGTCGGTCCGGGTGTAATTTAATATAAAGTAGGTAGGTGTTGGCCCGTGGCACCGTCTGCAATTCCTGGACGTCGAAGCTGTCGCCTTTCGGGGAAACGTGGAAAGCTAGGTAACAGCAAGCACGCACACACAGAGGGCCAAGATCATATATTCCCGCACGTAAGCTGAAAGTCGAAAGGAGCAAGGGGAAGCAGATCTAGTTGACGACGACGCAGACTCGGGAGGGAGGGAGCGGGGACGGTACCCTGAAGAGGAGAGAAGGGCGCAGAAACGACAATGGGGTAGAGGTGAGCTACCTCCTTTGTTAAAGCAGGAGGTTCGGAGATATGTAGCTGGAGCGTCTCCAAGCTAAAGTAGATGAGGAATATAAAAAGCTGACAGGAAAGAAAGAGGCAGAAGAGCTGCCCGCCAGGGGTCTTGGGGGCGAGAAGTGTCGACAACTCTATCCACCAACCAGCCTACATAACCATAACGTACTTAACCATAGCAACTAAGATTAACATGACATAAAATGTACCTACACGGCTCGCCTGGGCTTGTCTCAAGACGGCGCTCTGGGCTGGCGCGCGCGCAGGAAGTGGGATAACACCCAAGCATAGGATTGGATTGGGAATGGGATTGGGAGTGCCCCTCATCGGGTGTTCCCCGTTCATGGAGCCCCCTCCTGCGCCATGTTCCACGTCTCTTCCATGCGTCCTCCCATGTGGGTGGATGGGATACTTCAGCATGGGTATGTGTAGTTCGCTAGCCAAGGGTGGAGATAGGTAGAGGGCCGCCGCGGCCACCACCGGCTCGAGGCGTCTCCCGTCACTCCCTCGTTCACGACCATTCATCCCCAACGGAACCTAGAGTTTGATGCATGACAGCGCTGTCGAAGAGGGAAATGAGCAGTATCTTGGCCAATCGCCAGCAGGCCGACAGCAGCAAATCAATCGATCAAGGGACGGCGAGCAGTGAGCGAGGGGAGGCAACCCGAGGGGTCGAGGAGGAGGTGCCGCATTGGACGGGCCATGGGGTATTTTGGCAGGGTCTTTCATCATGGGCCGGTCCCAAGAAAAGCTCCCGTCTCAGTGAATGGGTAGAAAGAACATTTAGGTAGACAGGAGCCCCACCAACGCTAGAGCATTTCTGAGTTAGGGCCCCCGCGACTGCCATGACAAATGCTAAAAATAGAGCACCTGCCCACGCGGCGGTCCTTGTGCGACTCTGCGTTTGTCGTGCGTGCTTAGATCCCTTTGGTCCCCTTTCATGCAAACCAACGCGGTGTCCGGCATTCATGTATGGATGCGGCGGCGGCGTGCGAGATTTCAGAATTCCCCGAACATCACAAGAGCATTCTTCGCAGAAGATTTGCGCGCAGCAGCAAAGTCCCCCGAACAGCATACCTAACGGCTTAATTCACTTGCAGTTTTCTGATATCCTTAAGAATACTACAAAGTCCCAAAAAGGCTATTCACATGCTCTAGAAATGGCCGATGCATCAGGTCGTGTTATCAGGTTGTGTGTGTAAGTCTCTATCGGACGAGATACCCGGACCCACGGATTCCTTCCCAGGGCGGCTAGAAGTATCGTCGCAGCAGCTCGCTGCATAATGTTACTCGACCCCCCGATTAGGTATGCTTCACTGCTTGCCGCATGATTGATGGCCTGTCTCGATCTCAAAACGTCTTGGTCAAGTCTTCGGCAGCATGACTAAACCTGGCACCTACCGAGGCAACGGCGCAAGTTCGCAAATGCGATGGCACGCCAGCATTGACGTCGAAGGAGCAAAAAGCTCAAGGATTGATTATAGAATGACTGCTACTGCTGCTGCTTCTTGCTCACGCATATCCGTCTGCGTGCCGCTTTCTCATTGACTCATGTACGACGGAAATCGGAGGCTGTCAGATGATGATCCCTGCGCCGAACGGGAAAGCATACGCATCGCCAACAAATGTGAATCATGATGATCGCTGCTCACCTTGAATCCCGCACTGCGATCCTGCGCGCCTTGTGATAAGAGTTGATTTCAGATTTGAATTCAGATTCATCCACGTCTGGCCTGTCCATTTGATCGACATCCAAAGAGGGGTACTGCAACCACGCGGACCTGATGCCGGAACCAACGGGAGGGCATCCCAAGGCCGGATGGTGGTAGCGAGCGCCTCGCCGGGCTTGCAGTATAGTCTGAGCACCCGCCCAATCCGCTATCCAGAGCGGTCGGGGAACCTGCTGCCCCTGGGTTGGCCAGAGAGTGCGACTTGCATCATAAGCGTGCGAGTAATTGACTCTATCAAGCACCTTCGGGTGCTGTATCACACCGACACCGGGTTTCCACCTGTCGCCTCGGGAAATATCGACGCTAAGCGGTCAGACACTTCAGAAGTGCATTCGATAGCCGGCCTGAACCAGATCGAGCCCAGACGCACCAGCACAACGCGTAAGTGCGGAGGTGGCTTAACATGGGGTCAATATTTGTATCGTAGCTGGTAGCCAAGTCTAGCGGGTTGCGCAGTGGTCCTGTGCAAGATAGCGATCTGCTTCTAGCCCACTTAGGTGCTCAGTCAGAATACACTATGCGCTTGATGACATGTTCGTGAGCCTTCTCCGAATCATTTTACCGTAGCTTCAAACAGTGCATTATCTTCGGATTGAACGAAGATGAATTCATTTTATCATTGAAGTTCTTGTGATGCCCGAGAACGGCAACATCAAGCGCCCGGGGTCGGCTTCGTCAACGACGACTGGCCGAAACAAGCAACCAAGCTAGGTATCAGTTAAAGTGCACTAGACAAGAAAATGACAGATCTGTTACCAGCTATCGGATGTCACCTTGCCCGAAGGCGACGGGTCGGACGAGGGTTTACAATGCGGTGCGACGGAAGAGGAAGCCGAATATCGGAGTGCAATTCGGAGCGGGAAGAAACGTGGCTATGTCCCCACAGCGCCGGGACTACCGGCGGTCATCGGAGTCGCCTCGGCATCGTCACTCGATCGACCCGGGAATCTTTGCAAACGGACCGCTGTCACTCTCGGCTCGTGCTGACTGGAGCGCTTGAGAAGTGAGCCTTTGCTTTTGCCCCAGACCCAACGTGGGTCCCGCAACCAAAGGACACCGCTAGCGAAGCTCGTCCGGCTCTTCATGGCCGATGACTCTGAGACGGCCCGAAGAGCCTCTGCCCGCACCGACAATGAACTCTATTGTCTGGAGTTCGCGCTGCCCGTGTGACCCAGATATCGCATCATGGACCCATCTGCGGAATTCGGGTGGTCCATATAGGGTTGATGGAGCCGGCACCGCTTCGGGGATTTGACTCGGCCGCATTCTTAAGGGTCTCCATAGGGCAATCAATTCAGCTGCAACAAGGGCAGCTCTTTGGTAGCTGAGCTGACTGACGCCTTGCTGCTGCTCTCTGCCGTGCAACGTATCCTCCACCCGCTGGCGGGCGGGGGCGAGACCTTTTGGTTTCGGTTTCAGAGTCGATCACGATGCGAGAGGTGCAGATGGCCTTACAAATAACCAAAGGGAGTCGTGCCACAATCGATGTGGTCGATATGGGCCCTCAATGGCAAGCAAGGCTCAAGGACCTGGGATGTATGGTCATCCAAAACCCACGGACGCGTACGGCACATTAACAACTGATGAGGGCCGATTGGCAATCGCAAAAGACGCTGGGTAAAGCAGCCGGTCGGCGAAATTCCGCCCTGGTACACGGCCAGAGCGGCCCTACTGAGCAACTCCGCTCCCAGCCCGCTCGCAGGTGGATCAAACACCATTCTGGGTGCGTCAAGAAACCCCTTTGGTGGGAAGTGCAGGCTCTATTCGGCCGAACTCCTTCTGTGTTCGCGTTCCGCTCCGACAGTGGCCCTGAATGCGTGAGTGCGGTGACCCCCAAAAGGAGTAGAGGGCAGAAAGGGGGAAGCGAAGAGATGGCCAATCACGGCGCTTTCTTGCCATTCGAAAAAGACGGTGCGAGAATCACCGGAGTAGGGCCGTAACGACTTCAGGTCACGACAGTTCCGCATTTGGGCCGTTTTCGCCAGTAATTCGGATAAATTCAGTATGGCCTATCTATCGACAGGGGCTATGGGGGCTCCGTTTACTTGCCCATTCTCGTGATCTCACGCCCTCAATCTATCGTGGCTCATTAGGCAAAGCACCGATGCTCGACTGTCTGCTCGATTGGCCCGACACTGACAAACGGGCACAGTATATACTGTCGACTGTTCATTTCTGTTACCTTGAATGTGCTGCTGGCCGTGACTCCCCACGTCGCATTGCGTTGCATGGTCGGAGATCTGCGCTCATCGTGACCGTAGCTACGTATACAGACGGCAGATGTGTGGATACTCCCGCAAATGCCGGATGCTACGGCTGCCACGGCTCTTCGCAAGAAGGTCAAGAGATCAAAATAGCTTCAATCATTCGATCGTGATCGTCTTCTCCTGATATGGACACTGCACTGTGCACTGCTCCCAGTCCGGCCGCGCGATGCCCAGGAACGCCTCCTGTGCTCAGATGGTTGAGAAAAGCTTACTGTGTCCTCCTCCCTTGGCGGAAGGGTCCCTTTTTCGCAAGGGATCGACATTAGCTCACTGATCTGGATCTTGCCCAGGCGTGTGGCTCTGCCGTCGGTCCCGCTAGACAGGCGCCACTTGAAGGGCTCCCCGTGGAGAGCGTGGGCACAGCGCGGGCACAGCGCGGGCACAAAGGCGAGCGGAAAGCCAAGCAGAGCACCGCAGAGCAGTGGTCGCCCGGCGTCCCCATCTCCCCCAGCCTGTGTTACTTCACTGTGGTAGGCACTGGCAGTGTAGGCGGAGTAGCGCCCGCGTAGGCTTGTACCCCCGGGCCAGTCTCGCCCGTCTGTTAGGGGCCAGCCCTTTCCCGCCTCTGGCAGTGGCGATATTCTGTCTGGCTGTCACAAGCGGGCTCCGTCGCTGGATGGAATCCAGGACCGAATCTTCGAAATGCTCCGATGACCACTCAGGAATGGATGAGCAGAGATGGGGGTCTGGATCTCTCGCCGAAAATCATGGGAGATGGGGCCACAGAAGGGGAAGTCGAGCGTGCCAATCGCCATGGCATAGTCGTCCAACTGCCGAAGGGTTGCCTTGCACGGCTGCATCGCACAGAACACACGCAATCATCTCGAGAACGGCCGTCTCGCGCCGCGATTGGTGTCGACGGCCTCTTGTGAAGAGCCGGACCCTGTAGTGATCCTGTTACATACTGTATTGTACTGTACGTGTAATATGCCATGGCAGCGCTGAGTGGAAAGGTTGGACCGTTTGGCAATGTTAAGCAATGTCAGATATCCGTGTTGCGACAAGGTTCATGCTGCCCTGCCCGGGGTCGACGGTCGACGGTCGACGGTCGCGCAGTAATTAGATGACCTCAGAGCAAGGGACGCAACGTCTTATTTCATGCGATGCGAGGAGAATTTCAAAATTGCCTGCTCGTCCTGGCCGTTTTGAAACAGGACCGGGTAGTGATCGTCGGTTGCTGTCAGCCAGCACGCCCCCAGCAGGCCCAGCACGGACCCGGGGCCTGTCGCTCTCAATTAGATTAGAATTTTGTGGCTGCTCCTGAGGCCTGTCGGTCGCTGGAACCCGAAATTCGAGAGTCTCAAGTGCACATCGCGATCCCTAGTGCGTGATCTGGTTGAGTTTGCCTGATCATCCCCACAGAGGAGAGCTCAGCCGGTCACGTTCAACGCAGAAGTCGTCTGTTTCTGGAGTAATGAGACCGCGAGATGGCCAAGCGGCGTGGTGCGGCGGCTCTCCTCTCGTGGGGTGAGCGGGCTGGTGAGGTTAGAGAAAGGGAGACTAAGGTAGCGAAGCGGGCGGCTGAGGGTCCGTTAGGTACAGCGAGGGCTTTGGCGGCATCACATCACGATGCTTACACTGACGTTTTGCTCAGCGTATCGGGAATAACACCTGAGCAAGATCAGGCGGGTATGGGCACTGGGCAGCCAACATACTGAGCAGCGAGCACTACCTAGGTACGCACTAGAGACGGTACCTTGCTCGGGGGCCGCATTGCATGACATCCATTTACCATTTGCATGTCGCGGTTTTATTCGCATTTCCTTCGCCTTGAAATGAACGATTTGGAGTGGTACTGTACCTTAGCATGCTTAGGTTACCTACCTTATTACCGTTTCTGCGGCGGGTCGACCATCATTGGCCCCGGCTAAATTATGAGCTGCGCGGAGGTTTCCCCAAGGTGCAGGATAAGGCCGGGCCCATGTATATGAGAAAGTACCTGCGACTTGCAGCTGGCTGTGTCTGGGGATGCCGTCAGCGTAGACGAGCGCTGAAGGCTTACGCGATTAGCGGGCTGACCTGAGTTATGCGCCTCGCTTCACTGGCAAAACGGAGAGTCTGGTCATCCCGACGGGCGTGCCTGAGTAAGTAGCGGATACGCGGATCAGGCTAATGAGGATACATGACTTGCCCAAAACATTGCAAGCAGGGCCGAATGGAAGACGGCGGGCTGAGCGAATCGAGGGGGAAGCCCAATTAAAGGAGGGAGGGCAGGACATGGCGCCGAGATAGAGAGATACTGCCTTTGTGGAGGCCTGCTGCAGGCGCAAATAAGTATCTCCATATTCGTCAAGCATGGACGTGCCGAGTATCCCCCTACTGCGAGGCACTCATGGAGTCGTGGCTCGCAGGTCACCTTGTGGACACTGGCCCGATGTCTCTCCACTATTACGCCGGCCAAACCGCCGTAGGTCGTCCATCCAGATCCATCTCGATTCTCGACGTTCTCTGCCCATTGGCAATTTGGCACTGGCGTTCGTAGCAACTGGAGGCAAGACCTGGCGGCGGCGGCCACAGAAAGCAACCTACTGCGTAGTACTACGCAGTACACCACCCTCCCAACCGCACCGTCGCCTGTCTGTCGCTTGCTGGCTCGTTGGCTCGCTGGCTCTGCAGCGGCGCCGTTTTCCCACTGACTGGACTGCCGTATCGCGCACCTCGCACCTACCTACCGGTATTCCCACGAGTTCACCCCATTCTGTTACCCACATCGTGCGTGTCCTTTCCCCGTATCCAGTCCTGCGCTGCCCTGAACGAGTGTCTCCGACTCTCCGGTCTCTCCACTGTGACGGGGCAGATTGACTGCCCTGTTTGCTACGCTCGCTACGCAGTACGTGCAGAGTTGGAGTGCGACCGACTGACTGACCGACCGTCTTGTCTCGTCTCACTGCTGTCGGCTGTACTTTCGCTCTTGTTTCCCCCACCCCACTCAAATACTGTCCCATACATACGGTCCCCATAGGCACTGGGGGAGGTACCCCATTAGGTAGTTTGTGACTACTGCATAGTAGAGTAGAGCGGCCCCCCCTTCCGTTTCCAAGACGTGGATTGAATTGGCCCTTCCTACCGTCGCCGGCCCTGCCTAAGCCCGTCTTTCCCTCGCTCTCTCTCTCCTCCTTCACAACCATCCATCCCACCCACCACCGTGCCTCGCTTTATTGGCACTCTTCCCGTCTTCTCCTCTTCCTCTTCCTGGAACGAGGCATTCCGCGCACACCGAGACAGCCAGCGATTGTTTCCCGACTCGACCCCTTCTTGCTCCGTTCATACCACGCGAGCACTGACGACAGACGACGACGACAATCATCACGACGAAGCAAAGACTAATATCGAGAGTCTGTTCCTACGACAGGAGTAGTCTCGTGGCTTGAGTTTCGACCTCTCCTCCGGCTGTATCACCGCTGGCAAATCTATCGAGACATTCACAGCCGACACGACATTGCGTTACACTCGCTCAACCCGCTCTGTCGCCCGCGCTGTATCTGACCCCCCTTGGTTTCTCCGCGAGTCCGCTGCGAGTCCGATCGGCCGCGAATTCGAAGGCAGCACTGGGATCGTCACTGTCTCGCCTCTGTTGATTGTGAAGGAACCCAATTTGTTGAAGCGGCTTGGCTCACGACATAGTCACTTGTGTTGGTTAACATCCAGAGTGTGTTACCAGCCTTACTCTTGTCCCCGTTATACCATTCCGCACATCCGATGTACAAACATGAGTGAGGAGCGACTACATCGAGTCGTCGATAATCCCGATTCAAAACTCGTATGCTCAGTAGGCCGGTGAGAGAAACGACGCAGTTGTGAATGAGCGAGTGAGCCGCCTTGAAAGTCTCATCCCTCCACAGGCTCCGCGGCAGCGCTGCCCGACAGCAGCCGCCATGGATCCCCTACACATCACAGAGTTCGCCTCTGCGCGATACTTTGATAAAATCAAACAGCTCCGAGAGGCCGAGCAACAGCAGGATGGCCATGCTGTTGAAGGACCGTCGATCCAGCCTCCCCCGTTACCGTTAGAGATTCAATCATCTCCCTTCATCCTTCCCATTCGTCAGGCAGAGGCTCAACCCGCCGAGCCAAAGCGCGCTGAGAAGGAGAAGGAAAAGGACAGGAAGAGAAGTTTTCTCACACGAACCCTACGACCTGCGAAATCATCCTTGCCTATCGCACCTACGGAATCACAAGACCTATATAGGCGTGCTTCAGTTGCATCATCGGTAGCGTCCGGTCCCGAGGCGAAGAGACCGAGAATGTATGTGTTCTTGAACTTGTAGCTTGTAATCATTGTACTGACCTTCTCGGTGTAGACAAGCGCTCGATCAACTCTTCCTCAACCTACCGAATGAGTTGCAGGTACAGATCATCGCCTCGCTGCCACTATCTGATATTTTGAATCTTCGGTTAGCATCGAAGGCATGGCATGAGATGATTACTATCAACGAGGCACCTATTGTCCGATATCACTTAGATCATCATATTCCGGCATATGCGACGCGTCTATATCCCATTCCGGCCCCGAGCGCCATGAATTTCCATTATCTGTGTGGCATATGGCATAGGCTGCACGTCGCAGCGAAACTATCCTATCTGATGTGCGAGTGGGTGACCAAGGAAATTTTTCTCAGGACGACCGAATTACAAAGAGCAGAATTCGCTCCTCAGAGGGAAAGGATGCGCCGGCGACTCATACCATTACTGTTCACGGTGTTCCATTTCTTTGAGACCTACCGAAATCTTCACCTACAATATATCCAAGAACACGGTCATGGCGTCGAACGGGTACCATATACCCTAAACCCTATCGAAGTTCAGATCATGAGCATGTACGACGACCGTACCCTACTACAAGTCCACCAAGTCTTCCCTCTAGTAGTATCCTCTTTCTGCAGAAGACTAAGACCACCTTCGTATGTTGGTCGTGTGGAAAAGACCATCAGGGGTTACTTGCGGGACAAGCCGCCAGATGAGGTACACGTTGCTGTCCTATGTTTGGGTGGTTTGCGGCAAGTAGAACGATTCTGGGAGATAAAGGGCTACAACACACGAAGAGCGGCAGTCGACATCTGGTATAGTGGCATTCAGGAAACTAAGGAAACTCCTAAAGTTGCAGAGCCTGCCGAACCAAAACAGCGCCGAGGACTCATGGGATTGGGACGCAAGAAGTCATCTTGGGGGATCCGGGATGCTGCCAAGTCATCTTCGCACGAGAAACCGCTACCACCCCTACCGATGGAGGCCACCATGTCGCCGATGGATCCTGTGCCCAACCTGGTTTTCAACACAAGCTTATCGGCTGGCATGCCCATGGGACAATTATCAATAGAGCAATATAAAACTCTACTAGACGACCTCCCGGTTCTACAAAAGATTTGGCTCACGACAGCTGAGGCCTTAATTCTCGAGAGGAAGATCGTCGAGCGGCCAATTGATATCAAGCGGAACGCCCAGGTCATGCTGGAGCTGATTCGCGAGGACGGTGTGGCCGAAGAGGACGAATGGTGGTATGGCCGGGGAACATCAGATTCGATCCGGCCGCCGCTCGAGGCTATAGACGAGGATCCTATCGAATGAAAAAAGACTCGTTTCGACGCGACACCTCCGAATTTCAAAATTTCTTAACACACTTTTGATAATCATTCTTCATCATCCGAACTTTGGCGCCGGCACAAACTATTTCCTTTGTCACACTCTACAGCATTTACACGGCGTCACGGAAACCGGGAACGGTTGGGAAACTGGTATTTGGTCGAGGCGGGGGCCGGGTTAAACAAGCCTTTTGCAAGAGATATCTGTGCTTCTATTAACTGTATTGGCGTATTGCATACTGGGTTTACGAAGCCTTTCTTCCACACGCCCCATTCGAAAGGGGGAGATAGACAATGCCCGGCATTTCGCAAGGTCGTCATTGGTCTTTTTTGTATGTTATAACATTCCTAGGCATTTGGGCCACGCATAGCGGGAGGGCTTTACGGCCTCCCTGCCTGCCCTTACTAGCTAAGTAACTACCTCTTCGACAAGAAGTGGTTTGAAGAAGTTGCTTCCCCAACGGCCGGGTGAATAAAAACAAATACGTCAAGATATCATGACCCTCCTTTTTGATCCCCCAGCCCACATAAAGTGAAATTACGCTACCTATCGAACACCTTGGGTCCCAATGTCATGCTTTCAAAAAGTGAAAGATCGCTTCGTGAAACCTCTCAAAGTCATACATCGCTAAGTGTCAATAATGTTCGTGTAACTCCCGTCCGGAACAACTGATCACCTGCGTCCTACATAATACCGGTCGTTACCACCCAGGTTCGTATCAAAATTCGTCATGGTCGAGGTCGCGTAGTTGCCCGCGTTACTCGGACCCCTGGACACGTTCCCCGTGCCCATATTATACGACGCCGCGTTCAAGCCCAGGCCGCTGCTGCCCGAGGTGTCCAGGTTGGACATGTCGAATGAAGAGAGATCGGTGAAGTTCTGAAAGCCCTGCAGGTTGCTGGGCAGGCTCTGCACACCACCCTGCACCGGCGTGTGGCTGGACGTACTCGACGGCAGAGGCGTGCGCCCGCCACCGCTACCGCCGAACGAGGACGGCTGGCGCGCCGAGCTGCCATAATTATTTGCTGCGCCGCGATATGTGTTATCTGACGGCGATGCGGTCGTTGTCCTCAGCGACCCAAATGAGGAGTTGGCATAGTTCATCCCCGTGGATGACCCAGCGCGAAAGTTACCATCTCCAGAGGTGAAACTTGAGGTGCTTGTAGCACCGAACTGGGGAGACTGCTGGGCAATGGTCTGCGGTGTGCTATTCGCGGAGCTTGTAGCGTACGTAGAGTACTGCTGCTGCTGCTGCGAAGGATATCGTTGTGATGCTTGTTGTGAACTGTAGCTCTGTTGCTTGTTCTGTTGCGTAGAATACTGCGGCTGCTGCTGAGCAGAGTAATTTTGGTGTGCTTGTTGCGTAAATTGTGACTTCTGCGGCTGCGTGGAATATTGCTGAGCCTGCGTAGTTTGTTGCTGCTGCGGTGACTGCTGGCTATACTGCTGTTGGCTATTCCGGCTCTGTGAATAGAATGACTGGGAAGTCCTAGCTTGCTGCTGCTGAGGCTGTGGCGTGAGGGAATTGGGCGTGTGAGATTTAGATGCCTGTTGTTGGCTCATATTAGGCGAGGCGGAATGAACATGCCCAAGATTGGGCGACACAGATTGTACCGAGCCCAAGTGAGGCGAGGCCGTATTCAGCTGATTCACATTTGGTGAAGCGGTTTGAGGCTGCTTCTGTCTCTGTGATCGAGTTGACGTGGCCTGTTTCTGCTCGCTTCTCGGTTGCAATTGTTGATGGCGCGGAGCCGGGATTGGTGCAGGTGGCGGACTGGCATTGGCATGCTCCTCAAGCTGAGCCTCAAGCTCCTCTATGGTTGGACTGGTGTAGCGTTCAGGCTGGTCAGCAATCTCCGTACTGCTAACCACCTGAGTCGTCTCAATGTCTGCTGTGCCAGCCTGGTTCTTGGCAGAGGTCGACTTTGGCTCCTTAGATTTACGTTGACGCTTTGCTGGAGGCGGTGCTTGGATAGGTGGGATGACCGGAACAGGAATCGGAGTCTGGCTCACTCGATTGCCAATCGAGGCATTGTTCACATTGTCTCGAGTACCATTAATTTGAGCGGTAGTAGGGCCATTGGCGGGGGCAGCGTTCTGAGCTGGTTCTGCATCTTTGCCTTTTCTCTTTCGCTTCTTAGTTGCCTGTGCGCTATGATTAACTGGAGAGTTACTGCCCGGTGTAGACTGGGCATTTGATACTCCGGCATTCACTGGTTGAAAAGAAGTCGGCTGTGACGAGCTGCTGGTCGACTCAGGTGGCGCAGCGATTTGAGCTGGAGCAGTATCTAAGGTGACAGGTTGGGTTGTTGATACATCATCTTCACCGGCGGCTACAGGGTCCGAGGATGTTTGAGCTGCAGCTTCTCTTGGTTTGTTTTTAGATCCTTTTGGCCGTCCCTTCTTTCTTCCAAGGCTAAAAAGCCCAGATTCCGGGATTGGTGTGGCGATAGGGGCCGATGTTCGCTCTTCTCCATCTTTCGGCCGATTCTTAGAGCCCTTTGGTCTTCCTCGTTTCCTTCCACTAACTGTTACATCTCCGGAATGAAAAGGATTCGAGGACCTGGCAGGTGTTCCATCCAACCGTTCATCCTCGGGACCATCGTCGACATCGATCCAGCTATCGTCACCTCCCTCTTCTTGAGATCGTCCGCCAGTAAAGTCTATCAAATGCCTCTTAGGCCCTTTCTTAACTCCCTTATCACTTCTGAACTTGGAAGCTTTGCTCCCCTTTGGTCTACCTCGGGGTCGTTTCTCGCCGAATGAGTGTCGCTCAGGTGCATGATACACAGGGGCGCTTGGTCCAGAGGATGGGTTTGGTATTGCAGGTCCATCAAGGTTGGGGAAGATCTCTGCAATCCATCCGACGAAAAGCGCGCCAGATCCATTGGACTTCTCACTCTCGGGAAAGCGTCCGTCAACGGGGGGCGGAGCACCTGGTATACCTCCAAAGAAGGCCAAGGCTTTGCAAATCTGATCCACTACCAGATTAGGAGAGATACTTCGCAGAAGAGTTAGGAGCCGTGCTTGCTCTGCCTTTATATCTGCAGAATCAAGAGGACGGCGATGTGCTGGATATTGTGGGGGAGGGGGTGCGCCAGGGTGACTCCCCGCCTGGTTGGAGTCATGATACCCAGAATCATCAGGGACATGGACGAATCGACTCCTCCTTAAAGAGACATAGCCGTTCTGGAAAGCCATCTTAGCTGCCATTTCTGTGCTTTCGCTGGTTCGCTTTGCCGCCGCGTCCCGTTCCACAGCCACATCCTTGCCCTTGAGCTCCATATGCATGACAGAAAAGTTGCCCTTTTTGTGGTCTGTTTTGCCCTTGAGCTTACTGGGTACTGGATTTCTTACACGGCCATCTTTAAGCATCCCAGAAGTGGGATCGGCATGGTTTGGAACAGGCTGGAAGCTCGCAATCTCGTACAAGGGCGGTGCATTCGAAGTATGATGTGAGAGAACAGACGGCTGAGGTGAGCCTGTAGCAGCCTGTCGACCAGGCATTCCAGAGGCGGCTGAATTGCTTCCATCGATCGCTCGGCCTGCTGTAGGCTGCGAAGCTGAAGGTATATCAGCCCCAGCATTCTGGGCTGGCTTTGGTGCTACATTACAACAACAGTCAATCAGCATCCTGGACAAGACAAAGGAAGTCTGGGAATAACGTTGCTCACCTGAGCTTGTCGCCATTGCGGCAGACATGAAGTATGGCCCTGGAAACACCTCCGATATAACAGGTTATGGACTTGATAACAACACCCTGTTTGTCCAAGTATAAGAGGCCCGAGCAGTCTCAATACTAGCTAGGCATGAAACAGGAACAGCATATAGCTGCTACTGAATGGGGTTGATCGCCGGTAAACGCATCAGTAGAGACACCGACGACAATGGCCTTGTCAATATAAATCGAGAGCCGAGTCGTGTCGAGTTTGATCGATAAGCTTGCCCGGGCCGATTGCAAACAGTTGCCCTATGCGCCAGCCATACAACGCTAGGTCTCTTCCTCCGCGGAGGTCTGCGCGGCAATTGAGCAGAGTAGTCAAGGAGACAGCAGTCGAGATGCACCGGGGGAGGTTAGACCGAAGCATGAGACAATATCGCGATATCTTGTCTCCGCTTGGCGACGGCCTTCAATCGCGCGTCTCGTGGTCGCAGAGAGCAACTGTCGTACTCGTCGGTTCGTCGACCCCAGTCAGATTGGGGGGAGCTACCAGGTAGACTAGTCTGTGTTGAGCGGCAAGGGTACGGTCCGATGATGGTCTGTATAACCCGGATCTCGTCGCAATTATGGATTGGGTGCTTGCGATGGGCGAGAGGTTTGACGATCAAGTGCCCAGGCTGTCTAGTGAGCTTGAGCCTGTCCCGTCTCTAAGAGGACGAACGTGATAGATGGGATGGAGGTGTGATGTGTTGGTCTATTGCGGATAAGTTGCGCTACTAGTATGCTATGGGATGTTGAGGCGCACTAACAGATCTGTATGGCGATTAGCCTAGAGGCAGATATGCAGCTCGGAATAGCACAGAATTGCCCAATCACACCTAGTTGCGTCAACCTACAGTGCGTCGGATAGGTCGTTTACGACGTTTAGTTACAAGCCCAGCTCCAACGTAGGTAGGTAGCTCCCCACTTCATTCTGAATGCACTTCATTCCGCTACTCTCTACTCCCTCTTCCATCACTGCGACACCTTTAGACCTCCCCACCAGGTTCAACTTCTCATCTGTAATAGTACACTGGTCTTTGGAGGATCTGTATCTCCGTCTTGGCTCAGGTGGCAGCCGAGTCAGCACCAGCTTGTGAGAGTGAGCGGGCACAAGATACACAGGTAGCTTCGAGCCGACCTACCTACCTGACAGCTCTCGTAAGGCTAACAGTCAATCGCTCGACAGACCTTGGACTCCTCGATTTCCATCTCGATCTACTTCATAGATCGTACGCTGCTCTTGTATCATACGCTCTTTCACATCCTGTCAGGAGCCAGCTTCTTCCCTCCCGCCAGTCAACTGCGGCATGCGGTAAATAGCCCGCAATGCCATCACCGAATAGCTACATCCTCGTCTCGCTCCCTCTGCGGATCTTCGATTCTAGCGATAAAGATGATGCGCTCTCTGCGATAAGCGCAACCATAACTTCCGATAATGGAACCGTCCAGCCATTCCCGATACCAGAGTTCAAGATTGGCACGCTTGATGCCCTAGTGCAACAGGCTGATGATCTGGCAAAGCTGGACTCGGCTTGTGAGGGCGTGGTAAATCGGATGGCAGATTCGCTGAAGAATATTCTTGATGGAGATGAAGAGAAGATCGCACAGAATAAGATGGTTAATGATAGTGAGTAAAGGCCTTGTGCCTCGCGTTGAGGATTTTCACTAACTCTCACATAGAACCGACTGAGCAGTACCTACGCACCTTTAGCTGGAACAAGATCAGATATAGATCCGACCGTCCTTTGGGAGAGCTGATCTCTACTCTCCAGAAGGTCCGTTACTCTCCAGTGGCGTCTCATTGCGGCGACGATGTCTAACTTGTGATCTATACAGGAACTCGTCAACATCGATAATGATGTCAAGGGCAAATTTAACCAATATAACTCTGTGAAAAGCAACCTTGCTGCGTTGGAGCGGAGACAAACGTACGTATGAAAGTGTGAGTCTTTTGAACTTGTAACTAATTAGGAGCAGTGGCAATCTTGCAACCAAATCCCTCACTCCCATCGTTGACCCTCGAATTCTCATTCAAGACTCCGAGTATCTAGAGACTCACCTAGTCGTGGTTCCGTCAAATGCCAGGAAAGATTTCTTAAAGGCTTATGAGACGCTCGCGCCGATGGTGGTGCCTCGATCGGCCGTTGAGGTTGCGAAGGATGACGAATTCACTCTGTTCGCCGTAACTACATTCAAGAAACACAGCGCCGAGTTCCTCCAGAAGGCCCGAGAGCACAAGTGGACTCCCCGTCAGTACAAATACGTTGAAGGCGGTAAAGAGGAAGAGCAGCGAGAACTTGACAGAGTCGCCAAGGAAGAGAGAAAGGTTTGGGGAGAGGCCCTACGGCTGGGACGATCGGGCTGGAGCGAGAGCGTAATGGTATGGGCGCACATCATGACCCTCAGAGTCTTCGTCGAAACTGTGCTCCGTTACGGTCTTCCCCTGGAATTTGTTTGCGCACTTGTCAAGGTAAGCACCATATTCGATCAGACTCGGTGGCACAGCATGGTTAACTAAAGGGATAGACTACGCCAAAGCTGTCGAAGAAGGCGAAAACGGCTCTGGATTCAGCATACTCGTACCTCGGCGGAAATGCTTTCGGAAGAGACAAAAAGGGACGTGTAACAAAGGACGACGCTGCGCTGTCTTCTGAGATGGCTGCTGCTGGAATAGGATTCGGAGAAGGCAACGAGTACACGGCGTACGTGTACTACGACTTTGAATTCCCTTAGAGATACTGCTCAAGCATATAGCATGGTTCATACGGCTGACATATGTCTTAATGCTAACCTAACGTTCTATACCGCGATTCCCAGTACCGTTTTGAATCCACGCCCATTTGACGCTTTGCAGCTTTCGCCAGCTTTTCCTTCGCTGCTAACCAGTGAGACTTCTAGTTGCCCAGTGCAGACTTGATCAGCCCCTTCTCTTCGAGCCACTTGGCGATCTGAGCGACGCACTCCTCGACGCTAGACTTGTCCGTCCTAATGGTGATCTCGGGCTCCAGAGGCTCCTCGTACGGGGCGGAGATGCCAGTGAACTCCTTGATCTCGCCCGCTCGGGCCTTCTTGTACAGGCCCTTGGGGTCACGCTGCTCGGCGACCTCGATCGGGATGTCGACAAACACCTCGATGAAGGGGATGGCGTCGTCGCCGCCCTGGCTGGCCTGGGTGTGCAGCTCGCGGGCGATCTGACGGTCGGCGCGGTAGGGCGAGATGAAGGAGGTGATGGCGACGGTGGCGCTGTCCGCGAACAGCTTGGCCACCTCGGCGATGCGCCGGATGTTCTCGTTGCGGTCCTTCTCCGAGAAGCCCAGGTCCTTGTTCAGCCCGAACCGCACGTTGTCGCCGTCCAACCGGTACGCGGCCACGCCCAGGTGAAGCAGGTGCTGCTCCAGCGCCGTGGCCACGGTGGACTTGCCGGAGGCAGACAGGCCCGTGAACCAGATTGTGAAGCCGCGCTGCTTGCGCAGCTCGTTGCGCTCATGGCGCGAGAGCGACGGGTGCCAGGTGATGTTGCTGTACCATTTGCAAGTGAATATTAGCCCTCAGTCGACAACTGCGCTACGCGACTCCTCACCATGCAGCTACCGGCAGAGCATAAAAAAAGAGTCGCGATGGCGCAATCCATAGTGGGGGCGGGGTAGTAGAAGAAAAGGGTTCTCACGTAGCCATAATGAACGTTGCCTATGCGCCGAGCTGTGGAAGGATGAAGAGAAAGACTAAATAAAGTCAATTGGATATCTCGGGCAAGGCAAGATACTTATATGGGTAATACATACAACTTGACCGTCAAGAAGGAGGAGAAATGGAGTCAAGTTCAAAGTGAAGAGCGCCACGCAAGTGTAAGTTTTATCAATCCGGCAGCCGACCGACGGCCGACTCAGGTAAAGTGTTTCTATAATAGCGACACATACAAGCCTAACGGACTGCCCAGATATATCTCTCATCAACCGGCATAATGACGGCATTCTGGGCGTCTGCCATGCTTGGCACTTAAATGCTAGATGTCCCAGTATCTCACTCTTAAAATTATGTCTTCGTCGTCTAGAATTCTACATCTACATCGGTAGTTCTGAAGTGCGCTTCCTTGCGCCTATCGACCGTCTCTTGGCCCCTTATAATTACTCTTCAGCTTTTTTTACATTACACCCATGCCAGTTCGCCATACGCCTTCAAAATGCTAAGTCTACCTGTATCGAAACACACGGATGCTCTTGCAGTATGTACCGCTTAGCTAGATGCATAGAATACCGCCATCGCCTGTGACACGTTTAGTGAATGTGCAAATATCACCGTGCAAAATGGGTAAACTTACAGCACCTTGCTTGGGAGAAATGAAGAGCGCTGTTGCATCTGCAAGGACGACCGGCGTCTCTCCCTCACCCACAAGCGTCTCAATGCGCCCCTCCACCCACGCCTTGCGGCCCTCGACCTTTGTCGTCGTGCCTCTCAGGACAACGTATTGGTTCGCCGCTGCCGGTGCTCTGTAGTTGATGTTCAGGTTCGCCGTCATGCCCACCTTGTTAGGGAGCGCCGCGAAGCATGTTCGCGCCAGGCCCTCATCCAGCATCGTGGCCAGGAACCCGCCGTGAATGATGCCCGGGTATCCGCATAAGTTCTCACCGAGATGGCAGATCTGTACGTAGGACTTGCCCCCGGCCTCGTTCCAGGCGAACGGAGGCACAATAACGCAGCCTGGCCCGAGAAGGGTCCCGCCGGTCAGGTTGTGGCTTCTGTATGAAGGTGGAATCTTGAGAGGGGGGCGAGACTCGGTGAAGTTCGGGTGCTCACGGAGCTGCTTGGCGAGAGGATGGTTGTTGATGAAGTCCTCTACGGCCTGCTCCTCTGGGGTTGCGGGCACAAACATGCTGAGGGTATCCTCGTCCGTGATGGGGGTCATCAGACCAGAGACGGTCTGGTAGGCGGGTGCCACAGACATGACGAATCCGAGGACTGTGAAGAGGACGGCTCGACCAGTGAAAGATGCTGTTCTCCTGAGGAAGGATGGCTGTAGCTGTGCGGTCCCTGAGCAAGAAGATGTAAGTCAGGGGGCCGATCCCGGAGAGACGGATGGCAGCGATGACGATACATACCGGCTGTAGTTGCGATTGACCTTGCTGCAAACGTCCGTGACGATTGTGAGATTTTACTAACTGATATGATGGGTCTGCCGCGTACTAGAGGGAGGAGGATGGTGGGGATTCGAGAGGAAGACATTTTTGTTGAGGTCGCTATGTGGTGATTTATATCAACTCCGGCTCGGCCCTGGAGCCTAAGGGAGGGCGACCCCAAGTTCAGCCTCGGGAGACCCCCAATTGGGCTCCTGGGGCGCGCAAAGTTGTCGTTGGCGTCAACTCTGATATTTTTTTCTGCCGCCTTGCCAGTTGCCTCAATGACCAATTGTAGTAGAGTCAAGTACTGCGCAGGTAGCTCCGACAGGCTGAGTGAGTAAGCCGGTACCAATTGGGGATATCTTTGCGCCGAGCACACACGACTCAGGCCAATAGATGCAGTGCGTTTTTCCAAGTTTGCAGGGTGTATTTGTTGCAGACTGGTTCAACCCGCTGGGCGGTGAAGTGGTGGTGCCCGCATCTTTGACTGGGGCTTCTCAACTACCTCGGCTCAACGGACAGTCGGAGACTACTTGAGATGGTGAAATGAGCCGCATTGTATTCGAGCAGATACCTAATTACTTGATAACACGGAAGAGGTACATCAAGCAAGCAACGCAATTCAGACTATGTGAAGCTACACATTGCCTCTCCAAGCTTGCTACTATCTATTTGGTATGTATTTAATCACCATACCTATCTATCAGTGAAGGTAATGAAGAATGTTGGCGGTAGTGAACACCCTTCCCAATCGATTATATGGAATTGGAGCACATTTATCTACCGCCTAACCAAAAAGATAATCCAGTAATTGTCAAGCATGTATAAAGCGGCCAGTTACCGCCAAACCCAAGCATTATTGCTTCAAGACGCTTATCGGAATCTATCAACAAAGAATATCACTACATAGTAGAGGCAATTTCATGTGTCACTCGGTGGCACACGTCAAAGGGGACCCGTTTGCTCACAGAAAACATGTTCTTAATTAACATCGACAGAGACATGTTTGGAAAGTCTGTTATGACAGTGAACTCGCTTTTGCATTGGCGCTAAATATAAAACAATTGCAACTGTGTCTCGTTGGGAAGAGTAGATTAATGCCATAAGTTTATTAGCTGTCTTGAGTGATTCGTAGTATGTATGTATTCAAATTACCTTAGTATATAGTACCTTGGTAGTCTTCAAATTCTAGTTGTGACTGGGGGTAGCGTATTGGAATAGCGTCGAGGGCGGCCACACTTCATCAGAAATCCCTCCCCCTTTAAGGCACTGCCGTTGAGGAGAGGACCCAGCAAGTACTCGACGAGTCTTGCCTCTGCCTGCAGTGTAAAAGCCCTAAACACTTCTCTCCTATTAACCAACGCTGATATAGAGCTTTGAATCTACCATTGTACCTTGCATCTTCAAGGGCCTTCTTTATCGACAGGGACATTACTGCTGACAACTTTTCGCCCAGGACAGGATATACTTCCCGCTACAACGCCTCACTCCGCTCAACAGGAAGCGGCATAGGTCCTCTACGAGGCTCCTGAATCGATGCTAATCGTTGCAAGGTCCACGCCTCTAAGACTCACAAGCACCGTTGCTGTTGCATGCGGAGGTCGTGCATATTCCTGCCTCCATTCATGTGCCTTTTCCCGGGAGATTCTTGAACCTGTAGTTGTAGTACGATCAGGTGATAAAATCTGTTCCAGTATTGACAGAGCAGAAGTCTTTGACAAAACAACTCGAATTTTGAAGTTTGGTGCCCCCAACTGGGATCTTTTCCTACTTCGATTGAAAGCAGAATTGGATCTCTCTGCTGTTCGCCATCCATTGCATTCTCATGGCTAAATAGCAAAAGAACTCGTCGAAATGCCTTGTACCGTGATGGGTATCCGATTATTGTCCATTCTACTTGCCAAGTGTTTTCGGGCCAAGAGTTTATGAGCGGCCAAGAGTTTTCGGGCCGAGTGTTACTAGGCATCATCACTAAGGCCCGCGGTGGATAAATCTCCTTGAGATCATATCCAGTTTCCTTGCGGAAGTCTGAGAACTGGACTTGAAGGCGGAAAGGCTTACTGCCGTCACTTGCCCATTCATAGTGAACAGGAGCCTTTGGAGCCCAAGCAATACGACTATTTTCGATATAGATCCGCCTCCTTTTTGCTTTTTCTAGTGAAGCCCTCGGAACACGTACTGGTTGGTTCTGTGTGAGTCTTTCATACACATCCTTCATCCCCGTAGAACGCAGGAGAGGAACGGCAATGATGTCATGCGTGAACGACAGATTTTTGTCAAGGCAGAGGCAGGAGCAGTCCAGCAGAGCAAGAGTCAGGCCATTTTCCTTGTCCAACAGCAGAAGGGGAAGCTCGATGTTCAAACCGCGGTTTGTCAACATGAAATGTGAAACTTTCTGTTCGCCCAGGTATACAGGGCTATTCGCGTTGTTGCAACCCCGGAACTTCTCTGGCGATAAGGCCAGAATGGTGCCCCTATCGTATATGCTGCCGGTTGGAAGTCGAAATCCCCAAGCGAGGAGGCTATCATCATATGAATCTGACATGATCTGTTCTTGTAGTCGAAGAAATGCTTTAGGCCCTTCTCCATAAAGTAAGGGCATGTTGACACCAACTATTCCCAAAAGACAATAGGCAGTATCCTCTACCCTTGTGGTTTGTCTTCCGGCAGCCCAAGCTAGCTTTTCGGCGACAGCAAGGCCATCTAGCTTTCCATTGTGCAATACAAGCCATTTTATTCTGGTAATACCAGACAGAAGCGTTACCCAAGCGTTTCTCTTCGCATTGATGACGTGACCACTTGAGCCTCGGCTGTAGCCTACTCCGATAGAACGCCACGACACATCAAAGAATTGAATGGTTCGAGGAGCGATGAGCTCTTGCAATGTCCAACCCCTAGTGAACCAGCGGGACTTGCGGAATGATGAGTCCTCGGCGTATGGATCTTCTCCTGGAACGACATCCGAAAGATAGACACAGCATACTTCGGCTTGTTGATACCAGCGGAACATGCTGTTGATGGCTTCAGATAGCTCGGAGCTACTCGTTTTATCGATGCAACAAGTGTCGACCCAAACATAGGCAATCCCTTTTTCATCCGCAACGCGACAGCAGCCGTCTATCTTCGCATAGCCAAGCTTTTCGACATGGCCATCTCTCCCCAAGTCTTGTAACGACACCTCTTGCTCCCCCCAGGTGTGGGAAAGAATGACGTATGGAGGGACATTGTCGCCGATAAATTCTTCAAGCAGCCTCGTGTGGACATTGAGAAGCCGCATGGTTACTCGTGAACTACCACGTCCAAGGATGCAGTCGGTCGGTGAGCATCTTCAATCTATCAAAGTCTGGCCGTTCTGGCTTTCAAAATCTCGGGATGACTGGAAGGTCTAGATCGGATTTTTGTGCTGAGATGTTGGAATTTGTGAACGTCTGTAGGTTTGAAAGAGGATGCGCTGGAGCCTTGGACAAGGCTGACGAGAGTTGTCGCAAATACCACCTGAAGAGCCGAACATGACGAACTTAAGATTATTGGCTCCTAATCTACTACTTTCTGATGGGTATGGCACAGCCTCACTGTACTCGTTCAGCCAGGTTGATAAATGTCCACCAAAGGTATTACTGCCTTCTTAACAAGACATCACCCGGATTCTAGAAGTTGATAGACCTACAGTAATCAATAGGATATTTGAGAGCCTGACAAGTATTATTGACTCTCGACATCGAGTGTCTTCAACCTTTAAGAATTAACGTTTACTACCCTGGCGGAGGAGTACACTACATGGGTAACCCTCTCCACCGAAATTACCTGTAGCGATAGACACAAACAATCATAAGTATATTGAGTGAAATGGTTCGCTGAGGCTATGATGCCAGTATTAATTGGTTGAGGTGGCTAATGACTAGATTCGCTTGATGCAAGAACGAGCCCAGAGGCATACTGGAAACGAGGTTTGCGCGTGTCCAGAGCACGTCGACGTTGGCGATACTGACGTGCTTCGCCATCTGTTACGTCAGGCATTAGGTTGTCTTTCGCTTCCTTGTCTCATTCATCACAACCTTGAAGGTCGGTCTGAGACTGGCTGGCGGAACCCATTGGTGATGAAGCAAACGGAGCGAGCCGTACCCTGATCTCACTGGCCCCGTAGGGACGCTGAGCGTTGCGTCCCCTGGACCCAGTGATGTCAGGCTCCACGTGCCAAATTTAGGGGACGGTGCTGCGCTAGCGAGCCTGCTAAGGTGTCGTACCTTACAGAGATGCGACTCTGTTTGGTGGGGGAGTCGACCTTGAAACCCCGCACCACCTTCATGCTGCTGGGCGAGTACCTCCGTATGCCATGCTATCACATCATAAGCCGATCAACTCCTGTTTCTGCCCCGGTCAAACGGCCTTGGCTTCGTAGTTGATTGTGGGAGGTTCAGCTCGCTCGTTGCGGTTTCTACTTAAAGCCCGCTCGTCTGCATGTTACAGCCTTGGAATCTTTTCCTGTCTTTTCCCAATATCAATCAAGCACAAACATCACAACTCAACATTTAACATCCACAATGGTAGGTCTTTCGTTCTGGCAATGTGCGGGGAAGCTCAAGCTCACGATTGACAGGCAACCGCTGAGACCGTCGACCTTACCCCTCCCCACGAGCCCAAGGAGGAGAGCATCAAGACCTTCAAGGCCATCGAGCACGAGCTGAAGAAGGAACTTGTCCACATTCGCCACGACCACGACAGTATGCTGCCATCATCTGTGACCTTGTTATTCGCAGCGCTGACATTTGGGAACAGAGCATGAGAAGGAATACTTCGAGGCGGTTGTAGGTTCACCCCAACACACCAACCACCCGTGACAATTGGCCTTTGCTGATTGCTGGTCCTTGATATAGTCTCACCTGAGCGACCAAGACCTCGCCGGCTTCTCCGATGACGACTTCAAAGAAGTCCGCGTTGGAGTCTCCGCGTACGGCATTCACCTGTTTGGCAAAGTCAAGATTCCCGCCTTGCCAGAGTCTGGTCCGGCGTACATTCACTTCCGAGCCTTCACCACCGGCAGCGACAGCGGCGATGTCTCGAAGCTTCACAGCATTCACACGGAGGAGAAAGAAGATGGCAGTGGCGGTACCAAGTACAGGGCGATCTTCACCAAGAACGACCCGCTCGAGTGGTTCGACACCTAGTTCTGGACGCCAATTATGAGGCACATGCTGTTATGAGATACCCTGGGATGATTGGCACATGATACGGATTCTGATACTTCAGTTACCAACTATTGACTTTGAATAATTATTGGCTTGCGAGTAAATCTCGCTATGCGTGACCTGTTCAGACTATCTAATAATCCATTTCTTCCGCAGCGAGCATCTCTGCGTAGTCATCTGCGGAGGCGAATGTCGGCAGACTCTTGAACTCCTTCCTGCTCATTCTCTTCTTCTTCTTGTCCGTAAGCTCAGTGTCGCTGTCCTCCGAGGCGTCGGCGTCAACCCATACTCCGCCATCCTCTCCGTCATCGGACACCGCCTCGTCAGCTTCGTCAACCCCATCGACCTCGGAGCCGAGCGACACATCATCATCCTCGTCGTCGTCGGATATGTTGAGTAGGTCCGCAAGGTCAGACTCATCATCGCTGCCCATGTCCAAGTCGACATCCTCGTCATCTTCGCCGCCAATCTCAGGACGAGAGTTGACGAGAGCTTCCCAGATCTCCTCTTCAGCTTCTTCTTCCTCATCGTCCTCAGCGGTCGCCTTCTTGGCCTTGGCTGCCTTCGTAGCAGCTTGTGCCGGCTTGCCAACTTGGTTGAAGTACTCGTGGAAGAAGACATCTTCCGCAGCGATGTCCTCCTGCTTCTTGTTCCAGAATGCAGCGGAGTTGACGGTGGCCTGCTGCTTGGAGCCCGCATTCGCGTTTGCAGCACTGCCGGTCGCAAGGACAGGCTGCATAATAGAGCCTCCACGTTTGCCGTCCGTTGCCTTCGGGTTGCGATACACAAACTTGTCAAGGAAGTGCATCAACGTATGATTTGCGAGCTCGGGCTTGGGGAGGTCTTTCTGACGGGCCAGAATATTAGCCGCAAAGACAGCGACTGATGGATGGAAGTGATGGAAATAGGGCATCACTTCCCACAGACAGCTGTTCTGCGCATTGCTGTACTGTGGATCTCTCTTGCGGCCATCATAGGCAGTCGAAGGACGCTGGGGCTCCTTGGCCGGCGTCTCTCCCTCCACAGCAGCATCAGTAGGTACGTCCCGATATACCTCTTCCCCATCATCCAGATCCTCCTCTGGTTCGTTGATGAGAGTCTTGAGATCAGGGAATGTATTCTCTAGCTGTGCAATCATGAATAGTATGCCGCAGACGAAGGGAGCCTGGTGCAAGTGAATGACCTGTAACATTCTCTTCACAAAGGCCTTCACACGCCTAACATCGACGTCGTTCTTCAGTGACCGGAAGAGAAGGTTCAGATACATAGACTGTTTCGATGACGTGACCAGTCGAGGGTCCAAAAGCGATTCATATAGTGTCCGGTAAAATCGGTCGACGACCAAATGTTTTGAGATAGATAGTTGTTGTATCAGCATCAGGGCCTGGATGCTGGTGTTGAAATTTGACGAATGGGTAATCTTGAACAGGGTATCAATATGTTTTTCCAATGTAGATTCATCGGTCATAGCGAAAGGAATAGCACGGTTGACACCAGTAAGGATAGCTGAAACCAGCTTTTCTGCGGTTTCGGACTCTGCACCAGCAGCAGGTGCAGCATTGGGCTTGCTCTTCTTAAAGTTCTTTCTCTTGCCCTGCTTTGCGTCGGAAGTTCCATTCACTTCAGCTGGCGCGCCAACGCCTAGAACGCCCATCTTGAGGAGAGAGACGAATAGTTCAAAGTATATCCGTACGAGTGTTTCTGCTACCGATGGCTCCTTGCTGCTGAGAATGGTCTGGTTGAGTGTATTAACGGCGTAGTATTTAGTCCGTAGGCTTTGTCCAGGCCTAAGGATGACCTCCTGTTCCATTGTGCTAATGACAACAGGTTTCATACCAGGGTGGATATTGAGCAGCTGCAGCAGAAGGTATGAAGCTCTCGACGCAATCTTGCGTTCTCTGTCACCGAGCTTGTTGACGAGCAACCTGAGCAAATTTGCCTCTTGCTCTGGCTTATCTCTCAGAAGCCCAAATACGAAGTCAAGAGATCTCGATCTTGAGTATTCAATCTCATCGTTGCACCAGACTTCTAGCAATTGGATCACCCGAAAGTAGGCATCTTTGAGCCAATCTTCAAAAACCCACACAATCAGATGGGCTTTCGTCAACTTGCCAGGCAGATTCTGACCGGGTTTCCAAAAATTTGCTGAGTGCTTCTGAAGAGCTCCTAGAAGTCCAGGTTGCATATTAAAAGGTCGCAAACGCCTGTCGCTTGGTAGTAATACGCCGTTGCCGAGAAGATCAACTAATGCCCCCAATGCGGCAATAGCCTGACCACGGCTCTTCTTACCAGCCAAACCTATGAGATTCTCAAGGGCTTTTATGCTGTGAACAGGCGATTCCTGAATAGCTAGCGTCAACGCAGACACTTTGTCGGACATTGTTCCAGATGACATGATCGTAGACATGAACTTTTGTGTAGATGAAGAAGCCACCATTGCACTATAGGTTGTTGCATCTGCCTCTAACAAGGATTGGGCGTATGTCTTTAAATTGTTGATAGCAGCTGAGAAGTTGCGAATGTCATCCGAAGTGGGCGGCGGCAACTCGTCTAGGTCAGCAGCATGCCAATCGGGTCGAGCCTCAAATTCCTAATCAGGTGGTCAGCATGGAGCCATGTCAGAGTACGCGAGAAGATGATGCGTACTAACCAACTTGCCCTTCATTTTCTTGTTTTGAGGCTTTTCAGGAGCTTGTGGCAGCTCTAGAGCTGTAGTAGGCTGCCCAGCGGCGTCTTCGTCGTCTGAAAAGCTGCTCACTTCTTCCAAGTCCTCTTCGTCTTCATCCTCACCCTCAACTTCTTCTTCTGGCTCATCATCTGCAGCAACACTCTCTTCACGCACTTTTTCAAACCCAAGGCCTGATGCGAATTTTGCCAGCTCCTTCTGAAACGACTTATCAACGTCGGCTGAAGGCTTGCCGGCGTTGGCTTGCCCGTCCTCAGCATCCGAATCGACACCGGTAATGAGATCCAGATCGGCTTCATCTCCTCCTAATAGCCTGATCTCATCAAGCAGAGATGAAGAGCTCTCCTTCGCCGCCTTCTTGGGCTGATGTTTCGAACCCTTTGGCTCCTGGGCCCGTCGCTTGTTCGGTGTGGAGTCTTTACTGTCGTGGTCATTGCGCTTTCTCTTCTCAGGTCGTTGCTCCTTGGGCTGACCCAAGCTCGACTCGATCTTGGCTGTCAATTGGGAAAGTGCTGCTTCATTGAAGGCAGCTGGCTTTTGGGGCTTCTGGCCCTTTTTCTTATTCTTTGGCGGCATGGCGGCAGCGCAGGAATGAAATTGCTCGACAAGATCTCGAGTTGCACGCACTCTGCAAAGGAACTATATGTCGATTGCGGTCGTAGATGTGCAGAGTTTTGTCGCTGGTTGGGGTATCGCAAAGGCACTACACCGGTGCGCCTGCAGGTTTGCAGATAACGGGGATATTCAGAGCACTCGAAATTTTCTATTTCACAGTGAGGGGCCAAAACTTTTTAGTGGGTCCCGCCATGCTCCCCGCTGCAAGGCTACCGTAGTACGTTTTAGTGGTTCGGCTAAGGCGATTGCTTCTATGAGCACGCTAAATTAAACTAAGCTCAAGCTCTAGGTGCGACAAGGCTGGCAGCGGTCTCACTTCAGACCATTCTTCTGGGCCTTATCTTTGCTCTTCACGTCGACATTGACGAGCCCAGTTCAGAGCGCTTCTTATTTGACATTGTTTTTTGGTCTCCTTGAATGAAACTGAGCATGTCAGTCACAAATTGCCGGGTTTCATGATACATTGAGTTCATCGAGCTCATTTAAAATCTTATCATGGCTCTGTCCGTAAGACAAGTAGCCCTAGCTCGTCAGATATTTGGGCATGATGCACGATATTGTCTACCATCATACCGCTCCCGAAGCTCTTCTAGACTTGTGACGGCCCGGAGGTTACATGTCGACCACAGAAACCGTTTATCCACCACTTGGGTACCCACTGGCGGCATAGCAGCAACCGAAAATGAAGATGCTCATTCAAAGCTCATACGTGCGGGTTTCCTGCGGCAGTCCCACTCAGGGCTCTTCCATATGCTCCCATTAGGTCACCGGACGACAGAGAAGATCTCGCGGCTCATTGCCTGGCATATGTCCCAGATAGGCGCGTCACAGCTTGCTCTGTCTACGATCACATCAGAGGCTCTGTGGGCGAGGAGCGGCCGCTTGCAAAACGTCTCTTCAGAACTTTTCCATCTGACAGATCGGAGGGATGGAAAATATCTACTATCACCTACGCATGAAGAGGAAATCACAACTTTGGTCGCCCGAACGGTGACATCTTACAAGAGTCTCCCGTTGCGGCTATACCAGATCACACGGAAATACAGGGATGAGTTTCGTCCTCGTCACGGCGTCCTCCGGTCCCGCGAATTTATCATGAAAGATCTATACACATTCGACTACTCTGTCGAAGCGGCTCTCGCCACCTACGAACAAGTCAGTGCTGCCTACAGGAAGTTTTTTGAAGATCTCAAACTCCCGGTTGTCGTCGCTAAGGCCAGCTCCGGGGATATGGGTGGGGACCTCAGTCATGAGTATCATCTATCGACATCTCTGGGCGAAGACCACGTGGTGAGCTGCAATAGCTGTGACTATGCCATCAATGACGAGCTGGCTGAGACCCGTTTGCCGGACTCCCAAGCGGCACAATCTGCCAAGGGTCTCCGTGTGTGGCGCGGCATATCAAAGGATCGAAAGGTCATGGTCAATGTCTGGTACCCAGAGTCATCAGATCCAGCTGGGTCCGAAGGAGCAAAGCAGTACTCGGACGACGACATCAACATCTATGCCGTAAAGTCTGCAGTGCCCGAACTAGACGCCAGCATCGATGACCCGCTTCCATTCTGGGCTGCTGGGCTCGAGCCGAAGCAAGCGAATGCAGAGCCGAGCCCAGAGGGCGTGCATCCACGCTTAGTCAACCTCGTTGACTGTAGATTGCCAGAGTCTGTGAAGGAGGAGATTTCCAATATCAGCTCCGGACTGCCTGTATGGCCCGAAGGGATCGCTTCCGAGTTGACAAAAGCGATCCCATCGCTCACGACAAGTGACAACCCCAATGATCCTGACAAGCCCATGAACTTACTCCGCATCGTCGAAGGCGACAGCTGCCCCCGCTGCGACTCCGGAAAGCTGAAGGTCCAACGAGCAATCGAGCTGGGCCACACATTCTATCTGGGAACCCGTTATTCGATTCCCCTTGAGGCAAATGTCTCCGTCCCAGCCAAGCTCCTTTCCCAGGACGCTGACATGAGCTCCGATGCTGGCGAATCCTCGAAGACCGTCCCAATGCAGATGGGCTGTCATGGGATCGGTGTCTCGAGAATCATTGGTGCTGTGGCAGATCATTTGGCCGACAGCAAGGGCCTCAACTGGCCGAGGGCCATCGCTCCGTACGAGGTCGTCATCATTCCCGGACCGCAGGCTGACGAGGCGGCTGCGACTAAGGTCTACGACGGGCTGGTGTCTCACCGACTAGATGGCTCTCCTATTTATCACCATCTAGATGTGCTGCTGGATGATCGGGAAGGGCCGCTGCCATGGAAGATGAAGGACGCGGATCTCGTGGGTTATCCGGTAATTGTGCTGCTGGGACGAGAATGGGCTGCCTCTCGTCGCTGCGAAGTCCAATGTAGGAGACTGGGGGTGAAGGAGCAGGTGCTTGTAGACAAGCTTCCTGTGTATGTCCAAAACTTGTTAGATCAGTTGTAGTATACCTATCCTCCAAGGTACTGTATATCAGTTGTATCAGCTCTCGAAATAAGAGAAACTCCCATTTCGAATGACTGCTCCAGTTGTTGATCTATGATCGCAGTAATGAGACATGAAAATGTATAGCCTTTATGTTTTGCTGCTCTGGTTTTCCGACAAATTTGCTTACATGCCTATCTGCGAACCTCACGACCCGCTTTTGCCATCCTTATTCGTAGAATATTTATGTACATTGTAATGTAACAGTCCATGCGAGCATTGAAGATCAACTGATCTGACTCAGGGTCTAAACTAAGCATACAGCTGCCTTAGCCACTCTACCAGCGACTCAAACCCTAATTACCCATGTTCGTTCATGGCTTGACCGACCACAACTCCCGAGACCATCCTGTCTCACGGAATTTCTTTGGTGTCGTTTGCGAGCCCTTTTTGTGATCAACAGTCCAGATAGCGAGCGCCTTGCTGCAAGACGCAAACGCCTCCACCAACTCCTTCATCCGCCCCGTTTTCACGAACAGTTGGGCGACATCCGAGTCCTTCTGGGCTATCTTTGCTGCCAGCTCCATGCACTCTAGCAAGAAGTCTCTAGACAGACTCATGCCCGCAAAATGAAGGGCACTGACATAGCCCATGATTGCCTCTATGAGATATGCTTCTCTGATATTCTGGAAGTCGTCATCGTCTATAGGGAGAGATTAGCTTGCGTATGGGCATGTGCTTCCTGGTAAATACTGTACCTTCATTGCTGAACAGCAACCAATTCTTCAAAAGGGGCTTCATAAAGAGTTTTACGTTCTTGACAACCAGGCCAAGTTCATTAAAGAGGTTCTTATCCTGGTTATCCGGATTTCTAAAGCAGTGTTAGCCTGAATAGACAAGAAATGGCACGAGATAATATATGTAGAATGAACTTACTCCCTCACAAGCTGGGCAATCCCGGACACTGTCTCGATAGCATCAAGAGCCTTGACAAGGCACTCCAATTCCCACATGTTTCGCACAGCTCCTTTGACTCGAGCTCGTGAGGCGCCGAACTCTGCAATACCGCCGTCATCTGGCACTTGATCATGTGCCACAGGATCCGCAAATATCTCCTCGATCCACGTAGCATCTGAGCCCTCAACAACATCCTTGCCCGTTTTCAGCCTGATGATCTCCACTACGGGTGCTCGAGTCTGGAAAGTGCGAGCCGCGTCGAGATGCATATGTTCTGAGGCGGGTCAGCTTAGGAAAGATGTGTAAAGAAAAGAGGTATGAAACTTACTCAAGAAGTACTTGTAAATTTGGATGCCATATTCACAAGTATCAAGAAGAAGTCCGCTGTCGAGGTTGAGCCATTCAATAGACCGTATAAGATTCTCATCTAGAGGCTGGATCTGGTCCCAGGGCTCATCCATGAAGTCTTCCTTCAAGATCCTACCATACCTGATTGAAGCAGGATCATTGGATAAGATCTTGAAAGCGCCCTTGGCTGGAAAGGTGCCGGAGACGTCGGTTATCTCGGAGAGGAAATTCTGCGGATGTTGTTGTAAGAAGGTATGAATGTCTAGCCCTAACCTGGCAATCAGATTGAGCTTAGTAATTTGGTCGTCTCTATCGGTAATATGAATGAGATTTCTGCTCAATATCGAGTACGGCCTGGAACCCGAGAGCTTCGAACAGTAAAGGGGGATCATGTCATCCAGACCAGCTAAACGAAGAAAGCTAATGTAGCTCACAAGGATGTGCTCTTGTGTTTGAAGACGGGGTTGGAAAATGCTCGAGCCTCGACGGTCATGATCTGGGGCATCGACGGTCTTCAACGCCTGGTTAATTATGAGGATATGTGCAATAATTCGTAGTGAATCATGATCCTGCAAAGTGGCATATTTTGCCGGGTCTGATTTCCCCAGACCAAGGCTGAGGTTAAAGTCAGTTAAGAGATGTGACTTTTCTCGCTCATTCGCAGCGGACGACAAGGTCTGTCCTTGGTGGAAGAAATATGCGTCCAAGTCGTTGGCTAGAATTGCACCCTGAACAGCTTTAGTGACCGTCTTAGCCTCGGCCAAGGTCCTCTTGTCGTTTTCCAGTGTTGTAACGAGGCGTTTGGCCACCGTACCACCTGCCTCGCCGTGATATTGCAAGGCGTTAAACGCTGGCATCGAATGAGCAATTGAAGCAACAGCTTCGGATGCTGACTGCTCAATAAGATAGGAGTCGAATTGTGTCCGCAGAAGCGCGTTGTAGTTGGCGAAAAGAAAGTCGTCCCATGTCTTGCAGACTTTCTCAACACTCGTAATATCGCCCGACAGAAGACCATAGACCGCTCTTTCAAAATCATCTGTACCGCCTTGTTTGACCAATGCATAACACATTCGTCTCCAGAGAACCACCGATGTAGGGTCGAAATTAGGTTGGTCGTCATCATCCCAGAGGGACAGAGGCAGAGCGGACATCGCGGAAGCCCTCCAAGCCTCGGTACGGACAAGACACCAATCTCGGATTTCATCTATGCTCTGGCCGCGTCGCAATAACTCGAAGCAGCCAAGCCAGATTGCTCGCTCGAAGAACTCGTCTTGTGGTTTGAGCTTCCTGCCCTGTCTCGTCATTGCATCGGGATCGAGCTGTGTGACGGTAGAGAAGTCTGACAATTCGGGATTCTGGGGATCGAGCACGTGTGGCCAAGCGTTCATCCGTTTTATCTGTTTGATGTCCGTCCTGGTATGTAGCCAGCCGTGTGTGATAAAGTCGCCTCTCTCCGCCTTCTGCTGGAATTCCTCCACTAGATCATCAATATCAGGACCGGTGCTCGCATTAGACTGCAACCATTTCAGCACTGCCTGCCTCTCGCTTGCTGTTGAATCTGACAGCAGAAAGTCATCCCAGTACTGTTTCCGTGACCTCGGTGCCTTACTTCCTTTGGCTGATGCTTGCGGCGGAGAGAATTCTCGATGCCTAAGGGGCAAAAGTCGGCGTAGGAGGTCCCATGTCTGAGCTTCTGTCTCCCACCTTCGCAGCTCGACAGAGTCATCCCCGACTTGCCTGTCCTCATCCTCGTCGAGGTCCATGTCCGTACCATGTGTGGAACCTCCTCTTGCAGCTTTATTCAGTCTCCGCCGTTCTCTTAGGTTGTTCGCTTTGTCTTGGTAGTATTCATGGTAGTGCTTCACGAGCTTGAATATTCTTGCGCGCTTCTCAGCGGGTGACCCTCTGCGTAGGGTGCATTCATCCAGCCATTTGCCAAATAACTCGACCTCCTCCCCAGCTCGGATCTGACTCTGCTGATACGTTCTCTCTAGTTGTGCCATCTCGTCATCTAGTTAGATTACGGTTAGAAGGGCTGCCTGGATATCAAGTCGTTGCAATGTGAGATCACAAACCTTCGCTGTCGCCCAAAGCTGGTGGGCTTCTACCGTCGACCCAGTCCGTCGTTTGAGGGTCCAGGAGGTGCTAGAGGGGTTTGAGTTAGATGTAGAAGATGACTTGAGATACCGTTGGGGTCTTACGTTCAGTCCAGGAGCCATGGCGAGGGTCGGGAGGACAACAGCTCAGCTTGGCGCAGGACACTTCTGCTAAGGGTGATTTGATTGGTGTCAAAGATCAGGTCAAACGACCCAATCAATGAGGCCGACAACAAACAAAGAGGCCCGTCAGACTGAGGTTCAGTATCTCGAGATTCAGTGGGCAATATCGCATATGGGCGCTGGGTTACTATGCTGCGAGTGCGTTGTGATTTAATCTTTTTGCTGATCGCCAGTTGCCTCTCTGGACGCGAGGTCGCGATCCAAAATGCTTTGTCGCGGGAGCGAGTGCTCTGGGTAGGTGTGACAGGGATGGGGGAGTTTGGCGCAAGCTACGGAGCTATAATGGGGGAAGGTACCTTCTGTGCCTGAATGAGAGTGGGTGTACGGGTGCGCACCTCAGCGCTTGCCTGGGCGTTCAGCCTCAGCACGGGCCACTTGAAACCCGCAGCCAACCAGAGGCTGGCGCACCTGTGGCAGAGTGGAGGAGGCGACGGTAGAGAAAAAGGTGCAGCAAATTTTATCGCAGCGGTTTCTCTCTCCTCTTTTTCTCTTTTTTCCATCAATGTCATCGGCTTTCATATTAGAGTCTCGGAGCAAGACACTCAATACTTGTTCAGGTCCTACGGGAACCTCTCGCGCGCTCAATGAATGCCTAGAGAAATGCCCGCACTCTCCCTTCAGTTACCCGACTCTTCCTGGTTCGGGTGGACGCAGCCATTGGACGAGTGACACACGATGATGATGATGATGATAATATTCCCAGACAGCTATCGTATTACAACATGAAGACTCAGGATGATTACTACCTCGACTCCTCTCTCTGCTTCAACTTGAGTCTGAGCAAATCCGGCTTGGGACAGCTCGCCGAAGTCGCATCGTCGCCCTGTTTCTTGTAGAAAGCCTGGCAACACTCGTATAGGGCGTCGACGACATTCTGGCACTTCTCCTCCTTGTAGCCATTCTTGGACAAGCAGTCTAAGATTTGATGAGCTACGCATCACACGCCAAGCCCTGCTTTCCAGCTGGCCTCTTTCCTGGAAATCAGCACATACCTTGAATTGCACACTATGAACCTCTGTTAGTGAAATCTTGGCCAGCTTTTACACGTTGATGCTGGGTCTTACTGCTCGAGGGTGGCAGGGCGGACTAGCTGCCAGATCTTGCTGAAGACCCTGAGCATGATTAGCTACCACTGTGTCCCCTGCATCTTCCAGTGTCGTTCAACCTACCATAATGGATTGTGTATGTCCTGATAGAGCAAATACGCAGGCTAATTGGTGGCCTTCAATTTGACACTGTTGGGCAAGGTAAAGCACTGAGGCTAGTCGTGGTGAGTAGGTGGAAGATATGGGCGCATCAACTCCGTTCACGCCGCCTAGAAATCCAGCACTGCTAATGATTAATGATGTCAGCGCTGCTGTGAAGGTGCTTCGATGTAGGTACCTCTGTAACACACTAAACCCAGGTCATGCCTCCACGTTAGAAGTTGATCCTTGGCCAGGTAAATTGATTGCAAAGACTTGAAGATGGACAGTAATTCCCCACCATAAGATACTTTAGAATAGCCTTCCTAATGTTGTGTAGAGTCTTCTCTTCCCATCTCAGATGTCCTGAGCAATCTTACCTTCCGCAAGGGCTGGAAATTGCTTTCGAGTATCGGATGCAAACAAATGGCAGTTGCAAGCGTCTAACAGGACCATCTGTGTACCTACCTAGGTATAGATACCCTCTGCTTCCTTCCGGCACACCACCTACGGGGAAGACTGAATCGTATGCTGCTTAGCTCGTCTTCAACATTGGAGGCCTGGAAGCTTCAGCTCAGGGCAGCTACTGGGCAGTATCAAACTGCTCTTGCAGGGGAAAGCAGCGAGCAAGATCAAGACAAAAAGACTCTCTTCCTTGTTGTATTAGCGTGATATATGTAAAATACATCTTGCTTTGGTGGTGCAGGCGCAGTTGGTGTTTCATTCTGGTTGCCTTTTGTCTTCCTCCAGGTACGCAGTGAATGAATGATGTGATCTGGGGGTGCTTGGTGTACTGTACTGCCCTGCCCTGCACACACTGCACTGCACTGCACTGCAATAAGTACGGAGGCACCCCGATTAACCCCGCCCTAGCACCGTGAAAAAGGCAGCCCCACCAACATTGCCGCCGTCATCTCTGCGATCGCCTTGCCGCATTTCTCGCGTGCATGCGGCCGGCCCTCCCTCCAAACCTCAGACTACAAAAAGGCCCAACTCGCCCACCGTCGCAGCTTTCACACCACAATCACCTATCTCGACGCCTTCACCTTTCCCAGGCATTCTAGCCAGTGGCATCACACTTTAAAAAGAGAAACAAAAAGCAAGCAGCCTGTCCTGTAAGTCAGTTCTAGACCCTCAATATTTTCCGAACATCACCATCACAAACCTCACTCACCTAGCCGTCAAACCCTTTCCTCAGCCGATCATGTCTGCAAAACAGCACTCTGACCTCTTTTGCAACAGCTCAGGAAACTCCCAGGGATCAGCGAGATCGCCATCTTGTCTGCGTCCTCGCCCAGCTTCTCTCTATCTCACACATCCCATCTCTCGATCCCTAGGTCTCCCTACCGACCTTAGACAACATGTCAGCCGAGCAGGACAATGGCGGCTCTCCCACGGGCGACCACCAGGAGATGCCTCAGACCGAGCACCTCAACATCAAGGTGACGGACAACAACAATGAAGTGTTTTTCAAGATTAAGCGGAGCACAAAGCTGGAGAAGCTCATGGTGGCCTTCTGCGAGCGCCAGGGCAAGGCTATGAGCTCCGTCCGGTTCCTCTTCGAGGGCCAGCGTGTGCAGCCGTCAGACACCCCCGATACCGTGAGTCACCGTCCAGCTGTTTGTTTTTCCTGCTACGCGCCCCTGCCGCGCTCAAATCCCATTGCGCCCCAGCATATACAGCCACATGGACAAATGTACTGACGTTGCCCCATAGCTCGAGATGGCAGACGGTGACACCCTCGAGGTCCACCAAGAACAGGTCGGCGGCACCAACTAACTGAAGGACTGGACGGAGGGGGGGGGTTACGGTGTTTTTTTGTCCATGGTTCTGGTTTTCCTGAGAGTTCGGAGGCCGCTGATGGCCTCCTGATACAGCACTGATTTTGCTCGCGCACGGAAAGGGGGTTTGATATTAATTCTCGCTCTGTCCCAAGGAGGGCTTTCGCCACGTTGTTGTAGTTGTCGCTGATGGTATTTGCTTCTACCATTGCAGACTACATACATCCAATGAAAGCTTGATTCCCCTAAATTTCGTTTCCTATTCTCAGTGCATGCGACAGAGGACTCTGACTCTCATCTCCGTGATCCTCTGTGTTCTCTATGCGCCTCTTTGAATGCTGACGTCAACGCGGATGCTCCTGTTCAATGGTGAGGCACCAGGCGCATTCCCTCGAGAAAGGCAGAGACATCACCCTTACGGATCAGTTGTTCAGTATGCTCCTGAACAACATCACAAGTCACATCATGAATGCTGAGCAGTTGTGAAGGTAGGGTTCTCCGAGTGCAGCAAATTCATTATCAAGTCCAAATATTAACTCCCAGCTAAATGCAAACAGCAAACACACACACCAACATTTTCGCAATGCCCTCAGTAACTCCGTCATTTACTCCAGATACCTCCGTCAGTTCGTATGCCATCACACGTTAAATCTTTAACTCTCGCTCTCGACACCTCGTGCACAATACGATTGTCTCTCCAGCCTCCTCTCTTGGGAAAATTTGGCCGTCATCAAATCCACCGTGGCAGGTATTGCAGCGGAAGCACTCGTCATGCCACTCTCCACCAAGAGCGCGAATATACTGCCCGATTACGGCCGTCCGACATTTCTTACACTTGGGTGCCCGTCGCTCGGTGCGTTTCGTCTGACAGTTGATGCACCAAGCATAACCGTCCTTCTCAATATGCGTCATGCCCTGCTCAAATGGGTCACCACACTCAGCACAGAAGAAGTGTCCGTAGTGCCAGTGCTCACCCAGCGCAACAATGTGTTCGCCGAGGATAGGGGTGGTGCAATGCTTGCAGCGGGGCGCGAACAGCTCATGCCAGTCTAAGTGACAATAGAATCGAAGGCGCTCATCTCCATCCTCGGCCATCGTCTCCCCTGGCCTCTCCTCCAGGATCTCGCCCGCGGCACGACGGCGGATGCGTTCGAGCCGAGCAGCTCGTGCCGGTTCAGGCTCGGGGCTAATCTCAAGAGCTTCGAGACCGGTGCCACAAGCATAGCAGGAGAAACATTGTGGATGGAAGCGCTCAGAACAGCCGGCCAAAGCAACGAACCGCCCCTCGATAGGGAAACCGCACTCATGACATCTGGCTGTTGCTCGGCTGCCCACAGCTGCGGAAGGCGCCGGAGACCAGTGTCCTCGTGGTCGTGTAGCTGGACGGGCGCCGGGTCGCCCTTTCTGGGGCGTTGGTAAGGGTCGATTAGACCCGGAGCCTGTGTTATCGTCAGGTGTCACAATGATGGGGATGTTCGGACCGTCCCCGGAGTCGTCAGGGGTTACAATTGTAGGTATCGGGGGTGTCTCGCTAGAAGAAATAGAAATCGCGGGAATGGAAGGTGTCTCATCGGGGAAAGCAATGGTAGGGATTGGCGTGCCACTGCTTGGCGCGTCTATCTGGATAGACGGCGTGGGAATGCTACGTGATGACGAGGACGGCGTCTGCTGACGAGCCTCCGTAACAGCGATAGAAGGGATCGGGTGGGCTTGGTGGTCTTGTCGGCCCCGGGAGGTGCCGAATGAACCGCCTCTGGTTTGGTCTGGCTTCTCATCAGTTGCCTCCTCCGGGGCCTTCCATTCTTTGTTAAAGCTTACGATAGGTCGTCCTGGGCTGTCACTGACAGCCGTCGGAGTGGGGAGTTTGGGGCTGCGATCTTTGAGCCTCATGCTCGTCGCCTGACGAATATCATCGCCACGCACTTCCACTCCGTGCTTCCTTGGCACGTCATCGCGCTCGACAGGGCTCTCTGAACGTGAGTTGGTAGTGTAAAGAGGATTGCGGGATTGTGTAGGAGGGTTGCGATGAATCTCGTATTTGTGCATCTTGGGCGGTGGAGGTGGAGGCGAATCAACAACAGCAGGTACTCCCGCAGCAAATTGCACGCGGTTCAGAGGATTCTTGGGCTTGGTCCGAAGGGGCTGAACCTGTTCCATCATGCCAGGAGATCCAAATCTTCCTGGAGACGAACCCTCGGGCTCTTCCCAAATCTGATCGCCTGAAAAAGGCTTCTGGACCTCGCCGCTGATGTTTCGCTTCATGCTGCTCCGTCGTCGACCAGGCTGGGCAATGTAAGAGCCGTTAGAGAGCCCGTGATAAGGCTTAGCGGGTCTGCGCATTGTGGGCTCTGACGTTTGGTCCAAACTATTCCTAGGGCCCGTATCACCCCCGGGATTTGATCCCAAAGAGATGCTCCGCCGAGAGCCGAATCCATCGCTAGAAGAAGAGCTTCCCGATACAGAACGGGATGAACAGTCACGAGCGAGACCGCTAGGCTCGATCTCGTTCCCGTAGAACCCTGCACTGGCGGTTCGGGCATGAGCATAGCTATTCTTTCGGAGATGCTGCTTGTAGCGGTACGGAGCACCAGGCTCTGGTGGCTTGACACCGTGTTGGTGCTGCCATACCAGCTCAGACGCCTCGTCCAGAGCGGCCTGATAGATGCGCTCTTCATCTTCTTGTTGAGGTTCACTCTTCAGCTCCATATCCTCCATGGCTGTCCGTAGTGACACAGCCTCCTCCTTTTCCATCCATCTCTGGCCTCTCTCAATGTAAGTGGCGCTAGGCACAACCTCACCGGGCTTGAGGGGAGGCACAGGGCGATCAGGGTAGTAATCCCGCCCCCTTCCACTGACGGTAGAGTATCTCGAAGATATGCTAGCCGAAATGCTAGGTCTGCCGGGGGGGATCTGTGCGTCCGATGATTGAGTCCTATTGTGTGAGGAGGAGTCCGATGGCGGCAGAGTGCCAATAGACGAACGAGTAGTTGATCCACCGAGAGACGAGCGTGCCCCGAGCGACGTCCGGCCGGAGTCACGTCGTGAATCTGAGGGCTGAGGCCGAGCACCTCCAGGTCTCTTGACACGGTTGTCACGCAGGTTGGCCAGATATGCCGCTAACGGGATATTAGCACTTGCCAGGTGAATTACACTGTCACGCAGGTGTAATAATCTCACCAAACTGGTCGTTGTTCATGTAAGATGGCGAAGGAGGAGTGACCTTCCTGGAGGAAGATCGCTCTTTCGATCTCGCACCTGACAGCATGGCTGTGAATGTGTTCGGTATGGAAGCAGTAATTGTGCTATTTGGAAGCTGTTGATATAGACTTGGATTAATTAGAAGAGTTCCTTGGGATTGTTACAGCAGGGCGAGGTGAGGTTGGGTAAGGTAGGTAGTCGGCACGATATTACGCTTGGGATTGGGTGGGAAAGCTTAAATAAAGAGGATGTTTACTGGAGGTTGCTGGAAGGTTGTTGCTGGGGCAGATTTGGAGACACAGCTAAGAGGTACTGTACATGTACCGATGGCAGTGGCAATGATAAGGTGAGGTAAAGGTAAGGTAAGGTCTGGACGGCAGGTGCGACACATGTGCTTTGTCTGTGCCTGCCTATAGTTATCTGCTCTAAGGTGATCCAGGGAAATGGGTCGACGCTCTTTTTTTTTTAATTGCAGCCGAGTGTTTACTTCGGTTGCCAGACAACCGACGCTAGCTTGCAGGGTCGCCAGTGGCTTCCCAGAATGGACCGACGTGGCTGCTGTCTTCTGATTCGCCGAGGGGTGGGGTTGGCAGGTGCCCAGGTGCAGGTGAGTCAGTCCTAAGGGCACCCCGGCTGCCCAACTCCAGCGGCCCTCTCCAGCACTGGATCATTGGGTCATTGACTGACTGGGGGCCATGGGGTTTCACTGCAGGAACATGATTCCCATCTTATCACCAACGAATCCTTGCTTAACATCTGTGTTTCGTCTCTACAACTCTCCTTTAGCAGTCCTCCTATCCGTCGTCACCCGGCATTTATGAAAACGCCTGCAGAGATAATCAACAAAACACTTCACTTTCAGATGTCCACCAGCCATTTGCTTTGTATATCTCGGTTGCCGAGTCTACGCCGACGGGCTTTTTGCGAATAACCCTCGGGTGCTAGAGCTAAAGTCCAGTCATGCTATGGCCTAATAAGATAACATAACCAGGATACGCGTCTGGCCCTGCTCCCGTCCACCGTGTCCCAAGCCCGAAATGCCCGTCAGACTAAAAGGCCCATCTCGGGTTATTCTGAGGAGGAAGCCAAGGCTGAAGAGTCAAAGTGCTGTGCTGTGCGGTGATCTGAGGAGTCAGTCTTTTACGTGATCACCTCCCCGTCTTCGGAATATGCAGTTACTAGGTAGGTCGGTACTTCACACACATCCTCCCTCCTGCAGACCTGCTGCACGTGCAGCATGTTGCCAACAGACATGTCTGGTTCTTGCAGGATCGGCAGCGCCTCCCGCCCGACCCCAGACGCTAGAACCCCATACGATCTTACTAGGCTTATTTCCGGCGCCGCTGTATGAATCGAACCCGCCACTGGCACAGTTGAAAAGAAGAAATTGCAATGATGCTTGATGGGCACAGTAGATCTGTTGGAGGCTTCGTATATTCGAGGACTGGATCCGCCAGGGAGATATCGGTCAATTGCCTGCTCCACTACGGTCTCTGAGGCTCCCCGGGGGAGGTATGTCAAGGCCGATTGCTCGCTCGGCCGTCGGAACTGAACCGGACGGGAATGACGGCACCACACTGCAAAAGGTTGCATTTGCACTGGACCGCCGCTTGGGGAAAACACCATCCGCCGAGGTCAAGCGGGGACTTACACGCCCTCCCCAAAGGCTAGTGGGCGCTGCGGAGCTCGCCTTTATAAAATGGTTCTTTTAGAAGGTTTTTTTTCTGTCCACTTGCGCCGCTCTCAAGAGACTCGCAGCGGTCGTTTCCTTGATTGTCAGACTCTTTGCTTTCACTATCTCAGTTTCTCCTAGTCTCAACTACGGCCTCTGGGCGTAGACTCTCACTTTTGAACTCCTTTCATAACTATTTATCTCGTTATTCGGGTCATTTCCGGGAGTTAAAAATGTCTTCCGGAACGCCCACTTCTCCAGCTGCAGGTTCCCCTGGAACATCTACACACACACGAATCACTGAGCCTGACTCAAATAGGATACACAGACGGTCTTATCATATCGAGGACGATGAGAAGCATATGTCAGAAAATGATCCACAACAGGCTATAAGAGCTACTGAGCCCACAGCCACTGCAAATGATCAGGACGAGAAGTTCGTCGCTGATGAGACGGCTGATGAGACTGTTGACGAGTCGGACACTACTGGTGCAGACGGGGAGTTTAAAGAGGGTGGGTATGGCTGGTAGGTCTCAAAAACGAAACTCTCGGATCATGATAGTCACGGTGGCTAAATTCAACTCAGGGTTGTCGTCTTTTGTGTTTTGTTCATCAACGCACATACATGGGGAATGAACTCAGCATATTCCGTATTCCTAGCATACTATCTCCGGACAGACACTCTATCAGGGGGAAGCCCGATTGCATACGCTTTTGTCGGCGGACTTTCCTTGTCAATAGGTACGAACAACGAGCAACGCGTTGCATTTTTCTCTGGCACATCTTGGTGAGTTCTATGCATACTGACAGGTTGAAGCTTTACTTGTATCTCCCGTTGCAACCATAAGCATTCGCTTGTACGGAACTCAAACCACCCTTTTCATTGGTGTCGTGCTTGAGACGTAAGTCACCACCAATCCCTTGGTCTTTCCGATCTAATCCAGCACAGTGTTGCCTTCATTGGTGCCTCCTTCACGAGCCAGATATGGCACTTGATCCTGAGTCAGGGCATTGCCTTCGGCTTAGGCATGGGCTTTCTCTTTGTTGCGTCTGTACCCGTTGTTCCTCAGTGGTTTACGACGAAGAGATCATTTGCGAATGCAGTTGCAGCCAGCGGGTCTGGTTTTGGAGGTGTCTGTTACAGTCTCGGGACAAACGCTATGATCAAAAACATCGGTCTACCGTGGGCTTTTCGCATCCTAGCCATTCTCGCTTTCGTCGTAAATGGCATCTGCAGCTTGCTCATCAGAGATCGAAATAAGCAAGTCGGCGCCGTTCACGTGGCTTTCAACAAAGAGCTTTTCAAGAAGATTGAATTCTACATGTATATCTCGTGGGGCTTCTTTTCCTTGCTGAGCTACACGATCGTCATCTTCTCGCTTCCGGACTATGCTCAGACGGTCGGCCTTTCATCTTCTCAGGGCTCCGTTATTGCTGCTTGTTTCAATGGTAAGTTATTGCCGCCGGGAACGTCGTTTTGCGGTATGCTGACTTCCCAAAGTGTCTCAAGCTGTGGGGCGACCCCTGATTGGACTCATCAGTGACAGAGTTGGACGAATCAACATTGCTGCCCTCGGAACTCTTGTTGCTGGTGTGGCGGCTTTCTTCATCTGGATCTTTGCTGGTAAATATTATGCAGGAGCAATCGTGTACGCTCTCTTGGGTTGCTTCGCTGGTCTCTTATGGGCCACAATAGCTCCAGTTGGCGCTGAGGTCTTCGGCTTACAACTCCTTCCGTCAGGTATGTCAGCCTATGATAAGAGTTACCGGTCATGCAGGTAAACTAATTCATTGCTCCTAGCCTTGTCTGTCACCTGGCTTGCTCTAGTTCTACCCGCGACGTTCGCCGAAGTGATTGGTCTCAGTCTCAGAACACATGGTATCAATGGATATCTTCATTGCCAGATCTTTGCCGGCATAATGTACATGGTGTCATTCGCATCAGGTAAGACTAAATCCCCACCAACCTATGATGATACAGTCGACTAATTGTTATAGCTTGGGCATTGAGAGTTTGGAAGCTTCATGAAATGGATGCTTCGGGCTTGACGAAGAAACAGCGAGACAGAGATGTTCGCAATCCAGACACAGTCGCCGCCCACCACGGACCAAATGGGCCAGGTAGCGTCACAAGGAAAAAGGTCTCGACGAGGTCTGTTTGGAGATCTATATTCTCTATAGAACGTGTCTGAGTGCATATAGCGGACTTAGACCTAATAATATTATATGCATGCCCACAGCATGCAGGGATGGCCTTTGCCAAGACCTGACATTCAGAGTTATTCACCAGCTGCATAATTATTCTCTTGTAAACTGCCAATAACAGCTATCTCACATTTGTTCACCCTTGTGACAAATCAATTGCCTTCGCTGCGGCCTCGTCAAAGTCATCAAAGGCAAAGAGTGGCAATCCACTCTCTGCAATGATCTTTTGCCCTTCCTCCTCGTTCGTCCCCCTTATACGTACAACTACCGGGACGTTGATTGCGGTCTCTTTGAAAGCAAGGATCACCCCTCTTGCGATCATATCTCCTAGCGTCAGGCCACCAAAGATGTTCACGAAGATAACATTGACGCGTGGATCCTGCAGAATGACCTCAAAACTCTTCTTCACAGTTTCGCTCGTCGCCTTGCCGCCTGTGTCGAGGAAATTTGCTGCTCGTCCGCCAGCCTCTGCCAGTGCATCCACTGTATTCATGGCAAGCCCGGCGCCGTTGACAAGAGTGCCGATCTTCCCGTCACCTTCCAGCTTGATATAGACTATTCCGTTCTTCTCGGCCTCCAACTCCGCAGGGTCTTCGCTTTTGCTATCTCGCAATGCCTGTATATCCTCCTGACGCTTGTTACTGCGAAACGCCGCATCGTCGAACCCAAAGTTTGCGTTCACTATCTTGATACCTCCCAGTCGCTCGACAATCTTCGTTTCCAGCAGAAACGCCTCTTTGGCATAGAATAGGGACACAAGCCCCTTGATGACCTCACGTAAAGACTCCACCGTGCTCCAAGAGACGCCCAGATGGCTCGCGATGCGATCCACTTCCAAGCCCTTCACACCCGCTCTATAGTCAAATGGGAATCTCCGGACTTGTTGTTGCATGGAGTCTGGGTCAGTTGATGGGGCAGCGATTATGCAAGGCGACCTCCTGGATCGATCGATGCCGATGGCCAGATAACGACGCTCCCCCTTTCCGGAGTATTGTCCGGCATTTATACCGCTTTCTTGGCGAAGAAGATCAAAGCAGCGGTCTTCGGAAAGGTATATGTTCCTTCGTTGCTGAAGACCGGGCGTTTTCGAAAGGCTCTGGCTCGATCTGTTGCTTGGACGTGCGGCAGTATGCAAACCTCTTTGTTGCGTGACTCTATTCGCCCGCTTTGATATTCGTTCCAAATCTCCGACACTGCCTTGCAACCTCTCCCTCAAGGCATCACCAAATTTGGCAGGGTGGTGCACCATAGTGGCTCCGGCTGCCTTGAGCGCCTCGATCTTTGCCTTCGCCTCCGGTTCTCCGAATAGTGTAAACGCTCCCGCATGACCCATGATACGGCCACGAGCCTCGTTCACACCGGCAATCAGCGCCACAATTGGTTTCGGATTCTTTGTACGTGCGTGGTATTCTTTGATCCACTCGGCAGCTTCGATCTCGCCTTTGCCCCCTATTTCTCCTATCAATGCTATGGCATCTGTGTCCTCGTCATTTTCGAGCACGGAGAGGGCCTCCGTCAGGTCTGTCCCAGGGAGTATATCTCCACCGACGCCAACGCAGAGGCTCTGACCGAGTCCAGCTCTCGTAGTTGACGCCACGGCCTCGTAGCTGAGCGTCCCTGACTTGGCAATGATACCAACTCGTCCGGCGCTGAAGCAGGGCAACGGCTGGAAGCCGATTCTGCACTTGCCAACTGCAGATATGATCCCTGGCGAGTTGGCACCCACAAGTCTTGAAGCTGACTGCGTTTTGAGGATCGAGTGGATCCGCAACATGTCGTGCAGTGGAATATGCTCGGCCACGGCCACGATCAGAGGCACTTCAGCTTCGATAGCCTCTTCGATTGCAGCCGGCGCTTGGTGGGCAGCCACGTAGATACCCGTAGCATCGGGCTTGAGCTCTTCGACTGCTTTTCGGACGCTGGGCAGCACTGGTAGCCCAAGATGCTCACTGGTGCGGCCGGGCGTGACACCACCGACGATCTTGGTTCCCCATGCTATGGACTCCTGCGCATTGGCGGTTGCTTGCTTCCCTGTGAATCCCTGAAAGATGACACGCGTGTGTGCTCCGATTCGGAGGTTCTGCAATGTGGACTCGTAGTCATGGTGAGAGCGGGATGCCGAGAAATAGCGGAATGTCTGCCCATGCGAACGACTTCGTGGCAAAAGTCGTCGACAGCTGGGACACAGGGCCATTCTATACAGAGTATAAATATGATATCGACAACATCAACTCCGTCATTTCCCAACGGCCGTCTGTCTCAGTTCACTTCACTTTAGAGAGGACGGATTTGAATCTTATAGGATTGGCTTTTTCCAATATCTAGCAGGAGTGCTCTGAATCAAAGATCTGCATTCACAGGAAATAACATGGAGATGGGTTCAGACCATGAGATGAGAGCTATTTATTGGTAGGTTCTTAGACACATGAAGCCGAAATCCGGTGTAGCACGCGGGGTACAAGTCCCGGCCAGCTATCGGAGCTAAATATGCGGGTCTAAGGTGACCTCGACATGTTAGCGGCGAGGTGGATGCTTGTTTGTGAAGAGGTTCTATAGCAAGGAGCCGCTCTATAAGACAAAATGATGGTACAGTGTTCGTGATTGTACAAGTCCAGGGAACCACAGCCCTCTCCAAGCGTGGCGGTAAATATCTACAAACACGATGAGCTCGACCACTAGCTACCACCTCAACTCTCCCTTGTGGCTCTCTTGATCTTCCTTTTTCTTCGCTGCTTCAGGTTCATTATTGAAACCTAGATTCTTGAAATCATCTTTCGCCATCAAATTACTGTAGCCTGGTGTTAGAAATATGGGATTACAAGATAGCGGACTGTAGAAGTGCTCACCGGTCCATTCGGCAGGACAAGTACGCCTTAGCAAGGTTACGACACTCAGCATCATTCATGCCCTTGACCTTCTTCATGCAAGAGAGGTATGAAGCCATGACATGTTTGCATTCGCCTAGAAAAGGGTCAGCTTCAGCCTGTTGAGCGCCGTAGAGCAGCAGTTGAGCCATCGCTTACCGTCGTGGTCCAGGGGAAAACTTCCTCGTTGTGGACTTTTGGAACAGTATTAGTTTTGTCAAGACCGCACCAGAAATGGGTCACTACATACGGAATAGGCTTCTGGCTGATTTGGCCGCCGCCAGGGCCCCCAAATGCGCTCATGGCTGGGCGATGAGGTTGTCGCCTGACTAGAATCTATGTGAAGAGAATATTCAATCTTCAACAAAGTCTCTAGGACAACTCTAAATCCGTCTGCTACCTAGCTTGTATGAAGTTAGTATGGGAACCTATTTCTTCATTAAACCAGTGAGTGATTTTACTCACTCATGGCGAGGTGCCGCAATCCGTGGTAGAGTCGTACGAGGATGAAAAGCTCAACCTCACAGCAAATTGTCTGTCGCAAATCGTAAGGCTGAAGCTAGGCTACCCCTTTCAGTAAGTAAAACAATATTACAGGCGGCTCTTCCTACAAGACTAGGAGCGATTGGTCTACCAACGTACTCGGAAAGCGTTGGGGAGCTTAGTGATGGAGCTCTCTCCGGCTCATGTGCTCCGCGATCATGCACGATTCTGTCACCAGGTTTGGCTCGCATGGATCGTGCAGGCATGTGGGCTTGACTGAGATGGATGACGTGTGGCTCAGGTAGTGTGGCCTTGTGTGGCTTGCCAGGAACCAAGAAGTGGGCCACGACTTCTAGCATCATGGCCTCAGGCCGCCACACAACCTTAACGCCCCATCAGTTGCGCTGTGCAACGGGACAGGCCCAGCTGAACTGGTAGAGGTAGGGGGGAGCCACAGGCCACTTGGGGCCGCATTAAGTTGGTAAATTGTGACGATGGGCGGCGACGCGATTGCATCCCGGCAAAACCAGGGCGGCCACAGTCGGAAACACTCCATTTTTTGATGCTCGCATCCACAGCATGAACTGGGGATATTTCTCTCCATTTTTGTAGCATTCCATTCTTAGAAGCCTCCTTGAGAATCCCTTCCCCCTCCCTACCTTCACTTAAAAATCCCCAGACCGTTCTGGGTTGTTGCCCCCCCTTTGACTGCTCTCTGTCCTTCGAGCGGTCCCTCGCGTGCTGCGTGCGACATCATCTCCTCCTGGCTGGGCCACCGAGCTCTTATTCTACGACAACATCCCGCCACCTTTCCCAGGACACATCACGCATACTGAGCTCGACAAAGATATAGATATACCAGCTAGGGAATATCTATCATCATGGCTGCCCTCGGCGACGACTTGTTGTCGACGGTCAACAAGTTGCAGGACCTCGTCTTCAACACCATCGGCAATGATTCCCTTGACCTGCCGCAGATTGTATGCAACCATCCGACAAACCCCTCAGACCCAAAAACAGGACCAAAGTGCTAATAGATTTGTGACATGTAGGTTGTCGTAGGTTCTCAATCTGCGGGAAAGTCATCCGTATTGGAAAACATCGTCGGCCGAGATTTCTTGCCCCGCGGCAGTGGGATCGTTACTCGACGACCCCTGATCCTTCAGCTCATCAACGTCCCAGAAGACGAAGCCGAGCTCGACACCGTTCATATTCCGTACAGGAACCCGGGCGCGGCTCGTCGAGGCGAGTGGGCTGAGTTTCATCACATCTCCAACCGGCGCTTCAACGATTTCGGTGATGTCAAGCGGGAGATCGAGAACGAGACCTCAAGGATAGCTGGAAACAACAAGGGCATCAATCGCCAGCCTATCAATCTCAAGATTTACTCGCCATATGTCCTGAACTTGACTTTGGTCGATCTGCCAGGTCTCACAAAGGTAGGAATGCTGAAATGTGTCCTCCCGCTGCAGATGTTGACTTCGTCCCTTCTCCCAGGTGCCCATTGGAGATCAACCTACCGATATCGAGAAGCAAACTAGAAACCTCATTTCCGAGTACATAGCAAAGCCGAACAGTATCATTCTTGCTGTTTCACCAGCAAATGTCGACATTGTGAACTCCGAAGCCCTGAAACTTGCCAGACATGTCGATCCTTTGGGCCGAAGGACTATTGGTGTCCTTACCAAGGTTGACCTGATGGATCACGGCACCAACGCACTTGACATCCTGTCGGGCAGGGTATACCCGCTGAAGCTGGGCTGGATTGGTGTTGTGAATCGATCGCAACAGGATATTCAGGGTAACAAGCCCATGGACGAGGCACTGAAGTCTGAGGCCGACTTCTTCAAACACCACCCCGCCTACAGGAATATCGCGAACCGATGCGGCACCCAGTTCCTCGCAAAAACCCTCAATACCACCCTGATGGCGCATATCAGGGACCGGTTGCCCGACATCAAGGCTCGCCTGAATACATTGATGGGACAGACACAACAAGAGTTGGCAAGCTACGGTGACATGCACTTCAACGGCAAGGAACACCGTGGCTCTCTAATCCTTCAGCTCATGACGCGTTTCGCGTCTTCCTTCATCTCCTCGATTGACGGTACATCAACTGAGATCTCCACTAAGGAGCTGTGTGGTGGTGCGCGGATATACTACATCTTCAATTCGGTATTCGGTAGTGCGCTCGAGTCCATCGACCCTACCTCAAATCTCTCGGCACTGGATATTCGCACCGCCATCAGGAATTCTACTGGTCCCCGGCCAAGTCTATTCGTGCCAGAGATGGCATTTGACCTTCTCGTTAAACCACAAATCAAACTTCTCGAAATACCAAGCCAACGGTGTGTGGAGCTTGTGTACGAAGAGTTGATCAAGATTTGCCACACATGTGGTAATATCGAATTGTCCCGGTTTCCGAGACTACAGGCCAAGCTTATCGAGGTCGTCTCTGACCTACTGCGAGAAAGACTCGGCCCTGCCTCATCATATGTTGAGTCATTGATTTCTATCCAGCGGGCTTATATCAACACGAATCACCCTAACTTCTTGGGCGCGGCTGCTGCCATGAGTCACGTAGTCACAAACAAGCAGGAGAGGGAGAGGAAGCGTATCATCCAAGAAGAGAGAGAGCGACGTGAGCGCAGGCGACTCAAGGAACTCGGCGCCAATGGCACTGAGACTCCGGAGGACGAGGAGACAGTTACTGTCGAGAAGACGGAGATCAACGCCGTCCGCAAGTCAGCTGGCAAGGGCGCTCGAAGCTTATCGCCTGCCGTGAGAGAGAACGGCGCTGGTGGCATTGCAGCGGCCCTGAATGGTACGAGATCTGCTTCGCCGTCGCGTTTTGAGGCGAAATCTATTGGTGGTGCAAAGGACTCCTTCCTCAACTACTTCTTCGGCAAGGACGGTGTTGCACCTTCAGGGCAAGCTCCCTTACACAATGCTAACATTGGTCGACATGTCAGCCAGAGCTCAGAGCCATCTTTCAGTCAGAGTATACGGGCGACCGAGACTACATTGAGGTCTCCTACTCAGGCCATCTCCCACACCAACAATGACGACTATGATTTCACCAGAGATTTCACGAGGATACCTCGTGGTGCAGACTTCGTAAGTGATATTTTGTGCTTGGGTGTTGAGCAAATGCTAACAGAACCCCCAGGGTAACAATGGAGAACCTGCTCTTACAGACCGGGAAGCTATGGAGACGGAGCTCATTCGCGCCCTGATCTCGTCATACTTCAACATCGTACGCGAGTCCATCGCTGATCAGGTTCCCAAGGCAGTCATGCACCTGCTGGTGAACCACTGCAAGGACGTCGTCCAGAACAGGCTCGTTAGCGAGCTATACAAGGAGGCCCTGTTCGAGGAGCTGCTGTATGAGGACGACGGCGTCAAAAAGGAACGCGAGAAATGCGAGAAGCTTCTGCAGACGTACCGGGAGGCCGCGAAGATCATCGGCGAGGTGATATAGACGAGGGCAAGCCTTGTTGGCTGTGGGCTTTGTTTTGTTGTACGAGACCAGATGTGTTCTACTGCTTTGTGGGGGCATACACACGCGCAGATAGACTACGCTTTCACGAGGGGCCTTTTTCTAATGTCGGTGACTTGGGACCCGCAAACGTGCGCATTGGAATTGGACGGATCGAATTACTCACTAGACCGTTGGGTCTGCGATGTACATATTTTTGTTCGACTATACTACTCATCACTAGTCAAATATGTAACCCCCCTATTATGCTATTGAACTTTTTCTAAAGTCGCAATTGACGTGCCAAAAACAATTTCATCCACAAGACAAATCGGGGAAAGGTTTGTCTGTGCATTACTGCCGGGATGGACAGACTGGAGCTGCGTGATTTAGCAATTTATATACAGAGTTTTGATACACAAGAGGAGACCCCTTCTGATTGTACAGGTGTTGAATTATAGATCATACAAGCCCACTGCAAAGCTTGTCCATCACCGAATCTCTCTTACAGACTTGGCTTTTTGCCACCCTTTCTAGGCGATACATCATCCTACTGGTATCTAACCTGTCGAGGAGGAGCTGCGCTGGGTGGCGCAGCGGGGAAGCGAGGGTCGTACTCATCTTCGTACGTCGGCTCGTATCTCGGTTGTGGGGCTGGAGCTGGAGGCTCTGCTGCCCGTGACACCGGAGGGAATGTCTCGTAACCGGGGTGGAGAGGTGCCGCCGACCGGGAATACGGAGCTTCATACGGAGGATACGGTTCGGCTTCTCGACGGACGGGCCGCTCAGCCTCATAGGCAACGGGTGGTGGTTGGTAGTATCGCTCTGGCTCCGCAGGCTGGCGGCGTACTGGGCGTTCGAGAAAGTAAGTGCCCTGCGAGTCGCGGACCTCCACAATCTCGTACTCGACGTACTCGGTGGGGCGAGGACGTGCAGGCTGTTCGTCATGGTAAGGACGAGAGTAGAAGTCGTCACGAGGAGCACGCTCATATCGTATGTCCTCAATAGGGTGGGGAGCCGGTCGTGACTGATAAATTGGCTCGTGCTGACGAGGCGGTGGACTTCGCTCTCGATATTGCTGAGCCGGCGGTGGTCTGCCATAGTCCGCATATACAGGGGATCTTGATCTTCTAGGAGGCACCTCAACTCTAGCAGGTTCATACAGTGGATACGCCTCTGGGCTGCGACGAATGTCTCGCGGGGGTGCTGTTGGTTGTGTTCCATCCATATAGATGACATTCCTTGGAGGTTCTCGGTAATTACGATCCACATATACGGGAGATGGTGGATTGTTGAGATGCATTTCCAGCGCAGTCATCAAGTTTGGCTCATCCCTCGGTGGCGGTGGAGAGTCTTTTCGTTGTACTGCTGATGGCCTCTGCTGTCGCTGAGGTGTTTGGGGCTTGGACGGCTGTCTTGAAGACCCGGTCGATTTCGGTCTCTTGCCAGACACTTGGTTCGGCTTCTCCTCCTCAACATGAGTGCTCTTTCTGGCCGTCTCTGCCCGTTCAGCGGCCCACATCGCGCGGATCTCCTCCTCTCGTCGGCGCTCTTCCTCTTCTGCCATTTTGGCTTCTTCCTCGTTCAACTTGGAAGCAGCTTCTTCATCTTCATTCGCAGCACGCCCACCTCTCTTTTTCTGCTTCTTGCTCCTGCGTGGCGCGTCGTGATCACGGCCAGAACGGAAGCCTTGAGTAGATTTTCTGCCGTCAGCGTTCCCAGCATGACTATTTGATACTGCTGCACTCATTACTTGCTGGCCGTACACGGTACTTGATGGTAGCAGCTCGGATTGGTGACGTGGAGGCTCTTGGTATCCTTGATAGGTAGCTGGAACCGATACAATGGCTTGGGGCTGGCCTGCATGCTGACCGTACAACCCGACTTCCTGATGTGGAGCCTGAACCTGCTCATGTTGTTGCGCAGCCGCATGGGGTTGAACATAGTATTTTGTGTAATTGTCTTCAGAGGGAGCTTGATGATTATCAGGGTACGAGTAAGGTTGTGACCAGGCCGCATTGGTATGAGGAATGTGGGATATGTCGACAGGCTCGAATGCCTGTGGGATAGCGTCGGAAACGAGATAAGATTTTTGGCTGTCATTGCCCACAGCTGTGCGCAGCTTCGATAAGACAGCGGCGTCTGGTAGCTGAACCATATCTACTGTCCAATCCGGAGGTGTTGCATAATGCTCCATCTTTGTGAAAGGTTCGATATGCTTGATTTGGAAGTGGTTCGTGAGCTGAGGAAGAGAGAACGCCTTCCGGTCCTGTTCATTGGCGACGTAGCCACCTATACCAAGTTGGCAGACCTTGCACATCAAGCCATTGATATTGCGAACGGGTCTCATGTCTTTGTTGTTTGAGAGACCATCATTGAACATTGACAGCTGAAGAGGCTCTGCGAATTTGGCCAAAAAGTTTTTCGCGAGATGATGGACCACCACCTGCACCCTGACGCTCCCGGGCACATCCTTCATATTGGCAGTCGAAGTCCAGAGTTCACGGGCATTCCGAGCCATGTCATCTAATTGTACTCGATACTGATCGGAGTATGCCTTTGTATGTGACGCCGGGTACCCAAGTTGATTATTGCTCTGATACGCTCCATAATTATAGTTGTACTGACCAGCAACGGGAGCCGGAGCACCTTGAGGCAAAGGACCAGGGCCAGAAGGGGGGTAGTTCTGAGGCGGCGCTTGTGTGGGCGGATATGCACCACCGGAAGCAGCGGTATTGTGATATGGAAGATACGGGTCTGGTTGATGATAAGTACCTGGACCGTAGCCTTGAGGCGGAGGACCAAATCCGCCCTGATTGGTGTACGCTGCATGAGCTGGAGCTGTATACTGTTCACCGAAAGGCGGCGCACTATACGGTGGTGCTGGGCCATTAGGATATGGCGGATAGGTTTGCGGGGGCATATTTAACGGTCCTTGCTGATACGCGTTGTACCCATACTGAGGTGGAGGGCCGGTTGCACCCTGAGGGTAGGCAGGGGCAGCACCTTGATTGTAGTAGCTGTTGTTCGCATGCCTTGCCTCTGAGGTGAAAGGAGGTACTTCGGGCCATTCTGCCCTCCAATGGACCACAATGTTGCCTGAGCTGAGAGCGTTGGTATGCTTCGCCGCATAATGTTGGATCACGCCTTCAAATCCATAATACCGAAAGTTGCCCTCACATCCATTACACAAAAACAGTTCCTTCCGATATGGCTCGGTGTGCGGTTTAATCTTTGTGTCGAATATCCACTTCATGTTCTCAAGAGTCAGCTTCTGAGTGAATGGACCTTGAAGAGGATCTACAATAGGCTCCTCTCCAGCAGCTCGAGCTGCCGCGGCATCCTTCGCGATTTCGGCGTAGAATCGCTTTCGAATATAACCTAGAACCTCGACAGCGAATTTCGGGCTGTTGTCCTTTGTAACCTTATCGCCATCATCCCAACTGTTCCGAATGATCTCATCTGCGTACCCAGCGATGCGGGCTCTAACGGGAGCTTGTATGTCATCCCAATCGGCATCCAATACTTCTCTTACATCTTTGGCCGTTTCCAGATTACGCTTCTCGTCTAGCTCTTGCTTGACGCGTGCTTGAGCGACCATCTCCTTTTCACGTTGTTCGGCATCAGCCCTCTGAGCTAGCAGTCTCGGTTTCAGAAGATCCCATGCTTTATCGTCAAGAGGGGTGATGATCTGGATGGCTGCCTGAAAAGAAGGAATATGTGCAAGAATGCTGGCCGACAAAGGCGGATCAAGCTGCGAGGCTCGTCGCTCTATCTCAGCTCGTCGCGCAGCTTTCAGTTCAGCGACTTCTTCCCTCGTCCGCTCATAACGAGCCTGGGAGACGGGCCGTGGCTGAGACATAGCGTCACCATTTGACTCAAAGGATTCCGCTGCTTGTGAACTCTCTTTACCTAAACAACATGAGTCATTTCATCAAAGGCAGGTTAAAGGAAACGAACCTTGTGAGGTCGAAGTCGGGTTGGGCTGGATTGAACCCAGGGATGAATCGAGAGAGGAATGATCGTTTGAAGGATTTCCGATGTCGGGGTTTAGGACACTAGGATCACGGTCCTCCAACGATCTTGGTTGATAGCCTGGATAGAGCAGCGTTTGCATCTGGATAATAGCACCGCTTGCAGCCCAATTCTCCCACCGAGCAGAATCATTTTGACGTTCTCTCCGGCGGCCATCGAGGCCCTTTAGCCATTCCTCAGTAGCTGCAGAGCCTAACTTTCTAACAACTTCGAATTCTTCGGTCACGCTCTCCACGTCAGGAGACCAAAATATCTTGGTCAAGGAGGTGTTTGGGGGAAGATCGCCACGTTCAAGTGTGGTTGGTGAGAGGGCTTGAAGCTCCTGTGTCATAAAAATGAAGGGTAATGCAGGCATCAGCGCCGAAGGCGTGGTGGACGACAATAACAGATCAAGTTCCTGGAGGCCAATTAGATACAACGACGAAGCAACTCTGACGAAACAGACCTTTTTGGATTGGCTTAAAAGGCACTGCCCACAACGACGGATGCCAAATTGCCATACAGCAGCGACCCCGTCGACACCAGGGCCAGGTCGCCATTGATCTATTGAATAAGAAAGACCAGCTGGGCTTCGTTTGCCACACGAAGGGCATGAAGGAGAGCATGATAAGCGCCACATATCTAACTCGGTCTTGTCCTGAAGCGGTGCTGGCATGTGAGGCCAGAAGAGCCGCCTTGAAGCTTGCCATATGGCATTAGGCTTTAAGGTCCTGGCTGTACTGCCAGGTGAAGATGAAGGAGGCTCGACGGAAATCGAGGAAGAAGGGTCAAGATAGACATTGAACAATTTGTTCACAGACAACATGCTCCCTAGAGTTCTAGGTGGGCAAAAAGTGAAGATATGATGCCAGACTTCGGCTGGTAGTACAGACCTGTTCCAAGGCACTTGGCTCTGATGCTTAACGCCTGGTTCATGATCTCCATCCAGTTTCACCTTCTTGACTGGCTCTGAGGATAGTGATGTCTCCCCCCGAGCATTGTCTAGGGAGTTTTCTGGAGACTTGCGCTTCCTAGATAACCCCGTTTCTGGCGGTGCTGGATTACCTCTTGATATTTCGAGTAATGGCCTATTTTCCTGAGCTGTGGGGAGGGTACCGTTGTTATCATTGTCGTCCTCTTCCTCTTCAGAGTCGGCATCCATCGAAATGTCCGATCCTGAGTCACTGTTGTCATCGCCGCAATTGGGCGAGTCTTCAGCATCACTATCGTTGCTCTCGTCGTCTAGTGGTAGGAAATCAGTCGACGTTACATCATCCACACCAGGTTCCGGCTCATCTGCATTAGCAGAGCCCCCGGTGGCTCCCATTGCACTCTACAATGGCGAGGCTATACCTCACTGACGCGACAAAAACGAAGAAAAGCGGCTTTACACTGCTGATTACAGCAGCAGATGGGATAACAGAAGAGGAGATGGTAACATAACACTTGTCAGATTATGTTAATGTGGAGAGCAACGAGATTCAATCGTTGTGCTGTGCTGTGTCCTTGAGTGTAGGGGCAAATCAGTGCAGTGAGATGTTCGTCAAAATACCAGTGGCTGATATCATAAGTGAAGCTGTTGAGCTCGACTTGCATCGACAGCCAGAGGAAGACGCGTCGGGGAATAAGGAGTGGGTAGTGTGATGATCGCGCCACAACAGGGGAAGGAGGCTGCTTCCTGAATAAGCAGTAATAGAGACTGTATAAAGGATGCTGTAAGTGGCGATCGTGGAGGATGACAAAAGACTAAGCGATTGTCGCCATAACGTGGAGATGGGCGGATGTTGAGGTAGTAAGAAAATGCTTACAGCCTTGATCTCGTGGAGCCTTTTCCAGCCTGCGTCACGAGAGATGTGGTCCGAGCGCCCCCACCACCACACAGCAAGCACCGTGTGGCGGAACTGGTCCGCCACAATCCCAGCCACAGCAACGGTTAGCAGTGCCGTTTTAGGTGCATGGCCGATCAGCCTTGCCTATGAGCTGTGCTCCTATTTACCCCTGACATGGATGCGGAAGCTCCCCCTCCGACCACACGTTTTCTCGTCGTCATTGCTGTCTCTAGCAATGCTCGCTCGAGGTAGCTGAGTAACTTTGGCTGTCAAATAGGACCAGAGAACGGGTACTGAACAGAACACATTCTCACTCCAATTTGCCATGATCCATTTGCAACTTCGTTCCGTTAAAGTATATAGATATCGCGCAGACCCCGGGTAATGATCAGTCTTAAACGTCCTGGTCGTAATCAAATGTCGCCTCATTGATTTGAGCAAAGCATAACATATATATTGATGGTCATCCATTCAATTATGTCAACCTAATGCGGCTCCCCATCGTGTTCACACTATGAAGCTGTCAGCACTCTTTTTCACCAACGCAGTCGTTGCGGCGTCGAGTTTTGCAAGGAGCTTGAGGAGGATTGATGTACGTGACAAGCCTGTAGTTCGAGATGGCGCAACTTTGCTCCTTGCCGGCGAATCCTGGAAAGCGGTCGGCCCAAATGTGTACTGGTTAGGCTTGGACGAGAATGTGATCCCGCCAGCCGGTCAGCCATTCTATGCACCGTTCAATGCCAGCTATCCAACAAAAGAGCGTATCACCGAGGTAATGGCCACGGTGAAAGCCCTGGGAGGAACAATGGTTCGCGCACACACTCTCGGTGTCTCGACCGGAAATCCCCTCAGCTTGATGCCAGAACTAGGGCAAATCAACGAAAAGGCCTTTGAGACAATTGACTGGGCCGTGTATCAGGCGAGAGAATATGGGTTAAGGCTCTTGGTCCCATTAACGGACAATTTCGTGCGTTGCGCTTCCCTTGAGCATCCGACTTTGGCTCAAACTAAAACTATGCATAGGACTATTACCACGGTGGAAAGTATAACTTCCTCAGATGGGCCGGGCTCAATCTCACACAGAGTAAAGACTCGACCAATCCTCTAGTCCAGCAATTTTACACCAACTCTAGCATCGTGGCGTCCTTCAAGGATTATATAAACATTTTAGTAACACATCTCAACCCATACACTAATCTCTCCTACGCAGACGATCCGACAATCTTTGCATATGAGACCGGCAACGAGCTTTGTGGTCCTGTCTGGGGAGACCTAAATGTACCAGCTGCCTGGGTAGCAGAAATCGGAGGATATGTGAAGTCACTAGCTCCCCACAAGCTGCTTGTAGATGGCACATATGGCGTGAACAAGACGCACTTGAACGTGAAAGAGATCGACATCTTTTCTGACCATTATTACCCGATCAGTTTATCTAAGTTACAGGGAGACTTGGATCTGGGTGAGTCTAAATTTCAATAGTACTGGAAAGGCAAGGTGCTGAGAACACATCTCAGTTGCTTCGGTGAACAAGACCTACTTCGCCGGAGAGTATGATTGGATTGGGACACCAACAGAGGCAACTTCCCTAGCTGCATGGTTCAGCGCTCTAGAGAAGAGCCCAACAGTCATCGGGGATGCCTTCTGGAGCTTGTTTGGTCACAATGCCCCAGATTGTAATGTACGTCCACGGCCAAATTTGCCCCCGAATACTTATGCTGATATATCAAGACATTTGTAAATCACAGCGACGGCCTCACAATGAAATACAATGACCCATCCAACTCGGAGTACATCAACAGACGAATCAGGTTGGTACGGCAGCACTTTCTCAGGTACACTCAGGGGCTAGAGGTTAGTGTCAATGCATCTCTCCCTCGAGTACCATGTCCCGCCCCGACAGTGCTGTAATTCTACAAATTGGAATGAATCGAGCGATCTTGTCGCATCTAACACGTCGCTACTCATCTGAGGGCGATTGATGCAGCTAGACTGCTACGGTTGCCCCTGGCAATCGACGTGTTCATATGGCGGTGTATCTAATTGTGAAAGATAGCAACTAATTCCATGTTGAGTTACAAATCTCGGTGTGCCAGAGATATCTCACGCTGTATCTACTTCAGTCGTCATACTAGTGATATGAAGGGTTGCGGAGTTCCGCAATATTCTCTCCACGTAGCCCGGGGCACCAACCTGATCTGACGAGCCAAGAGTATTTGATTTGGGACGATCAGATAAAAGGGTTTCAATGACGCCTACGAGCCAAACTAATTCTTGTTCAATAGGGATGGGAGCTGTGGGCGCATGGAAAGAAGGTGACGCCGACTTAGGATCCGTATGTATTGATTATTAGACGGCATGGCACCTACAGCAACGTAGAAACAGAGCTCCAGAGTGTGATCAACGCTTGAGTTCCATATTTTCAGGCTTGCAATGTTGCTGATTTCCATGTCTTGTGTTGGAGTCCTTACTTGATCAAGCCACCATCGCGTATAGGGTCGTTACCCTGGAGCATATGTGAACGGCCAACAGCTTTGCTCCGCGGCCGGCGGAGTCATCTACAAAGCTTTTCTTAGACGAAGAGTATTGACAAACTTTTGATTTGTCTAGCATGGTGCGCCGTGTCTTCCAAGCTTGTCCCCTTTTATACTACTGCTCACCCCTATTTCGGCCCGCTTGTAAGGCGCAGTATGTATCGCTACATCGAAATTTTGAATGCCTCTAAACTGCTCCTGCCGAAGACAAGGCGCGCCTTATGCAATCTGATGAGGTAAGGTGAACTACTAAAGAATAATTCATTCGTCTATTGCAGAAGCATGACTCTTCCATCGCGAGCCTATACACTTAATCGCTAACTAACTATCTACAGGGATTTGATCAATCCTAAAAACACACAAGGCTTCGCTGCTCCTCAACGCCAAGATGCATTGGAACCATATGCGAATATATGCGGAACGGCTCTCCCAACTTATTCATGGCTTACACTGTGTCGCTGCGACTGTAGTCCCCGTGCCATCCAATC